ACATATTCCGCGGGCAGTATCAATATTACTCCGATTTGATGTTCATCCCAGCTACCCTCATTTTTATCATCGGAAAAGTCTCTTGCATATTGGCTCCCCATTGATACATTACTCTCTTCAAAGTTCCTGTAAGTATTCCAGTAAGGGATCCTTCCTCCTCTTCTCCAAGGCCTTCCTCGAAATCTCCTTTGGAATGTCGGGAATCCAGTATTCGATCCTTCGTCATATGAAAGTCTCTCGAAGACGTCATGACTTTGAAGTCTGCCCCTTCCTCTTCGAGAAGGATACATTTCTTTTCTAATCCACTGATTCCTACTAGCATCAGAACCGACAAATTTTTGTTGACTTTCCCCTATCGTTGCTTGGGCTTATTGATCTACTTTGTCATTGTCCCTTTCATTTTGTTTCTCGATTTTCTTCATCTATCCTGCTCTGAAGGTTTTAGCAGCTGACTTGTCGAATACTGCACTGCATCGTGGACATAATGCCACATCCTCATCCTTTTCTTTCTTTCTGTTTAAGAACTCCACGAGGGAATCACCTGATCGAGGATAGATTTCTCTCTCGAATTCTTTCTCGAACTCACTCAGGTCGAATTCCATGTCTTCTTCAGATACGTCCATTCTGACATGCTTAGGATCAATGTCTTCAGTAACATCAACCGTGCCTACAAAGGTCGAATTTGTCAATCGGACATCTTCAGTCATGCCCGTCTGGGATTCGATATATCCTACTTGAACCTCGAATGGACTTGTGTCTACTTTCATTGACATCTCCTCGAACTTCAATCTTCCTTGGTCAATCGCATCTTGAATCGTGTTCCTGAAATGTATGCAATTATTAGTCCAATGTTCATAAATATTATGGAATTTGCAGTATTTTCGACCATTCCTTTGTTCTGCAGATGGCAATTTATGATCATCACTCAACTTAATCTGCTTATCTTTCAATAAAATATCGAAAATTTTATCAGCTTTTGTTACATCGAAAGTATACGTTCGATTTGCCATTTTATCTTTTACTTCATTTTTCTATAGTAATTTACAAATATATGGAGCTCCTACTTTGAGCTCTGCTATATTTACTTTCTCATCGACAGTTTCTTCAATATCAGTTTCTGTCTTGGGATCTGTCTTATACACATCATTTATATATGCTACTCTTTCTTTCTTCATAGGTTTCTCAAATTTCTTATACCTTTGTTTTTCATATTCGATTTGTTCCACTCTTCTCACTTTATCAGCTAGCTGAGCCATGTCATTTAATGGTAAATTAACTAACTTTTTCCTAATCGAGAATTCTAAACCTGCAGAGGCCATTATGACTAATTCATATTCAGGAATTTGAGTAAAACATCTTGACTTCATCTGTCTAAATCTATTCAAATAATCGTCTATACTTTCATGATTGTATCTTTTTATATTCATTAAGTCAATGAGACTTACTTGGGTCTCCCCTCTGAAGAATTGCTCATGAAAATTTCTTTCTAATTGCAACCAATTATATATCGAATTGGGTGGCAACGAAGTAAACCAAGTGAAAGCATTCTTAGTTAATGAACTAGGGAAATATTTCATTTTTAATTCTTCACTCATAGCTAGATCCCCACATTCGATCTGATATCGAGCTACATGCTCGATAGTGGACTCACCAATTTCTCCAGCAAATTTGGTGAATTTAGGTACTTTGTATCCTCGAGGTAATTTTGTCTCGAGAATCGTATTTGGAAAAGGAGAAACAAAGTATGGTTGATTGGGTGGCCTTAATTCTACCCCTTGAGGGTTCATCCTTTGCCCTGGCATGTGGTTAAACTACATGTTATTTTGATTATACATGTTCTGAAATCCCTTATTCAGATTTCCATAAATATCATTCCTCACATGTTGATATTCGTTCCCCAGATTCTGATGTTGATCATTGTGTCGATTCCTTCTTAATAAATAAGGAGGATTAGCATTCTGGTTAATGCTTTGAGTGGCATGATTTTCTATTCTCGTTTGTCGAGGTATGGCTAATGCATCCCCGATACGGGCCATTTGGTCTGCTAATATTTCAAAACTAGTAGTAGTGTTTTGAACTAATGAGTTTAGAACTGTAGTCAACTGTTGTGACAACATATTAACCATCTCAAAATTGCTTTCATCCATTTGTTGTCTAAGTACTCCTAATGAGTTACTGGAGATTCCAGTACTGGCATTTTCGATAGTATCGAAGTTGGACCGATGATAATCTCTATCGAATGTATATCTCCCATGATCCATATTTATTCTATGATCTATGTTTGGAGGTGTCTGTTGTGTACCTGAATTCTGCACACTCCCTGAATTCTAGGGGGTTACTAAATTTTGAGACACCCCTAAATTTGGAGATACTCCAAAATTTTGCGGCATACCTAGAGTTTGAAATGAACCTAAGTTTTGAGGCATTCCTAAGTTAAATCTTGAATTTCGTTGTATTGGAGAAGTACCAGCCCCACTCATATTATTAAGCGAAAAACCAGGTGGTCTTACGCTCATATACGACCCTGCATATGTTGTTATGGGGTTCCCCATAGTTTGCATATTGTTTGGTATCACAGTGTTAGACCCTACTTGAGTATTTACTAATGTACCTGAACTTTGTTCATTACTTACAGGTATCGACATACCCGCGGTTGTCGATACTACAGGCATATTCCCATTATGCCCTTGCCCCCCCAGTGTTTGGTGGATGTGAACCATTCAGACTGTTCAAACCCTCACTGTTACTCTGGTTATTTGGTGGATTCTGACTCATTCTTATTACTCGCCCACTCCTTAATCTCATACACTTTCGAACTAACCAATTTTGTGTTTTTTCGACACAAATCCCCTACCTGGCGCGCCAATTTGTTTCTGATGGAATTTTGATTAATTTCGATTCTTAAGAGATTTTGATTCTAACCAAAACTCAACCACGTAGATTCTTTATACTTAGGCTAGCAACTGAATTTCAATCGAAATACGTATGAGAATCGAAAATACCACTGTATAGAAAATACTAAGATTAATAATCGAAAGCACTATTTTTGGTATTTTATATTTGAAGTACTCGAAATAAGGAAAACAGTAAAGTGATAAATCGAAAAGCAGCACCGAATGTAAAACTGCGAAGGAATGAAAAATGCGAAAACCTCAAATTTGCATTAAGTGTAAACGACAAAGCATCGAATATTGCGGAAATATAAACAACAGGAAATCGAAATTACAGAAATGTAAATAACAGGAAATCGAGATTACAGAAATGTAAATAGCAGGAAATCGAGATTGCGAGAGATGTAAATGGCAGGAAATTGAAATTACGTTAATATAAATGACAATGAACTTAAACGCGAAACTTAACTTTCATTAAAGAGAAATGACAAGGAATCAAAAATACAGAAACTTAAAGTTGCTAAACATAAACTGCATCAAAGTAAATTACCATGGAAAATAAAGAAAACGGTAAAGGAAATCAATGAACATGGAAATCCAGATCGCCAGAAACTTCATGATGTTCGTCGTTCTCCGGTAGACTTCTCACTAGTATTCCTGCTCTCTCTGCTCTCTCTGCCAATTTCCCCCCCTTCCTCCTTCATCCTCCACTCTATTTATAGGGCATCCTTTCAGCAAGTAACCTCTTAGGAGCAGTTAACGAAAACTGCTACCACGTCCTACGTGCATGTTGCAGTTTCTATCTTCGGTATCAAAACTGCACCCACGTTCCCATGATCTTTGACCTATGCCACGATTTAGAAACTATTTCCTATGTGCGCGTTTAACTGTTCCTCTCTTTATGACCTAGCCGGGATTTCGATATCCACGCAGGTTAGCCTTCCTCTTGATTTTGATCTCTTGATCTCGAGAACTTTGGATTGCTCTTGGTTTTCCTTAACCTTAACATTACAAAATTTTAATTTCTCGAAAACATTCTTCCTTCGATTTCTCAATTCTAGTTCTCGATCATATTGTTACATGGTCGTCGAACGTATTTTCCAACTATCTTTCGATTTATCAGTCTTTAACTCAATCAAAATGGTTTTCGATTTTTTGCTCTCGTTTGTTTCTCGATCCCTTTATCGATTTCTCACTAACATATATATAACTTGCTTTTATTACATGTTACGATTTTATGACACTTTTAAATGAAATTTATTTTTTATAAATTTATGTATGTATTATTTTTTTTTATTAATACTACTTTATATATTATATGAATATATTTTAAAAATTAGAATAATAATATTTTATGAAATTCGATACCATTCTAATTAAATTTTCGTTGAACCTTTATTTTATAGTATTATCGAATCTATCTGATTCAGTGACCCATCAGATTTTATAATCGGTTATGAAACTTGAGTTTATCTCAAACAATGGAAAGAAAATCGAGATTATGATAGGTGCACAACCAAAAAAAAGCTCAGTATCTGAGAACACTTCTTTTCTCTCCCTAAAATTTTCTCGAATGAGAAAACAGTTGAACTGAATTTTAACTTTTGGCAGAAGTTTTCTCCATCATGATTGGATGTTTGATATTTATGAAAATGGCTACATTCATAAAATCTAAGCATATGGTGTGATGCATGGATGAATTGGAGTTATTTATTCAATAATATGGTTGCAAGATACAGTTTCTGAATTGGTAGTATCATTCAAATGTGGATGCAACACCCCGACCTCCACCACTGCAATGGATCCGTGAATTTCCGCAGCTCAACTTGCACACCCCCATGATTTGACGGTGGATTCTGTCATTATAAGATATTCATAATTTATATTGTCATCTCAACTCAATCAATAGCTATGATTTTTAATTTTTTTCCATCTTTCATGCTTATTACTAGACAAATCTTACATTTCACACTGACCACTGAGGTAGACACTGAATCTACCTCAATTATTCGTTTCTTATATATAAGTTTTCACAGTACAACCACAACATTAGTTATTACTGATAGAGGATGACAACTTATGAACACACCACATTTTTTTCAATGTCTCTCACAGCTCTAGAACTAAGTCTGCAATGCACAGAAAAAAATTGAGTTAGGGTAGAAGAAGCAACATTCGCGCGGAACTGAAACTGAAAATAGACATGCTATAAATGACATTCTATGTTGCAATCACTTGCTATTTTCATCAAGTGAGTTATGAAATTCTACAGTGAAATAGGAATGTATAGTATAGTGTAGGTTAAACTGTGAAATAGAGCTATGAAAAGTTGTAGCATACTTACAATCTGCATCTGTTTTGATCCAGTACTCCCTGTTGACAGATGAATCTTCCTCTGGATGCACCAGGTCATTTTTGTTGTAGCCCCCATCATTCAGTAGTTTCTTCTTCTTCATGTTCTTGTGGTGTTTAGCAGATTTTTGTGCAGCTGTTGAACTTTCAGGGTGAACTTTCTTTCGGAACATATGGAGAATCTAGAAGCCAAAAACATAGCTGGAGTCATGACCAGAATAATACCACATGCCAAGACTAAGACCATAAACAAATAATATGTTATTAAGGCGAACAGAAAAAACAAAAAGGTGAAAAGAGCATTAAAATGCAAAGCTATAAAACTCAATCTGAAGAATGCTGAGTAAGGTAATGCATAATAGTTATACATTTATTCTAGGTAGATAAACAAGAGTAAATAGAAAGTTATGGTTTGCTAGTTGTGTACCTTATTCAGTTTTGTTTCTGCAGAAGCAGAATCAATAGGCCCACCATTGATTGAAGTAGAATTCTTAGAATAAGCATGGAGCATTCTTTTTTTCAGCTTTTCTTTCATCAGGTTCACGGCAGATTTGTCCAGTTCCTTCTCAGTTCTTTTTTCCTCCTTTTCACATTTTGCACTGAAATTCTCCTCAGCTGATTTGCTTCTCTGAAACAGCTCCCCAAGCGATGTCCTGTGTTCTTTCTTTGCTGCAGCAGTTGTTTCAGATAGTTCAATAGCTGTTCCAAAGAGGTATCCCTGGAGTGGACAAATTACAGCTCCATTTCCATTTGGTTCTGCGCCTTCTATTGGCTTTCCACTCAGTGTTATTATGCTGACATGGCTGCTTCTCCCAGTGCTAACATGGCTACTTCTCCCAGTGCTAACATGGCTAGTCCTCCTCGAAGAATCAAGGCTGACATCATCCTTGGTTTCAGCCCCCAGCACTTTCTCTAGTTCATCATTGATGAGCTTAAGATCATTCTCGGTCACTTCATCTTCCTTTTCAGTTATGCTCTCGACAGAAATTGGAAATGATGGTGTTGATGGGTCAGATACTTGATCTGAACCAAGAGTTCCAATTGCCAGGAAGCCAGGGAAGAATTCCCCCTCGTAGTCCTCGTCCACTCTTGCTGCTTCTAGACCAGCAAAAGAGTTTCTAAGGTTGTGACCTTTTTGAGCATGTTTGGAAAGTCTGATTCCAAGGTTTGGTTTCTGATAGATTTGTTCATCATCAAATGGTGGTTGCCCTGAAAGACAATTGCAAGAATTCCCTGAAACAAGAAAATTTTAAAGAAATATAATAACTGAAAGACAAAACCTTGACGTAGAATCCCATAATAGCATTCAGTGACACGCTGCCTAATTCTGATGTTATACTAGTATTTCACAAATGAGAGAACATATAAATTTTCATTTTTACGGACTAACGATTTTATGGGCCTTATTAGTTATTACCTTGAAGTGTTAAACAGTCTACTTTTTGTTCCAACTTGTGCTAGCCAGACTTCTATTTTATTTTTACGATACTTCAATTTTATTCATAGCTTTTAAATGGTTGCACCGAGGTAGTTTACTGCAATGTCCTCATGGTCCTACATATTTGTGGATATGTGCATGCAAGAGACTATTTAGAACTACCTTCTACAATTCCAAGGTTAGCAGAAATCAAGTTATCTATTATCTAGTATGGCAAATTTTGCTTCATACTGGTTTTTCACTAACATGATCGACATCAAATAATTTATGCATGTATGGCTTGCTAACAGCTTATATGACTTACCAATGACCAAGTCCTTGAATGGTTCACTACTATTCTGGCGAAATTTCCTATGCATCCAGCCTAGTAACTGCTGCAAAATATATGATGAAACCAACTTAGAAGAGTAGTGAATATTCTGTGCTGCAAGGCATGATTGATAATGGATCTTACCTTCATCTTTGTTATTCAAGAAAAAAAAAAAAATCTCGAGTTTGGTTGCCTAACTTGGGAAGATAAGGTAATTGAAGGAAGTGTCTATGGTACTTAAATGATATCTTAAAAAGAACATATAAAATATTGGTGAGAATCAGTGATGTCTTATAGAGAGGATACAGCAAGAAAAACATAGAGATACTTACAAACATTGTTTGCTGTTATATCTCAGCATTAAATCAAGTGGGTCCTAAACACGCTATTCTGATCATGTGCAAGGTCGACTAACAGTAAGGCTTATAATTTTTGTGCATGATTTGGTGTAGAAAATTTTACTTATCAGTATTCTTTTGTCCATTGTTAAGAGTTAAGATGCCATGCATCAACTGCCTCACCCTTTCTGATTTGTACTAGAACAGCACATTAACCATGTCAAATAGTTTAGTTTGGTACTCATGAGTACCACGACGTGTGTGTGTGCAACATATTGTGCCTCGTGCATCTCATTAGTTGAGTTTGAGTAGTGTAGTCACGATGAACCATTGGTTCTTGGGATTGGATAACACAACAAAATCATTGGTTGATGCCTATAGAGCACAAAACAATGGACAAACAATTGACCAACAAGTGTATCTTTTCTCCTTCAGAGACAAGAAGTTAGAATAGTCTAGACCATGATAGAATCCAGGGCCCCATCAAAGTGTCTTGACACGTCACACTTTAGACCCTGCTAAATGATATGGTATGTTTCCTATTTCCTTTTCAATTATTCCCTTCCTATATGTGTTACAATTTTGATATCAGTTTATATATTCAGTATTGCCATGTGTGTGAAGCTAATAGTCCATTGAGCAATGTTGCAGATTATATGAATAATGATAATTAAGTTAGAATGGTGGTGAGAATGACACGTTTTATTCTTGAAAAGAAAAGAAAAATGAATATTAAACACTTTTTCCATGTACAAGAGAGTGAGTTGGGTTTGGTAGAAGAACAAGTTGGTACACTAGGCAACCGTTTACCTCGTGTTACTTTGGAGCAGTGATAATAAAATTCATGATTCATGAAAGTCTGCAGCAAATGGTAGGTCAGGGGACCCCCTCCCTCCGTAGAAGGAATATGGTGGGTTTTATATGTCGTTAGCAATGTTGCCATATTGGTGTTGCAAATTCACTAAGCACTCTTTCCAGAAGAAAGTTAAATGTACTTTCCCTTTGTTGTAAATTTTGATCCACATCTTTGACTCTTTCTGCCAACATGGTTATAATGATTTGGTAACTGTTGTTGCATCACTTGGATAAATAAAAATAAGAAGAAAAGGAAAAAAAAAAGGTTCTGATTGGTTTATTGACAGAAAGAATAGTGGAGATAAATAAAGTGAAAGTAAAGACATTTTTTTATGTGTCTGCGTGTGAATCTATTTCTACTGAAATAGATTATACAGTTTACTAGTTCATGATTCATTGAATCTCAACTTGGTGCTTGCTTATTAGTGGATACTGCACACTTTTACCTATTTTGGTATACTAAACTTGTTGCTTTTTTCTTAGTAAATATTGCACACTTTACCTATTTTGGAATAAGTAAAAATTATTAGGAACCTACCAAGGAGGAACTAACTTGAGGGATGCAGAAAAGTTGAATTGTGATCTTCAAATCTATTTTATTAAGGTCATCTTTAATACATTTTTCAGTTAATATTCATAAGAAATAGAAACTTAAAAAATTAAATTATCCATCTTAACTTCTAAAGAAGTTAAGTACATAAGCTTCTTCTGGTGAATGGAATAAACTTAAAATACAATTTGAGTATGTTCCTGAGATATTATTAGCAGCAAAATCAAGAATAAGAGTGAAGAAGGGAGTGCAACTAGGGCATGTTGGGTGATTATGACACAGTAGAATAAGAGTAGCACAACCCGATCAGAACAGTGTCCCTAGTGTTCTTTCTGCATGATTATGCAGGATCAAATAATTAAACAACCTTTTTATATCTTTAGGATTCGAATGAAACGATTGATATGTTTTTGTGACAAGAGAGAACTATCCAGGGTAATTCAACAGTCAAAATTTGCTTCACTTAGACTCTTTTACTCAAACCAAAGTTGTCAAACTATCAAAATTTTAAGATATATCAGAATACTGTCATTTGACAGTGAGAGACAATAATTCCTCAACCGTGTGTCCATATTTATTTGATTATATACTACTTTATGGAAATTCTTATCAGAAAATAGGAAAATTTGGAAGAGTAAGACACTTTTACATTATTGTTTAATTATATTCATTTTTGTAACAATCATTTAAATGTTATGTTAAAAGTAATTTTTTATTAAGTTTTTTTTTTTTTATACATCAGTCATGGACATTGCATAGCTATTCAACTGAATTATTATTTCAAACATATCTGCCAATGGTAAAAGTAGATCAGTAAAAGAACAAAGTGAATATATATATATATATATATATATATATATATATATATATATATATATATATATATATATATTACCGTGTTTTTTTATTTTTCCTACTTATTCTACTTCTTACAGTCATGTCTCGAAATTACTGGCTTTAGATTAAAACACAAATTTAAATTTTTTTGAAATTCAATTTATTTAATAATATTTGAGAAATTTTTATGTAAATTTTTAATATAATTTAGAAAAGAGCACGTGAATCAATAATATAATAATATATTTTAATAAAAAATTATTTTGATAAAAAATTATTTTCATTTATTTATCCAAATATATATTTGTTATTTATATATAAAATCGATTATGAAAAATAATTTTTTCTTAGTTATTCTTTTATTTTTTTATCCTCGTTTATTATTTTTTTCTCTTCTTATTTATTCCATATTTCTTTCTTTTTTTCTTCTCCAAATCTTTTGTTGTTCTCTTTACTCTCTCGCTTCTATTTTAATTCAAAATAATATATTGAAATGTTATAAAAACATGTTAAAGTATTTTTTTCTAAATCAACATTAAAACTAATAAAATATCAAATAGTTAATTAAAATTATGCTAATAATGATTTTATATTTTATAATAGTAAATAATCATTTTTAAATTATTTTATTATAATACAATGTTGAATTGAGTTACTTTTATTGAATTTAAAGTTAATAATTTTTTTATTTGACTAGTTTTAGTTAAATGTATGTAATAACATTTGATCTAATGAATGGAGTTACTTTTTGATAAAAAAATTAATTATTTACTAACATCATAATTTTAAATAATTAATTAATATATTTTTTTAAAATTTAATATTTATTTTTAAAAAGTTATTTTAACAGATTTGTATTAAATTTAATATGATATTTTTAATTAGAATAAGTGAAAGAGAAAAGAAGAATAAAAGAAAAATAAATAAATCAAAGAGTAACGAAGAAAAAAATTAAGAAAATGAAAAATAAAAAGAAAAAATTATTATATGTAAAAAATCAATTCGATGTAATTAAATAAATATATTAATATTGATGAATATTTTATTAAGTAATATTTTAAAATATTTTATTTATAGATCGAAAAATAAATAGTTGATACTTTAAAGCTATAATTGACATTTTTATTATTATATTTACATTATTAACACAAATGGTTAAATATTGTTTTTATTTGTTTTAATTGAGTGTGATTTGAATCTCCCAATGTTAACTATAATTTGAAAGAGTATTTTTTAACATATGATAATTAGTCGAGTAATTATAATCTACTGAAATTGTTTAGTGATTAAACTTATATAATAAGTTTTGAAGTCAAATTTGTGTACTAAATTTAAAGATGTCATTGATAATATGTGAGGTAGTATTGAAGACGTCTCTCTAAACTACCACTTTTGATTTACGAGAAAATCATTATTTTGTGTTATTTGCGGGAGATTGAAGAGGGAGCAATGGAGTTGGTGAGATAATATGACTTGAGTCACAGTTTCATGTAACACTTGTGCAGTTTGGCCTACCATTACGCGATCATGGCAATGCCACGTCATTTGGTTGATGATAGGTAAGAATTAAAATAAATGTGTTTACTTTTATAAATTGAATATATTTTAATATATAACGTAAGTCGAGTATCTCTATTTTGTTTAATCCGTAATTTTAATAATTTATTTTAAAATAGAAACAATTTATTCTATATTTGAGGAAAATATCAATTTATGTGACTTAAACTACGCTTTGGAACTATCTTTAAGAAAAATCTTCCTTGAACTGTTTTATGATTATTCACGATGATTAAGAAAAATTAGAGAGGATAACAATGTAATATAAACATTTCATGAAGGAGAAGTATAGAAACAACAAAAAAGTACCGTCCGTATGTATGCATGCCCAGTTCTTACTGTGTATTGTACGCTATAACATTTAATTTTACCCTTATTTTAATAATGATTACCAATCACACAAGTACATTTTTGTTTCTGGACAATCATGTGCATTATTTTTGTTCTTCCACAGGTGTTGCTGAGTAGCAACGAACTTCGCCCATGAAAATCCTCAAATGACATGTTAAAGGTAACTTAAAATAAAAGTGTTTAAAAGTAGAATGACACAGACAAACAGGGCGTTATTTTACTTTTTATTTTGTATGAGCATTTAAATATATCATAAACATGAAAGAATACAGGATAAAATGGATATTATTAAGGTCCAGAACAGTAGATGTTGCCTGGAAAATCTGAAACAAATGTTGAATGGCATTAGCAGGTACCGTCCATATAATCTACCAGCAATTCCTGGACCGTGCCTCTATCTGGCATCTTCCCTGCGGCGCCATATATAGGTGCTAGGCCTCCACTTATTGGACCTGGATTTTCTTTCACCTGAAATTGAAAAGGAAGAAAAGAGTGAAACAGAAAATACAAATCGAATAGAATTGTATGTATCAATTAGTGAACTGTTACATCAACTGCCATCCTAATCCCTGCAACCACCCTCTGCTGGTGGCCCGGAGAGAATATCTTAACTCCATAGAAATATAATAAATGAATCATTTATTACTGGGATTCCATATATGTAAGCAACTCACAGTTTTCACAGACTCCTTCAAATCATTGAGAAAGTCTTCAATAATTGGTACATGTTGCAGTGTAACACAGATATGGATGCTGATTCAAAAACACGGATGAAAATTTTTTCAGTTTCTTCAAAGCGACCATCATGTACTGGCAATTTAATGATAGAAATACAGACAGTGCCCCCACTCCACCCCAATCTTAAAGCCCTACCTGTTGGGTCTCTGTAATGCATTCAAATGCCACCCTTTGGATGACATAATATCATTCACTTCAAATATATCTAGAACATCAGATCCAAAAGCCACGATGGTCATGTCGGGTTTTCCAACAATAAACAACTCAGCAATCTCCTGTATGCTGCAGATATAACATAATCATTACATTCAAAACTTTTATACAGGGCACAGCTTGAGAGTAGATACAGAAAGAGAGGAACACAGTATCTTACCCTTTCTGTATTCTTCTTGACCCCTCCATAATTGCTTTTGTATTTTTCAAGTAACCTGAAGAATATGGCACACCATAAATTGGCCGTACATCATACATTTCAATCAGAGTAAGCAGAAAGAGAAATCAAATTATTATCTCCAAGGCAGCACAGAGAGGTTGTGGACAGTAACCTTCTTTCCCTTGAGAAATCATTGCTGCCCACGCACCAGCAATAAGACTTCCAGGCCTGCTTCCAGCTATGGTTGGAGACACATACAACCCACCAGACCACTCAGTAACTGTGACATTGACAATTTGACACTAATTAGTAAAAAAACTGTAACGGAATTATTTTGAGTAAGAGACAACATTTCCTCCAAAAAGAAACATGACTAGCCCCACCACTAAATATGACTAAAAAAAATAGTGGCTCCTGTCTAAAGTATATGTCACTACGTATCATCTTCTCCTTTCCTTACAGGTTGTACACACGCACAAACACATTAAAAAAATAACCCCAATTACCCAGGACATAACATTAATCAGAAACAAATAGTAAACTTACCAGCAACAAATTGATGCTGTATAATCCAGAAGACAAAGAAAATATGTTAGTAATCAGCTGCAAGTAATTCAACAACCAATTTTCCAACAATAAAAAGCATGTTGTAGAGAAGGTACTTGATAAAATAGACATGAAAAGGGGGGAAGGAGGAATACATATAAAAGAATTAAGTAATATTTTACAGAACATGTTGTTTTTAATAGAAAAAGAAATGTTATTAGATAGAAAAGAGGAAAAAAACACAACTAAGGGAAGAGGAAGTTATCCATACAACAAATAGGAACACAAGGTAAACAAAACCTGTAGAACGTGCCATGATTACCTAATCTAGTCTCTTCAATTATTAGAATACAAACTCCAATGAAAAAAGCCATGAGCAAAACGACCAGGCTCAAATAGCTGTTTAACGTTGCAAAAAATATGGTTTATACTTCCTTAAATAGTTTTCTGATTACACTATCGGAGAAACTGTCCGACACAAACATGATTGCTTTTGTTAATAGACTTTCCTATAAATGAAATTTCATGTCCACAAGGGTTGTAAAACTTGAAATTGTTTTTATTTAATAAATTTTTATGAGTTGGATATGATGCACTGAGAGGGGTGATTTTAAGAATATCCATGTGAAAAATGATGAACTTGAATTTCAGATATTGAAATTGCTTTAACGTTTATGAGCCAAAGAACTGGCCCTAGTATACAATTCGTCCTCTTCTATCTTTATCTCTAAAATTGTATTCAGCAAAAGAAAGTTTTTTCCTCCAATAATAGTACCTTACTATCCCTATGAAGAAATGCAAGAATATTTCATCTACCAACTCTTCATGATTTCCCAAGGAAGAGAAAGAGATAGAGGACTCTTGAACTAAGACATTTGGATGTATAGCCTAGGATGTCCAATATGCCATGCGCAAGAGTACGAAAGAAATAATGTTTTCTGAAGATTAGAAGATGTCATATACCGTGAGATGTTCCCAATAAGTTGCAAAATTTAATAGTAAAAAAGTTAAATAACAACTTCAGAGTTCACGTACAAACTAAAGGCTACAAATAATTTATCAGTTACTGCCAAACGCTTTTTGAGTTAATCATTGCCTTACCTTTCTGATTTCATGGTTTCTATAAAGAACTACACTTGTTCCTTTGGGAGCTAAACCGTATTTATGTACATCTGCTGAAATTGAAGAAACCCCTTTAACAGAAAAATCAAAAGGTGGAATAGGGTACCTGGGAAGAAAAAAGTTGAGCATGGATTACTTAAATTCGTACTAAAACGAAGTTACGACAAAGGCTACATATTATTTCCAATATAATATGATTGGATGTGTTAAATAATTAATATAATCATAAAAAAATTAAGCCAAGTCCCAAGAGAAGTTGAAGAGAATACTACAGTAACAACATAATCCTAAAACAATTAGACTTGCAGTTGCAAATAAAGATAAATTGGAATGGAATGTATTATCAATGAAAGAAGAAAAGGCCTAATAAATTGATGAGTTCAGAGCCAAAGATCAGATTCAAATATGAAAGTATAGCCCCTAAAACAACGACAAGGTAAAAATCCAGGCCAAGGATAAAAGATACCAACACTGAATGATGGTTCAGAAATATAAAATAAGTCATGCTAACTATACCCAAGCTCACGAGCAAATGGTAATACAAAGCCACCAAGGCAAAGGTCCACATGGAAACAAATACCAAAGCTTGATGCCAGATGACCAAGATCCTAAGGAAGAAATTGGAAAATTATCTGCATTATGGTAATTGAGCAAACAAGTTGAACTCATATCTTATTCAGCATTAGATGAAAAAACTTACTTCAATGGGGTCAATTATTCCATGAGGAAACCCTGGCGCAGATCCAACAATCTGGTTTATCATGACAGCAAATTTCATTTGGAAATAAGAATTTAATATAATAGCAGTTTGCATGCCATATAAAATCCTGTAGCAAGAAATTTGAATCTTTTAAATAGAATTTTTCAAATAAGAAAAAAAGTCTTCATACCAAGATGGTATTTTTGTTAATATGACGTCGAATCGCTCTCACATCTGCTTGAAAATTCTTGTTAACTGGTACACGCCATAGTTTGATATTTAAATACTTTGCAGCCTTGTCATATGCTGAGTGTCCAGACACAGGAATAATCCTATAATTTGATAGTTTGAAAATATATTAAGAAATAGTTTGCCATGTATATAATAATGAATCATTGGTGACATACATTTCAGGTCTTGTAATTCCTTTCTTAGATTTCATATAGTCACGGGAGGATTTGACAGCTAATAATATACTTTCAGTCCCGCCTGATGTCATGTTGCCACATATTTGTCCTCCAGAACTATTTTCCTTACTTCCAAGAAGTGCCGCTGTCATTGCAACCACTTCTGCCTCAAAGCGTGTAACACTCTTGAATACATCCAAATGCAGGGGATTGGTATGAGCAAACCTGCAATGTCATCAATTGTTCAATATATTCAACAGTATCAGCAGCCAATTCGATGTAAAATTCTCCAAAATGTTAAGTAATTTCAACATTAATTAATGCCAAAACTTAATTTTCAAACTTTCTGTGAGACTCAGAATTATGTAGAACTAGCCCAGATTATATGACTTAATCCTGTAATGGTCTAAGTAGCAAAGAGGAATCCTGTTTATTTCTGATTGGCAAAACTGGAAGTCTTAACCATAAGCATGCTTTGAATATTTTCAAATTGAAACAGTTAGGAAAATTTCCTATAATGCCTACAGCAGAGTCAGAAGCCAGATTCATGTTGAGTTAAAAAAATACATAAACTGATAATAGTGGTCTACAATAGGGTGCTTCCAGATCCTAAAGCAAATAAACCAAGGTACTCTGAAGTAGGTAAACAGAAATTTTGATCATTACAAAACGACTGATCTATGCAAAAATCCGTCTACAAGAATATTAAAAAGTAAAAAAGTAATTGTCAATCAGTGGACTAAACATTCATATTAACACAAACATAAAACACAACTGCAAACTCTGTAGTGTCTTACTAACATTGAACATGCCTCGTTTATCACAGAAAAATGTCCATCAGATTCACTTCCTCCAATGTACCTGCAAGAAATAAACGATAAATACATCTAAAAAAATACAGTACCCGTCAACCTCAAGTGGATGGAAAAAGGAAAGAAAGAGTCTTGCAAGTACAAATGATCAGAATTTAACATTCAACCAAAATTATGAACATACACTGTACCGGAGCATTTGCCTTGCCAGAGTGGATCGTTTATTTTTTCCTCTCTCATTTTCTCGAGGACAGATGTCCCTAATCCTATGCTTGGCAACTCAGTATTCCAACCATCTCTTCTAGATTTGCTGTCAGATTGCAACTTATCCACAACCTGTGAGTTCAATGACCAGATTAATAAGTAAATCAGTTACCGATGATGATCCATGGTTTAAAGAAAACAGAAAATTGTTAAAAACAAAGTATACATCTATCACTTGAGGTGGCATGGCAATTGAAATCTGTGTTTGAATTTGACAAATAATGACATGGGACAAACCCAAACGGTTTCTTTAGCTCATGCACACTAAGTTCGCTGATTAGTTCTCAATACAATTTTGCTAATGAAACATATTAATAAACTTATTTCACCTCCATTTTTACCCCATACCAAACTGACCCTAAGAAAGAAGGTAAAGCAACAAAATTCTTATGAAGACCCATCCTACACCTTTTTCCATCCCAACATTGAAATGAATACCAATTTAACAGTACAGAAAGATGGCACATTTAATTCTGCGGTGAAATATCATCGTAGGGAGATATGGAATGAAAAGCTGAGTCCTTTCAAGAACTCAGCTTCCGTAATCATACCGATCCTGTGTAATTTTACCTCTTTTCTCTTCCATTTCGTCACTGTAATATAATAATACAACTCTAGACAACACAGCCACCTAATTGGGCCTTGTAGTCAAAATGTGAGATGAGAAGTCCCTGGTGCTTACTTTTTTTAGAGGAAAGTATTACCTATAAATCACCCCAAAACTCGTCTTTCTCTTACCTCAAATCTCTTCCTTTCTCTTATTTATTGTTTTCTCTTCCTCCCAAATCTCTTCCTTTTTCTTATTTATGGTTTTCTCGTCATTATATTTAAAGAGATATTACATATTATCGGTTTTTAAAGAGAATATTAAGTATTGTCGGTTTTGTTTTTCTTTTTATTTTTTGAGTTCTTGGTTAGTCTGATTCTAATCAAACTAAACTCATTGCCACTCAAACCACAACAAACAAAACCAGAGCATGATGAAAGAAAACAACACGCATGCATGCGAAATTGACTTCATACACAGTACAGAGACCAAACGAAAGCCCAACCGAATTAATCCAATAGAATCACACTGAACCCAACCTTCTGTTTTTCGGCATCTATGTACCCCTTCACGCCAGGGACCAATCTGCAAATCGAAACACAGATCATGAATTAGATTAATCAAAATCATATAGAAAACAGTAACTGACATACATAAATACATGAATAATAACATCAATGTTAATTTATGAGAAATAGCAATGCATGGAGTAGTTTTTTGTACTTGACAGAGTTCAAGAGAAACCCTAGTAGCGTGGCTTTGAGTCCGTTCTCGGAGAGGTGGCGGAAGATGGAGTGAAGCGAGTGAGCGAGAAGAACAGAGAGGAGTGGAAGGAGAAGCAGAGCAAGTGGTTCGTATTGGGAGAGGAAGGAATTCGCGGAGACTCTGACGTGAGAGATCGAAGGATAAAAAGTAGAAGAATCCATTGGAAACGGTGGGAAGGAAGAAAGGTAGCAACGAAGAAGAAACAAATAACGGTGTTGTCAACGCAAAGCGTATTAGTAAAAGTGTGAGGGAGAGAGAAAAGTGTATTATATAGTAGTAGAATACAGTGTTTGTTGGGGGAAAGAAAAATATAACCACCAACTCTGTTATGTTGCGTGGACAAAAAGGGTTTGCGTTGGGTGGACAAAAGGAGTTTGTGTTGCGTGTGTGTCCAGTGGTGGTGAAATATCCTCTTTCAGTCGTCCTTGAATGTTCATCACCCTTTTCACTACTCTTGTTGTGTTAGCATTGTTGCTTTCTCCTTCAACATGTATATCCAGATATATACTACTAATATATATATTAATAATACTAATCATTCCTTTCCCAAGCACATATATACTGAGGCCACTCAATCTTAAAAATAAATAAATAATAGTTTAATCTTTTCAAATAATTTATAAATTATATTTTTTAATATTAATTACTTATGCATGTAATAATCATTATTGGGACGTAATTATTCAAATTAAGTTTCATTTTAATATCTAGTGGATTAAAACTTTTGGAAATTTTTTTATTGATATTAATTAATTTAGAATTTCTATATTCTTAATATTTTTTTTCCTCTTACGTATAAACAGTATCATATCCTTTCCTACCTAAAATAAGAGGACAATTATACGAAATTGTGTTAAGAATATTGTTTTAAAAGGATACGTTTTAAATATTATTTCAATGGTTTAGAAATTGAACTGTTACCATTTTGTGAATTAATCATTTCACAAAATTAGAATTTTAACCATTATCATTCTAAAAAAAATCAGTAATTCTTTTAAAGATTTGTGTACCTTTTAAAGATTAAATAGCTTTTTGAGAACATAATTTAAATGTAGCACCAGCAAACCATTACAATTTAGATTATTTAATTTTTATATATATATATATATATATATATATATATATATATATTTTAACCCAAAATTTCTCACTCTTCTCGTTTATTTTATGTTATAATAAAAAATCTATCTCGTTTATTTTATGTGATAATAAAATATATATCTCGTTTGTTTTATGTTATAACAAAATATCTATCTGTTAACTTTCTTCACTTTTGATGTCGTGTTTTGTTGCATCATAAGAGAAATATATAAATGTTTTGCTGATTGAGATATTATTTTTGTGCAACACAATTTAATGGTTATTTATTAATATGTTTATCAATTAATTTACTTTTGTTTCAGATAACAATTCATAAAATGAAACAATTGAAAAAATATTTATTGAAATATTTGATAATCTTTCAACATAACTTTAATATGTCTTTGTAAAAAAAATCTAAATTTGTAATTATAGGTTTATTATAGTTTTAATTAGGAATAACAGTGGATGGTGCTAGTGTAATTTTAATCTATTAATTTATTTTATTTAATTACTTAACTCGATGAACTAAAAGAAGAATTACGGTTATCTTATTTAAAAAAATATTTATATATTAAAATTAAAAAAATATAATTTAAAATATTATATCTTTTATATTATATTATTAAAATATATAAATATATTATAATTTAAATTATAAAAATTAATTAATTAAATTATTAATTATTTTAATATATAAATGTAATAATTTTTTAATTTATCTAATAAAAATATTAATCAATAAATAAAAAATTTAAATTTATTTATAAAATTTAAAATATATTTTAAGAAGATACATATAAAACAATTATTAATCCAGTGTCAGAAAGAACAATTGAGATACGTAATCTCCTTAATCATGATATATCATAATATCAATCCATCCCACGCGAGCCTAGAGAATGGACAAGCTAGAACTGGACGGCATCCCTAGTTTTAATCATTTAAGATATTTTATGGTGGAAAACTTATTTTATTTAATACTGTTAGAAACATAGAAGAACTACGTAAATATTAATATAATCTTTAAGGTAAATATTTAAAACTTACAAAATTATAAACATTAAAAAAATATTAGATTTTAATAAAATAATTAAAGTATGATTTCAAAATCATGTTAACTGAAATTAATATCAATTAACCAAAATCATAATTTTTCCACTTATTATATAATTTTAAAAAATTGGGCTAATTATCATGTTGGTGTGGACTATTGAGCCCAATTACAGACAGAAGCCTCCTTCCTCTTGTTCTCCGGCGTTAGGGTTTCTTCCTCCATCAAACTCCATCGTCGCAGTTCGCTCCTTTCAGTTCAGAAACATGGCTACAAGTATGATTACGCTTCCAACAATCTCCACGATTTTGTTTCGTTTTTGTTCACTCACGTGACTCGATGTCTCGTTTTACGCATGCAGCTACGACTAGATCTTTTCTCCAGGTCGCTGCGACGGAGGAGGCTGCGCCGCCTCTAAGAGTCGTCCAAATTGAAGGACTGGTATCAATTCTATAACTTCAATTGCTCCATTATTGTTTAATTTTACCTATGTATATATGGGGTTATTGGTTAGCTTCAATTTGTTTCACGTATCTGTCTAATCTATACTTGTTTTCTCCATTTTTATGAATTTTTGAAATGACAACATTTAGCGTTATAGTATATTATGCTGATGGGGATCTGGTAGTAGGATTCATGTCATATATTTACCTCTTTGTTGGTTAACATTGGACCATGGAAGTTAGTAAAGCTTTTGTGGCAAGTTAGTAAGAGAATATTCAATACTTTTTTGCGTTGTGAGGGGAATACTGACACCAATCTTGTGCTTCTGTCTCTTGGTTGAACAGGTTATCCTTAAGATAATTAAGCACTGTAAGGACCACTCGCCTTCTTTGGTCACTGGACAACTTCTTGGGCTGGATGTTGGCAGTGTTCTTGAAGTTACCAACTGCTTCCCCTTTCCAGTATGATTTTCTTTTTTGTTTCTCCATTTTTGAATTCTTCAATTTATCCGTTGATCCTGTTACTAAAACTTGCAGATGAGGGAAGAGGATGAGGAAATTGAAGCTGATGGTGCTAATTACCAGCTTGAAATGATGAGATGCCTGAGGGAGGTTAATGTTGACAACAACACTGTTGGATGGTATGTATGAGGAAGATTTAGCTTTTCATATATACCTGTCCTTTTAATTGCTTGTTTAATACGATGGAAGTTTGGTTCAAGACGTTCTTTCTTTCTTTGTAATCATTTCACCAACACATGGGATAATTCTCTGAATCTAGGTACCAATCTACATTGCTCGGTTCCTTTCAGACTGTGGAGCTTATTGAAACCTTTATGAATTACCAGGTAATAAACGCTTGTCAATTTATTAATTGTTGCGTACTTTTGCTTCGGCTTGGATTTTTTGTTAGTATCTTGAATAGTCATACGTTGTTTTGGAAATGCTTCAATAGTTTGATATTTACAATAACATGCCTCTCATGACTATTCTACCCGGGTATATTGAGGCCACTATTGGAAGTTGATTTCAATAGCGTAATAACCTTTGAAACTATAAATGGAGAATGTTCAACTGGCCAACACAGGATATGGCCTGCACCACCTAGGATTTGAACTTCTGAACAGGCATCTATTATAAATTTATAATAATGTACCACTATGTCATTCATGATCAAGTGTTGTGGAGCATAATTTGTTGGATGGAAGTTTTACCCGATACAATTCCCTGGGAATTTTGCACAAGCTAAATTGTATTATATTTACAAACATGGTTATTATATTGATTTGAAGTAGAAATAGGTTTTCGGAAATTAAGGGAAGCTGAGTGGAGTAGGTATAGGCATGGCAACGGGGCGGGGGCGGGTTTTGCCTCCCCGATCCCCGCCCCCGACTTTTTTAACCATCCCCGCCCCGATCCCTGCCGGGGTTAGAAATTAAGTCTCCATTCCCGTCCCCGCTTGGGTTTCGGGTTCCCCACCCCAGTCCCGTCCCCGATTTATATTATTTTTAAAAAGATAATTACATTTATAATGAATTAATTTTACTATCTATTTTTTATATATAAATAAATATTTATAATTTATAATTATTATTAATTAAATATACATTTTAATTTATCATATTTATATTAAAATGTGTATGTAAAAGAAATATTTAATCATTTTTTATTTATAATATTATTATTATTATTATAACACTGTATTCAAAATATTTGAATATTTATAACACTATTATTATAATAATGCATTCAAACATTTGATTATATATGTTAATTCATTTTTAAGTTGTCATTTAAAAATATGGAATATATTGTTTATAAGGAAATATTTAATAAGTTAATTCTTATTCAATTAGTTCGAAGTAATAAAAATTTAAATTATCCATTCCTTTAATCCTTTAAAATACAATTATTTTATTAAGATAAAATTTGATATATGATAAATAAGAATAATAAGATAAAAAAATATGACATAATAAAACCTAATAAATATAAATTATAAATAAAATAATATTAGTTACTACTTTATGTAAAATATTTAGAAAAAGATAAAGAATAAAAAAAAATTAACTTTGTGTTCATCAAATTGGTTGAAAAGATTGAAAAAAAAAACAAATTGATGGGAGAGATTAAGGAGATGTGAAAAACTCGAAAGGTAAGAGGAAAAATAATGTAATAAATTAATTGATATAAAATATTAAAAAAGATAAAAAAATTAAAAAGTGGGTAGAAGAAAAAAAAATTGGTGAAATATAAAAAAATGACCTTATATGTAAAAAAGAAAAGGAAATACTTTTAGAATATTAATATTTTAAAATTTAAATATAAAGCCGGGGCTGGGACGGGGTCGGGGTGGGGATTGCATTACCCATCCCCGCCCCGCCCCCGACTTTTTAAAGCAGGGAAAACCCGAATCCGCCCCCGTTCCCGGTCAACTCGGGTTTTCTCCGTCAAACTCGGGGCGGGGACGGGTCGGTCCCCACGGGGACGGATTTAATTGCTATCCCTAGGTAGAATGACAAACATGAACTATGTTTGGTTGAATCAGATGATGTGAATATACCGCGTATGTTTAGGTTTCCTATTACTTAAATTTATTATAAATGGCTGCTGGTGATTTCTGATATTTAAAACAGAAAAGTGTGATTTTGGATGCAGCCCATTGTGCATTTTTCTTTATTTTTTTTGGTTGAAGACATTATTTTCAACAGTATCTATTCTGAATGACCTTTAATTTCAAACTTACCAATGCTTTTCAGGAGAATATTAGACGCTGTGTTTGCATAATATATGATCCGTCGAGGTCTGATCAAGGTGTTCTAGCTCTGAAGGCCCTGAAACTTTCTGATTCGTTCATGGAACTCTATCGCAGCAATAATTTTACTGGAGAGAAGTATGAATTTTCTTCTGGTCTCTTGTTGTGTATAAGTTGAACCATTTGATTACTTATTTTTCTATCTTGTGAAATAGATTGAGGGAGAAGAACTTGTCATGGGTGGATATCTTTGAGGAAATACCGGTAAGCTTTTCCTGAAATTTGCCTCCCCTTTTGGGGGTGGTTTAGCCAAGTAGTCAGTCCTTCATATAATGAATTACTGTTTGTTTTCTATATATTTTAAGTAATGTCTATACTTACAAAATCATGTTAGCAATCAAGGTGGTTGAAATTTTGAAATGATTGGTAAATACATTTGTCATGGTTAATTAGAATGGTAATAGTCTTTGCCATATTTGTTAATGCAACAGTTAAGGAGGAGCTAGAGATGCTACTGTCATTAAGATGAATAATTTTGCATATTTTATAGAATGGAAGTGTATTAATTAGTTTCGGATTATTTTTTGTTAGTAGTTTTGGGACTAATGATGACCGTGCTTCATATATGTATGTATATTTTTTTATTTTCAGATTAAAGTTTCAAATTCTGCCCTTATCAGTGCTTTTATGACAGAGCTGGAACCTGATACTCCAGTCACTCAGGTGAACTATGATCTTTAATAGAGATTCTTTGGATCATTTTAAATTTTTTTGTGTTTACATCTGCTTTTGTCCCCTTGCAGTGTGATTACGATCGCTTGCAATTGTCAACAAGTTCATTAATGGAGAGGAATGTGGAATTTTTGATTGAATGCATGGATGACTTGTCATTAGAACAACAAAAGGTTATTTTAGGTTCTCATTTAGTTTGTGGGTCTTTTTGTTGTTTTAGAATGTAATTGACTGAAATTTCTTTCATTTTAGTTCCAATTCTTCTATAGGAGCTTGTCTCGTCAACAAGCTCAGCAGCAAGCATGGCTTCAAAAGAGAAGGTATGTTTGTTGTCTTTGAACTAGTATATGTTCAAACTAATAAATGCATTATGTACTCATTGTAAGATAGGGATGCATAGATTTGTACTAAGTCTTATGTGGTTTGAGAATACAGTTAACATATAAATGGATGTTTTTTGCTAATTAATAAGTTTGTTTTAGTTCAGATTCCTTGTCTTTGAATATGTGTTTTCTATTTGTTTTACATTCTGATATTCTAATGATTTATTTAATACATTTTGAAATGGTCCCTCACCCTCTACATCTCCCGCATTTCAGGTGCTGAGTATGCATCAATAGATTATATGTTAGGAAATAGTGATTTGCTGTTCTTTCTTTTGGAGGGGCTGGTGGACCTTTGCAATAATTAGAGTTTACTTTATGGTTTACCATACTTGATTTTCTTATATCCCATATCCAAAAAATGATAAATGAGCATATGGTAATTGTAACACAATTTTTTAACTCTTAATTTTTTCATTTTCACTGAACATTATGGTAATCCTGCAGTATTTGGATATTCGCATATCTGATTAGCATTTTTAATGTTATTTTTCTTTGGTGTCTTTTTATATTTTAAGTAAACATGGAAATTGATGGTTACAATAGATAGCTTATTGGTTCAGCATATTATATATTTGGTTTTTGTAATATTAGGGCGGAGAACATGGCTCGTAAATCTGCTGGAGAAGAACCCTTGCCCGAGGAAGATCCTTCAAATCCCATTTTCAAGCCACTCCCCGAGCCATCACGCTTGGAGAGCTTCCTCATTACAAATCAAATTTCCAACTACTGCAATCAAATCAATGGGTATGTGACTAGATTTTGGTGGTGACTATGCCCTTTTATTTATTTATTTCTTTTAAATGTTTGAGGAGCAAATATACTAAGTTACCGATTTTGATGTTTCTGACTTTCTTTTATTTCTTCTATCATGGTCTTTTCTAGCCAATTGAGTTTATTAATCGTACGGACTTGCATGTTCTGCAGGGTGTCAGGGCAGAGCTTTAACAGACTCTATTTGATGAAGGCTTTGCATGAGGATTGAGAAGGCAATTCTTGTTTGCCATTTCTGATGGTTTGGTCAATTGCTTTTTCATAGATGATGAGAAATTTTCTGGTGAATTTAATAGTATATTAGAGGATCATGATTTTGCGCCGTACTTTTTGTTTATTTTTGAACCCGTCCATTGTAGGCAGTATACTGTCTTTAGAGAGATACATGGAGTGCCACTTGTTGCTTGTTATTTGAGTTGTGCTGCAAATTTGAGCATCCAGTCATATTAACCAACTAATTCATTTATGTTCAAAATTATAATACCTTTTATGAAGATATTTTGTATGATTAGAAATTTTATGGGACAGAAGGAGGTCTATTTGATTTGAACTTAGAAAACCGATTCTCGCACTTTATACTGCATTTAATGGTAGAAAAATAACTTTATTGTATAACCATTTCAAAGGTTATTGTTGATCATAAGTTGCACCGTACTAAAGGTTTTGAATTTTTTATATTCAAATGGCTCTAATGCTAATAATAATAATAAAAAAAACAAATTTGAAACATCTATATTAGAAATATGTTACATCTTTTTGGAAGACTTTTTATGGTTGATTGGAAATTATTAATATTAGTAGGTATAAAATAACATCACTTCTGATATACAATATATACTTGTAAAACATATTTTTTTTAATAAATTTTAACTATTCATTAAAAGAGGAGAGGTTATTCTCGGTTGGAATGAGAAAAAAGAAAGGGACATGACAAAAAAGTATAAAAGTATTTATTTAAGGAGAAATCGATACTAAAAGAAATTTTTTTTTGCTCTTTTAAAATGATAAATAAATTATGCAATTACAAAATTATTTATATATTTATTTAAAAAATGTTATTATTTTATCTTTTCCATTTTTTTCTTATGTGTTAAGAAAGAGTAAGAATAAGGTAAATATTTTAATTATTTTTTGTATATTAATTAATTTTCATCTTTTATTTTTTTATAAATGATAAGTGGATATTTTTATTTTAATAAACATTCATTATATAACTTATTTTAATAATATATATTAATAAAGCTTTTAAATTTATATGTTTATTATTATTTTTTATTATAAAGAAGTGTAGATTGAAAATAGGGATGAATAATGGTTCTTAACTAGGACGTTAAAATGAGACAATTTATTCTGTTTTAACTTGTCCATTTGTCAAAAATTGATGGGGGTGCGGTGGGGCGATCTGCATTAGTTGGAATGGATTGTAGATCAGTTCATCCTATTAAAGGATGGATAGGGGACTAATGATATTATTTTTTTATATAATTTATATATATATATATACATTATAAATTATAGTTTTAATTATATAAATAAATATGAAATTTTTATTTATTAATTAATAATTTTATTAAACAATTTAAAAAATTATTATATTATGTATTAAAATACTTAATTATAATTAATAATTTGAATTTAATTAATTTATAATTTAAATTATAATATTATAATATATATTATATATTTTAATATAAAATAAAAAATTTATAATTTTAATTATAATAATTTATATTTTAATTTTAATATATAAATATTTTTTTAAAATATATCAACATATCATCTACTTTTCTTCAATCCGTAGGATTGACGGACAAAATTGATAAAATATAATAGGAGACTAAACCTATCAAACCTTGTATTTTTTTTAGACTGGGAGGATCCGTGACCTTCAAGCTATCAATCAAAATGAATTAAAAATATTTAGATTTTATTGATATGGTACAAATTTTTGAAAATTTACTAAAAGGAGTAAATTATGTTACGTTACATAATTTTAAATAAAAAAATTAATCTAACATAAAACAATTTTATGATAAAAAAATTAATACCGTGTTCTCTATAATAAGTTAAATAGTTTTTTTTTTAATAAAATCAATGTCTTACTACTACGTAGTACTGCTTCCGTGATATGAATATAACTAAGTCATATGATGTAATATGACTTTGATTTTGTTTCTTAAATAATTAAATTAATTTTATTAAATAAATATATTATTTAAAAATTAATAACTTTTATATTATAAAATATTATATTATATTAATTATTTATTTATTTTATTTATATTAATTATTATTTTATATAAATTTTATGTAAATAATTATAGAAAAAATATTTTTAAAAATATATATTAATAAATATATTTTTAAATTTAAATTATGTTATATTATTTGTTTCAAAATTAATAATATATATTTTTATAGTTTTTTATAATTAAATTAAGTTTTTGAGATAATATATATTAATAAATATATTTTTAAATTTAAATTATGTTATATTATTTGTTTCAAAATTAATAATATATATTTTTTCTATATCTATTATTTATAAAATTTATATAATATAAATAATTAATATAATATTTTATAATATAAATATATCATAATAAATAAATTATTAATTTTTAAATAATATATTTATTTAATAAAATTAATTTAATTATTTAAAAAATAAAACTAAAGTCATTTAACTAACATGGTACTATCGTAACATGATTTTAATTTTATAAAAAAATAAAAAGAAATTTACGATAAATTTTTTGCAGAAAATATTATTTTAATTTTTTTATGATGAAATCGTTTTAAAGGACACCATTTTTTTTATTTAGAATGATATAATAAAGTAAATTTAACTCAGGAATTTTTTTTTAATTTTACACATATCATTGAAATTCAAATATTTTTAACCATTTTGATAAAAAAAAAAAAAAAAAGTCATATACTCTTTCATTTTTAAACCAAGGAGCCCATGTTTGATATTCCTCTTGTGCGTATAAAAATTACTTCTACACCAGATAAGTTTGGTTCTTTACTTCCATTTTTCTTCTGGGAAGCTCTAAACTCTCTCTCCCAATATAATAACACAGTTCTGTGCATTCATGCCTAAGGTTTTAGATTTGTCCTTTCCAACGAACAACGCACGTGGCCAAATTGCTATCATTTGTACCATGATTAAAGTTTGGTAAATGAAATCCTTAGGCTAATATCAGTGAAAGAGAAAACAAGAGTTAAGAGTTGAGAATAACAGATTTATATGATAGTGATTTCCATTTATACGAGGAAAATATGCTTGTACTTTAAAAGAACATTCCACATAAGTCAAATGGCCAAAAATTAAAAAAGGATACAGAACATAACAAAAAAAAAAAAAAAAAATTTCTTAATAGCAACAGAGATGTTTTTCTATATGTCAAGCTAGTTCATCAGAGAAGCATATCTCATCAAAACACTTCCATTCTTTGAGGAACTGGGGTTTTAATGACCTGCAGTATTTGCACCACTTCTGCCATAGTAGGCCTGCTAGAAGGAATTTGAGAGGTGCATACCATTGCTAGCTTTAGAACAGGCAACACCTCATCTTCTGGGTACTCACTCATACTTTGATCCACACACTCCAGCACATTACCTTGCTCAAGCAGCACCCTCACATGGTCATTCAGTATAAGCACATTGTCTTCACCATACTCCACTGGTCTCCTACCTGTCACCAGCTCAAGGATCATCACCCCAAAACCGTACACATCACATTTCTCATTCACCCTTAAGCTCTGGCATGCTAACTCTGGTGCCACATATCCTAATGCACTCTGAAACCTGTTGCTCATCACATGCCTGTCCAGCTTTGTCAGAAGCCGAGCTAACCCGAAATCCGAGATCTTGGGGTTGCAATTTTCATCAAGAAGAATGTTACTTGGCTTTATGTTGTAGTGGATGATTGGTGGGCGGAAAGAATGGTGCAAATGAGCAAGCCCCTTTGCTGTTCCAAGCAAAATTTTAAACCTTATAGGCCAAGAAAGAGGAGGACTTGAAGGAAGCCTTTCATGTAGCTTGGCTTGCAAACTACCATTTGGTGCAAACTCAGTTACTAAAAGCTGTAATTGAGGAGTCCAATAGTATCCTTTCAATGCTATTAGATTTGGGTGCCTTGCTTTCCCTAGGATTCTAACCTCCCTATCGAAGTCTTCTGGGTATTGGATTATGTTTATGGAAATAAGCTTCTTGATAGCTACCATTCTACCTTGTGATCCCAATGGAACCTTGTAGAGTGTTCCAAAGACTCCTTCTCCAATCTCTGATGCCTTGTTGAGTAAGGAGTCAGGATTGCTGATCCAATCAGGTGAGGACTGGGAATCAAACAGAATTAGCTTTCCAGTGGCTGGACTCCCTGATCTTGAAGAGCTTGAGCACATGCTTTCCAAAGCATTATCCACAAATGATAGTCTTCTCCTTACAGAAACATTAAGTAGGCTAACAGCAATCACTCCTAATACAATGACAAAGGATGCAGATATGGCTACAATAGCAGATACACTAAGGAACCTGTGACGGTGGACAGGACCAGACTCGGATGATCCGTTTCTTTGCCTTTGAGGGCTTATTTGGTTGTTGTAGGCATTTGGGTCAAGCACTAGTGGCTTGGGGACATTCATCTTACATGGACCCTTCAACAAGGGTGAGCATAGTCCCAGGTTTCCTTCCAAGGAACTTGTGTCCAAGTTCTGAAATATGCTACTTGTAGGAAGCCTGCCTGTGAGCCTGTTGTATGATATGTTCACAGCAAGAAGACTCTGAAGCATTCCAAGCTCCATTGGTATCTCTCCACTTAGTTCATTGAATTCCAGTTTGAGGATTTTCAGCTTGTTTAGCTTTGACATGGACTTCGGAATTGAACCAGTCAAGTTATTGTGAGACAAACTCCTGCATAAAAATAGATAGGAATTAGTATCTTCCAGAAAGATTTGCACAAAAGATAATAACACTAGAACTTGAGAAATAGGATGCATACAACAAGTAAAGAGAGCTACAGTTCCCAATCTCTTCGGGAATATTCCCTTGCAATGAATTTCCATCTACTTGGAGGACAGCTAAATTGCCCGAGTCGCATATGTCTGCTGGAACTGAACCACGCAAGGCACTGTTGCGAAGATCCAAAACTGTTAGATTCTGAAGGAGACCAAATTCTGGAGGCATCTGTGAATGAAGATCATTCCAAGACAGATTCAAATATCTTAGTTTTGAAAGAAGACCAATTTCTGCAGGTATATTCCCTTGGAGATGGTTATCTGAAAGATCCAAGCTGGCGAGAGTTTCCAAGAGCCTGTTTGATCCTGCTGGAATTGAGCCACTCAATTCATTGCGGGACAAGTCTATTTCCTCCAATCCTAGGCCAAACAAACCCTCTGGAATGGTGCCGCTGAAACCATTGCCTCTGAGCTGTATCACAGATAACTTTGTGGAGGAAATTAATGACGACGGAATAGTTCCAACCAGCTTGTTATTTGAAATGCTCAGATGAGACAGTGATCTCAGTTCCCCAATTGGCTGGGGGATGGTTCCAGTGAACTGATTGTTTGAGACCTCTAGATACTCCACACTGGTCAGATTACCAATCCATTGAGGGAATTCACCGCTGAAAAAATTATTTGATGCCTTGAAATAGCTCAAAGAACTAAGTTTTCCAAGTGAATCAGGTAGTTCTCCACTGAATTGATTATCACTAAAATCCAACCTACTAAGATGGACGCAGAATCCAATATCAGTGGATAAAGAACCTGAAAACTGATTACCTTGTAATAAGATCTCTTTCAAGTTATGTATGAATGAAATTCCATTAGTTAAAGACCCAGATAAGGCATTGCTGGACAGATCCAAAGTCCTAAGCCTGTTCAGTGACCAAATCCCATTAAAGTCCACATTACCAGACAAACGATTGTTGGAAAGATTAAGACTATTCAATGAGTAACATCTAGACAGTGAGCCAGGAACAGGTCCGTCAAACATGTTACTAGCTAGAGACACGTGACGAAGGGAGGAACAAGTCTCAAAAAAACTCTCAGGGATTGATCCTGAGAATGAATTCTCAGAAAGATCAAGAAATTTGATTGAGTTCATATTCACAAAAGAACCAGGAACTGAACCAGAAAGAGCATTGTGACTAAGATTCAGCCTCTCAAGAGTATTGGAAAGAGTAAGTGATGGACTAATACTTCCACTCAAGTTGTTGTGAGAAAGGGACAATACCGTAAGATGCTGCAACTTCTCAAGCCCTCTTCCAATCTTTCCAGATAATCCCAAACCATCCAATGATACCTCAGAAACTCTTCCACTCTCAGGATTGCACTGCACGAACTGCCATGAACATGGATTGACATCATCTTCGTTCCATGAAGCAAGATAAGAAGAAGGGTCTTGAAGGTCTGATTTGAACACAATCAAACCAAGAACATCATCATTCAACTGGACCGGCACGTCAATGTTTCCAAAGCATCTCAGCAAATAAGAAAGTGAAATCAGCAAACTCAAAACTCTCAAGCGAAACTGAAAAATATTCATTCTTGTTCTTCTTCCTCTTGACGAGGCCGATGGAGTTATCCTACTATCTTTAGTAGATAGCTATGACTATGGCTTGTTTCTGTTCGGGATAACATAGTATGTAAAACTGTAATGACTGGTAGATGTTACACTACATTTGCGAAAACGATATCACATGTGTGCTCACGAGAGGAAGAGAAGAATATTTTACAAAAATGGTCATTGAGAAAGCAAATAATGGGTGAATATGGTATTGTTAGAGTCGTCCGTGATCAAACAGTTTTGGTCCAACAAACGTGGCTAAGCTACTGACAAATTGCCACCCCATTACACCTTACAAGGCCTTTGTCCAAACAAGCCTTTGTCGTGTCTTACAACCTCTACCTCCTGTGCCTTCCTTTTCTCTTTTTCAAATACCGATTGACTGTGTTAATATGGTTAAAACTTGTGTGCATGTATCTATATACGTGTTAACTATATTTTCTTCTGAGTTTTTGTAGTTTTACAATCATTCAAATGAGGAAGAATTTTTTATTCTTGAGAAGATTGTTACCGAGTGATATCATGCATTGATCTTGATGTCTATGAGGAGGAACCCTTTTTTTATTATTATATATTAGTTGAAATTACAGATACAATGACACTACCTTCTCTTTGTCTTTGTGAAACACTGTAATTTATTTTTTTACTGTGATAATTGCCCTTCAACAAGAAAAGAATCCGATTCTGGTAGAATCAGTTCTGATTTATCAGAGAGATTGTAGTTCAAATGAGAAATAATATTCTATTTACTGTGCATGTATATACTAAAAAATAATATAGCGTGGGTATTAGTACAACAATAAGGTGGTAGAAAATGTTACAGGGCAAAGAAAAGTGTATAAAAAATAGAGACAGTGAATAGTAAACTGACGTAAAAAAATTTAATTAGTTCAACTACATCATAAGAATTATTTGATTATTAAAGCCTAAGTCACAATCACTCTATTATTATAATAGTATGATGTTGCATATATGAATAATATATCCTATATCTATAGTAGCAGTAGATGGCAAAAACAATATTGTCATGTTGTAAAATGAGAATGAGAAACTGATTCTAATCTTCAGTATATCATCATAGTTTTACTCTGTGAGAGAGATATGAAGAAATATTACTGGTGAGTATCATGTGAAGGATTAACAAATTCTATTAACATTGTTTTTTATTATATCATTTTTTTATTTTGTGTGATTTTGTGCATTTTCTTTTTTTTTGTTAGATTTAATTATTCTTATTATCTATGAAGATTATTAGCATCACTCACTCTTTAACTTTTTTTCTATGTGTCAAATTTTTCTTTTTCTTTTATAGAACTATCTACAATTTCGTTAACATTTTTTAATAACATTTTCAACTTACCCCTTCTTCAATTATCTTCTAGTGTTATTGATAACAAGTAATGAATTAAAAGCAATTATAAGCAAATTTTGACTTCTTGGAACCTTGCTTTCATGGTTATAATAAGATATATTCATTAACATTGTGTTTTTATTCTTTTAGATGCACTCTTTGGTATTTTACCTATATTTCTTATATTTAGTATATATATTTTTTTACTTGAAACTTTAAACTTAATGCAACATGTTACTAATGTATAATTAATGTCCATATACAAAAATTGAAATAATATGATTCACACATTTCTTGAAAACCAGTGCAATGTGTGAATTTAGTAGATATAATTTTCGTTAAGAACGAAAGCTTACTAAAATCCATCAATGTACAGGAAATTGAACCAGCATTATCCTTTATTAAATGTACTTTTTTTTAGGGTTACCTGTCCATCATTCTTACTCTAATGCTTTGTTTCCGTGTAGTACTTTACTGTAACAGAGGTTTTGAAGAAGGGAGTAATACATTATCAGAAAGTAATAACAAATGCTTAAATTATTATTCATTTCGTTTTAAAAATAATTTGATCATTATATTAATTTAATTATATAATAAATTTATTAAAATTTCAACAAATTAACTCGATCCAAATAATCTACAAATTCAATCAAATTACCTTAAATATATGTTATAATCCAAACACAAGCTAAATGTTTGTTAATTAAATGAAAAATTACTAGGTATAATTTAAAAAATATAAATGTTTTTTACAAAAATACAAAGTTATTTTACTCAATACAAACACAAGAATACACATACAACCGCCCTTTCGTCTCTAACTTTCTTTGCACTCAATATTAGAGTAAGTCATGTGACTTTTCAAATTTGATTCCTCCAAAGTTTGTACACCTTTTTTTTCAAACCCTACCACAATTAGTAATATATAGTATCTACTAGGTTTATAATAATAATAATTATTATTATTTGTTGAGTTTATCCTATTAATTGAAAACTTAAAAATAAAATGAAATAATTAATAATTAAAATATTTGCTTGTTTGTTTTAACTATATGATTTTTTTAATCATTTGTTTATTTATTTTTGGTAAATTATGAAGTTTAATTTTTATTGTTTTGAATTTTTTTCAAGGATGTATTAAAAATATGTTAAGAGAAATTTTGTATTTTTTAATGGCAAATGATCACTTTATTTTAATTTGAAAAAATTACACAATCAACGTTAACCATGGTGATAAAGAATATCGTCATCAAATAACATAAAATTATTAAATAAACATGAATAACATCAAAAACAAAAATTACCTGATGGTTCCTTTTTATATCTTTTGAGTTTCTTCAACCCTCTTTTAAACCAAGACTATATAGAAAATGAATAAGTTGGAATGTATGTATAAAATAAGAAAAAGAATATTGTTTTATGGTGTGCGTGGGTCCACGGCAACATGGGTTGCGCGTGAACGTGGTCACAAGTCACACAACACAAAGATCCAAATTTCATTCACGAGATTCCTTTGGCCCTTAACTTCCTCTTTTTAATTTGTCTCTTTGTCCCGTACTTTCGCAACCCAATTCTATTTTCATCTTCCTACACCTTCTCCTAATGATTAGATAATAAAAATCAAATTTTGAGATTATAAAATTATTTGAAAGCGCATATTTGTTAGTGAATGCTCTTTCCTGTTGTCTTCTTGGAGATTTAATATCACTAATGTTTTGGAGACTCATGATCTTCTAATGTGGGGGTGTGGAGAAGTTGCTGTTTGATGATGAGCTGGTACTTTCTTGCTCATAAATGGTGGGAACTGTTAGTCACCTTCCTGCTACAAAACAAACAGTGATTCATCATATCCATCCCCATGCAATGTACATTGTGTGTGATGATGCATAATTGTTTTATATGATTTCAAACTAATGTAAGCATCATTAGTTCCTTCTTATTCTTTGCTGCAGAATTCTATTTATATCATGAAATGGATTATCAAAAGCCTAAAGTTGGTTAGTGTCCTTTATTAGTTTGGGAGTACACACAACGACCCTAATTATGGTGCTTCACAATAGGACATTAGTTGTCTGATTTATTTGCATTCTTTGGAATGTTGAAAAAGGATGCTATATGTTTCAAAATTAGTCTCTATAATGATGTCATAATTCTAATAACAATTGTTTCATTCAACTCTGATATACCATTTCATAGAGTGAAAGTTTTCTTTTTTCCTCATCCTTACCTCAATTCCATGCACCTTATCCTGCATATTATCTGCATGCCAAAACATTAAACCAGAAACCCTTCCTCTTTCCATGTTGTCTGTTGTTCCTGTAATGGTTTCCATTAATATGTACTTTAGCTTGTGTTTAAAAGAAAACAAAATTTACTACCACAGAAACATGACACAACTTGTTTCAGTTTAGTAAGTGATCTTAAGTTTGAAAAAGAGTCTTGCTATGTATAATAGTCTTACTTTACTTACAAAATTGTCTCTAATAAAAAAATACATGTGGTTTATGCAAAATAAATAAATTATTTTTCTCTTATAAGTTCAAGGTGGTGGCTACGCCTCGTTATGGGCCTGCTGAACAGTAGAGTGCTAGATGGTTCAATTTCAAACCATTCTTCCAGACATATTTCTTTTGAAGGCCTTCTTTATTTGGTATCATGAGAATAATTTAAAGACTATTTGAACACGAAATTCATAAAAGATTATTTAAAGACAAAAAAAATTTGAAGACGAAATTGCTTGATGTATACTCTCAAGCTTTAAACTAAAAATCTCCTAAAAATGATTACGAATTAAGAATTCATTTTCTCAATTTAAGTTGTAAACATACCATAGTCTTTCAAGTAGTAATTTTTGCAATGGATATAGCATCCCTTGTCTCAAAGCTAAGAAGGTGGAGAAGAAAATCAACAAAACTCAAGTTCTTTAAATAGCATGTTTGAAAACCCATTGAAGATATAGGAATTAGGTTTAAAATGTAATAGTTATGTAGTTAACTTGGAAAATCACGTTCAAAACTTACAGAATCTGAAACAGAATCAAACACAATAAAAGTATTAAAAGGATGCTTGGAAGGAAAGATAAGTAATCAACGACAAAGGAAAAAAAAAATTGTGCTCTACGTTTGTGTAAGGAATGAGAAAAAATGTTAAGCAATTTGTGAATTTACGAAAGGAGAAGAAATAAAAGGTAATTTACGAAAAGAGAAAATTACAAGAGAAAAAATAAACTTTGCCATCGATTTAAATACGAAATAATCTCAGAAGTCCTCAATTTGTTTCCTTTCCACATATACCAAGACATTTTTGCACTTTATAGTTTCTATAATTTTCTTTTCTGTTATCCCTTTCCGTTTTAATAGAATTCAATTTATGTTAAGAAAAAACATCATGCCGGATGCAATCAATGATGTTTCCTTGCAACATAAGTACAAAACTATATAGAAAACGAGAGAAATGTTTTAACCAACTTAACGTACCATTTTCATATAAACTCCACTAATTAACTTGCACTATATTTTACTTAGTGCAGTTTACAATATAAAACTTATCTACTAATAAAAAGAATTTGTTCCAAACAGTTATCTAGAAAAGAACATTCAACAGCCAATGCCAAGGCACGGTTACACTTTAGAAGAGGCAAGCACCATTTGCTTTTCTAATAATATGAACCAAACTATAACCATTGTTAGATGCAGACATGAAGGTGGCATTCACATCAAAGCTCAGAAAGAAAAGGAAGGTGAGACATGATTTCATTGTACATCTATCTTATGATACTGTGGTCTTGATTAATCAGACTGACCTACATAAAGTACTGCGAAAGGGGTAGGACCTAGAATCTTAGACTGCTCTATAAATCAACGTCAATGATTTTTCCTAAATCAATTAGCAAGAATCAAGATCAATAGTAGGCATTAAGATATTGATATTGGTGCCTCCTATTATACTGTAGCAAGCTTGCATAAGTCCTGTCCCAGATTCCAATATACATACACTCATCATCAGGACTTAGACAAACCCCAGAAATTTCCCCAAAGAAATCAATCTCTTGCCGTTTTCTATAGTCTGCCTTTGTGCTATAAACGTGGACAAAATCTGCAGGCTCAGCAACCACCATATATTGTCCATCTGAAGAAAACCGAATAGACCGGGTTGCCCCCAGGTTACCCTTGAGAATGGCAACAGGAGATCGTAAGTGTCTAACATCCCATACTCTGCAAGTCTTATCCTGATTCCCCGTTGCAAAGGTTAATCCATCGGGATGCCATGCAGAAGCAAAAGAGTAATCTCGATGACCAACCAAAGTGGCAACAGTCTAAGAAATCAAACAATTCACAAAGAAGTTAGTGGAAGATTCTTCAGCATGGTATGATGTTTTTGGAAGATTCTACCTAGTGCTTAATTTCATTACGTTCGCATCTTGAAATTCCATATCCCTTTCCCAACACTCTAGCTCGCATTCACTATCGCTTGGAGATGTTTAACAATGATTACCCACATGGCCATATATCATAGCATATATGTTCAATGAAAGTTTTACTTGTTTTCACATTCACTACCCATATTTGATCCATTAGCAAATGCATGAACTAATTCACTGGGGAAAAGAATGTACTTGAACAGAAATTTCCAATAAATGCATGATCAGAGTACCTTCCCATTTTGAGGATCCACTAGCAGTCCTTCTAGGTAATCTCCAACGACAGTCATAAGCTTACGGTCTGGACTGATTGATGTGTGCTGCATCAAGAACAAGAGTATGGAATCAAGGAAGATCAAAACTGCATTTCCTTGGGTGTAGAAATGATGTAGAAAAAATAGTTGAAGTTCAACAAATTGTGTATACAACTGCCATGCTCGAAGCAAGAAAATCAGTTTAAGACAAACAAACAGTACAAGAAAAAATTGAACAATACAGAAACTAGTTAACTTCAATCCATCTTGGCTTTAATTGATTATGCTCTCTTTCCTTCTAACAAAGACAGGAATTTGGAAACTGGATTCTTGTGGTATTTAATATTTCATGCAGATCTTATTTTCAGTTTCTCACTTATTCTCCTATATGGAAAAGATTATACCTAGACAAGTCCATTTGGAAATCAAAAGCTTCTTCCAAGGTCAAATTTTTACCCAAGAAATGAATTTTCCCTAGGTGGTTGAATCAGTTTCTTCATGCCCCCTTTCAAGGGTTTGAAAATAAGAATAAAATGAAAAACAAGACAATATGGCTGAGTTTATCATATAGTTTAGATTTGTTATGGGTAGAATATTGTGTATGTGGCTTCTTTTCGGGCGTTCAGCACATGTATTATTTCATGGAATAAACATCTAAGATATGCAAAGAGATTGGACAACTTTTCCACATTAACTGGGTTTTATAGTTCTAGCCTACAGGGCTTCAGTTTTTTGGTGTCTTTGTTCTGTGTTCTCTATCAGTTTCATGAGTTCTTATCCTGCAACTTTTGGTACTTTTTTCTTTTTCTCTTTCTAATATATTTTCTTCATCTAACCAAATAAAAAAAAAACACAGAACTATAAGAAAGGGAAATTGAAATGAACCTGAATGGGAGAATAATTAGATATCAAGAAGATATTGAAAAAGGAAAATAAAATAAAATACTTCATAAGTCAGATTGATTAGAGAGTGCTCACATTCACTGGCCAAGAGAACTGGAAGTTATTCAAAAGCTGAAACCTTTCTGTGTCATATTCTCTCACACCACAATCGTTATTGGAAGCAATAATATGAGTCGCGCCACTGCAAAAGTGTCAATGTCAAGCAATGTTCATGTTCCAAAATGAGACAAATAAACTTGGTATGAAAAATACCTCAAGCTTTCATATATTTCAATTGCATTTGTTATAGCATTATCATCATGTGTGGTCCGTGTACAAAAACTTACTCCTTTCTTATCCAAACGCTGCATTCATAAGAAATAATAAACTGCATCCTTCATAATCCTAATCTTAATAGGATAAACTGGAGAAACAGAGAGAAATAGTAGGCTTGTGTAGTAGCAATAATTACTACCACATATCCAATTAAATAAACAATTAATCTATATACTAAAGTATATATTCCCAACAAAAGTGGAGGCAAGCCCCAAGAGGAGAAAGAGAGGCAAAAAAACACCACGATCATAGAATTCTGAAAATCTATTATGGCAAGTTGTGTGAATTAAGGATGAAATCTAGCAGAATGAAATCGTACTTCTTGATATTATTCCTCAAAGTAAAAGTTCAAAAATATTTAATAGGGAATCTAACAGGATGAAATCCAACAAAAGGTTTCCCTCTTTAGTACATAAAAAGATCATAAGGATAATATCAAAAGATGATGTTTTTGTAAGAAAAGAGTGAGTTTAGCTCAAACTTTTAGTAACTTAATGCCAAGGAGACCACCTATGAACAAAACCCTCCACAGCACTGATTCCATATTGAGGACCTGCAATTCTTTTAATGAATGTTTAGCCCTTTATAACCACCTGCCCTATATTTTGCGTGGGAGAATTTATTCACGGCAACCCACATTCAAGAAAATTTTTCTCCCAATCGATAGATGTTCAAGCCATATATAAAATCTACCATTATTGCATACAAAGTTATTCATCTTTTAATGAAGTATCAGAAGCCTAAAGAACATGCATGTGATAAGGCATAATCATGTGGCCTCACCTTACAAGTAAGCTCTCCTTGGAAGCCACCAGCAACAAGAAGTTTATCCTTGACAGCTAATGTGCTAATTTGGGTCTGAGAAAATCCTTCCAACAAATTTCCTGAATATCTCTACAAGGCCAAAGAGAGCACAGTTAAGTAAAGCAAAGAAATAAGATATGTATACTTAAATAGTGCATTTCTGAAGCCATTTAGATTGTATTCTTGTATAAAATTAGTTTTAATCAACAATCTTAACTAAATTGTCTTCTCAAATGATTAACTTCTCCAATTCATTAACAAGACATGTATACTGGACAGCTATAGGTTTCTTATGTTATAAAGGTTCCGTATAAGTCTTGCATTCATAAGACACTTTCATTCCTCTTTCTTCATAGATGAACAAGGTCGTGTAATACACTGCATTACCTCGGTAGGGGTCACATGGCCAGCAAAATTGATTATCTCAGACAAAATACCGCTCATTGATGACCAGTGATTGACTGAGTAGTTGGAGACAAGGTAGACATCATGTTTTGAAGTTGCCCAGACTAAGTTTCTCAGCTGCATGCCAGAGACAAATATATCATCAGGATAGATTGATTTCTTCATTAAGCTATTACATTAAGCTTGAAAACTGTTTAAAAAGGAACTCAAACCTACTTTTATAAGACCACAAAATATATGTAGAAACAGAACTATTGTATCCAATGTAAATGGACACATCATTGTTTTATTCTTATGTAATATAAAACAACCTCAATCGATCTTCTACACTATAGCACAGACAAAAGAGACACCAAAAAATTGAAGATTCTTGATCGAGTGAGAACAAAAACCTCAATCCATCTTCTACAGGGCTGGTGTTTCTCAGTAACCACAAGTAAAATCAATGTAGAACAAGTACAGTCACACAAGCCACAACATTTTAGTCAATTACAGAAGACAGACAACCAAACAACATTTATCCATGTACAAATGGTTGTCAGCCTTTCAAATCGCAGGAAAATAATTAGGTGCATGCACCACATGAAAAAGTCACAAACCTGAAAATGAAGGATGGTAGGCTTAACCATTCTTGTATTATAGAAGAACTCATAGTAATTGCCACCCTTCTCCATTTGCTTGCACTCCTGGGACCCCAAATAGGAGAAAAATAAATAAATAAACTTTGAACACCTAAACATTAGTCAAACAAATTAAGTGCTATTTCCCTGCTCCCCAACAATCCTAAAAAAGGACAAAGAAAAGGGGCAAAGAAGAAACAGAAAGGAAAATACCTTGTCTACAGCATCCCCCGATGTAAGAATGTTCTCGAAATTCCTGTATTGTTCAAGCCTTGTCAACCTGTACCTTTCCCTTGATATGTTCAACCTCTCCCATGGAATTCCCTGAATGTCCTTTCCCTTTCTTGCTTGAGCAGCTGATGTATCAGTCACCTTAGTAAGCTGTTCCAATCACCACACACACACACACACACGACATAATAAACCCAATTTCTTCTCAATACAATGAATACATACATAAAACAACTAAAGAAATTAAAAAAAAAAAAAACACAAACCTAAAAAGAGAATAGGAAATAAAAGAAACAAACCATCTCATATTCATCAAGAGCAGCATCCCCAGCATGGTTTTGGTCATCAATTTCGTCAAAGAAATCGTCTTCGTCCATTTGATCAAAAGGGTTCATGTGATCGTAGTTGGACATGGAGACTTTCGTGCATCGAAGTTCAAGCCTTTTCTCTATATTGCAGTGTGTTCGTTCATTCGTCCTAGGATTAGAAAAGGTGAATGAAGAAAAGAAAGAAACACGGTTTCCTCTTCTCCTGCATCTTAATATATCGATATAAAATTCTGAGCATTGGATAAAGCAATAAATGGGATAAAAGGGTTTCTTTCTTTAACGGGTGCTTATCAATAAAATATTTAATATCTTACTATATTTTTAAAATCTTTTGTAAGAAGGTAATTATCATTATAATTTATTTTTTTTTTGTAGTTTTTAATATGCTGATCCAAAAGAAACGTATCAATATTGTTAGAAACGTATTATGAAAAAAAATGTAAAAAATTATTATTAAATATTAAATTTAAATAAAAAAAAACTAAAATTACTTATTTCTGAAAATTTGATGAACTTAAAATTCCTTAACTATATCAATAAAATATATAGTTTTTCTTAACCAATGCATCACCATACTATTTAATACGATATTAAGATCTTAAATAAACAAACTACATCATTTGAACACAATTTTATTATATTTTAGATTTTAGTGACAAGCGTGAACAGTGCAAAATGCCTTTATATTATCAGTCGATTAATTTTTTTACTATGAATAAATTTATTATATATATTTTTCTATTTTAGTTTTTTGAATAATGAATAATATGATAATGCATAAGTGTGTTGGAAGTAACAGGAAAAAGGGTTTATATGATTGGAATATTAGAGGTGATAATTACTACGGGAGGGGAAGGCAATGGGTATTATTGATTGCATTGCGAATAGCGATGGGAATATAAGTGGATATGAATTGAGAAAAGGGACATTCATTGTGTGGTGTGGACAAAAAAAAATTAAAGAGATGATGACAACCTCGTGCTCTCTATCGTCTTTTCTTCATGTTTTTTTTTTCTTTTATATTAATTTATTCATTATCTTCCACCGCACTACCTAATCTAATACCTTGTCCCTACCACTTCTCAAATTTGCTTCAAATATTATTACTGTACTGCTCTATTCAATTAAATTTATCGTTTAACAACCACTTAAATCGAATTTACTTAATTATTATTAAATTTATAGAGAATATATACACTAATATCCTGTTTAAAATTGTAAAATATACACAACTAGTTTTTTTTAAGAAACCATGATTTTTTTTTTCAAGTTTTTAGACCCCGTGGCTTTTAGATTCTATGGTCAATATATAAAAATTTTGGACAAAAAAAGACATGCTCGTTCAAAAAGTGAAGGCATACCACAAACCACAATCAAAAGCTTCCTATTTTATGTATCATACCTACTTACCATACGTCATCGGCAAAAACCAAACAGAAGGAAAAAGCTTTCTGTTGACTTTGTTTAATCCAATCTAACACTACCTCCAGTGCCATAGAAGAAAAAAACAGATGAGTTTGGCTTTTTATTCTAATTATAAGAAATATGAATAAACTTTGAGAGAATATTAATTGTTTATTCGTTTTATACTTTAAATTTATTGTGAAATATATCAATGACATGTTCACACATAAGTCACGTAAATACATGGATTTATCAATGAAGCAACAAGCTTTGCAAAACAGATAAAAAGGCATAGGAAATTTATGTTTCTTGTATCAATTGACGGGAATATGGTATGCTGTGCTGTGCTACAGAGTTTTGACAAAGACAAACGAATTGAAAAGTGTCACTTCTTTTGGGGTGGTGGGGTTGTTCCAGTCATATTACTTGTGCGATTGAGGACATTACTATACATTCTCACTTATGGACTCAGAATTTAATTTACAATAGAGTAGCCTCCCTAACAAAAATAGAATTAAGATGTGATAACGAGGCATGGAACAGAATGATTAAATGACTGAACTTTTCTTAACAGCATGAATGTATTTCAATCTGGGCTCCAATACTTTCTCTTCTGGCTGGGCTCTTATTACTTTCGGTCTAGAGTAGAGTAGTTCATATTTGATATGGAGCAGTTCCTCTTCTTTCCAAGACTACTGCTTGCAAATGAATAATAAACTTCAACAAAGTGAATTCCTCTGAATGAAAAATTTGCCAGAGGAATAAACTTCAATGTGTGTGGTAATAATAAGCAACTTGCGATGGCTTGTGTTGTGTAGATCTACAAGGGTTTCACTTTACAGACCTCAATCGCAAATCCACAATCCATAAGCAGCAATAGCCATGCTCTCTGCTGCTCAGAGAGACGGTCACTGGGGCCTTTGACTTCAACAAGTTTGGCATCACCACTGTATTCTCCATGGAAACGCCATAGCAGCAAATCCGGCATCCCACTAGACCAGCTCCGATAGTCTTGTGCCAGAAATTGGCAGAGAGACGCCAAACAAGTGCCCCCAACGCAAGTAACAACAGCGCGAAGCTCATCTAAGGAATGGCAGTCCCAATTAACTCCTCTGCATGCGGTTCCAATATGTGTTTCCCATGACTTGATAAGAAACTCCTCAGCCATGCCATCACGAATGTGCTGTAGATGGGATTCTATGATACTCTTTCTAGCAGCATAAAAGCCATCAGTGCCAAAATCTAAAGGTGCATTCTGTAAATTCAAAAACCAATAAGTAAAATTACAATGAATGAATGTATCTGTTCATAACTAACACTAAATACGAGTCTTCTAACAATAATTTTTTTGAACCTATTAAGTAAAAGTAATCAACATGAAGAGCAGCTGGTATATAATGAAGAAGACATCAAGTAAAGGAACCCGATATGAGGTACGAAGTGGTAATTCTAGCATAGCATGGTTAAACGAATGTCTTTGATTAAACTACGACAGAATAACCGTGAAAATAATCATGTTCATGATGGATGATTGTAAAAATTATGCATTAATTTGAAGCCCATGGAAAGAAAAAGACCCTCCATCCCTTTATTTGTCAAGCTTTAATTGGAGGAGCCAAGGAGGCTTCCCTAAAGAAGCTTTTGAGAAGTCACATCAAAGACAACTCCAGACTGTGAACACGAACACTGGTTGAAAAGGCTAGCTACATACACTGGTAACATAGAGGAACAACCAAAGTAGATGGGGTAAAAAAGGAAAGATGAACTTGAAAATTATCTTTGCCAACAATCTATATATACATGACTTAATATTAAAAAGAGAGAAATATATTTAGAGGGTTTTTAATCACACCACTCTCATGATCATGATCTCATATACATAGATTCAGATAGATACAACTCATAAATTACATTTAAATTCAACTACTACCAATCTATATTCAGTCTAACAGCAACCCGTAATACTTCTAACAGTCACCTAACTACATTAATTCTAACACTCCCCCTCAAGCTAGAACATGTAAATTGTATGTTCCAAGCTTGGAACAACAAAATTCAATACAGGGTCCCCTTAAGGATTTGGTTAGCACATCTACAAGTTGATCATTAGAAGCAACATACTCCGTATATATCTCTTTTGACAACAACTTCTCCTGAATAAAATGACAGACAATCTTTATATGCTTAGTTCTGATTAGAGGCAATGTGGAGAGCAATTTGATTATCACAATACATCTTCATTATCTGGATATTACAGAAGATGAGTTCTTGAAGGAATTGTTTCACCCATATAAGTTCACAAGTAAGTGAAGTCATTGTCCGGTATTCAGCTTCTGCAGTAGATCGGACTACTACATTATATTTCTTACTTTTCCAAGATATAATATTTCCTCCAAGGAAAACACAATATCCTATAGTAAAACGCCTTCAGTAGGGGATCCTGCCCAATCAGCATCACAATATCCAGAGATTTTGGAATCTCCTTTATCTTCGTATAGTAGACCTTGTCCTGGAGCCTTCTTGAGGTACCGTAGAATTTGAATAATAGCACTCCAATGGTCAGAACAAGAAGTTTGCATAAACTAACTTACAACACCTACACCAAACGACAGATCAAGTTTAGTGATAGTTAGATAAATAAGTGTTGGATATCAGCACATATCAATTAGAATAATTCAACTCTAATTTGTACTAGCCATAATAGGATTTAATGCTAATATAATAAGTTTTATTTCTTTATTTATGTACAACATTTATAGGGAGAATATTTCCCTGATTTTCAAGGATATACATGTTTGTTATCTTGTATTCTATTTTTACCTCCTTTGTATTTTTTTCAAAATAAGAAATACACAACGTATTTTTCGCATGGTATCAAAGCTCGATTTGAACCATCCTTAATCTAGCACCGCCAACCATGGGAGAGAACAAGGCAGAAGATTCGACCAGTTTGGTCGAAGAGTCTACTCTTCTTATCATTGATCACAAATTGAATGGTTAGATTTACACTCAATGGGTGTGATCAATTAAGATCTTTCTTCAAGAAAAAGGGAAGGAAGGTTACATCACAGGAGACTCCAACTGTCCAAAAAAAGATGATCTTAACCTCAACAAATAACAACTAAAAATCAGCTTAGTCATGTCATGGTTACTCAACACCATGACTAATAAAATTGGGGAAAATTTCATGTACTATGACACTGTCAAGGAGATGTGGAATGCATTGAAGAAAACTTACTCAAATGTGGACAATACGTTTGTGGTATTTGAGATCAAGAACATACTCCATGACTTGCGACAAGGTGATTTCTCAACAACTAGACATATATGAAGACGTCCAATGGAGCTATGTTGAGGATAAGAAGAAGTATAAAGAAATAGTGGAGAAAGATAGGATGTACAAGTTCATATTGGGGCTGAACACAAAACTTGATGAAGTCTGAGGGAGAATCCTTGGAACCAAACCTTTTAAAACAATTTGGAAAGTATTTTCGGAAGTAAGAAGGGAGGAAAACAGGAGGAAAGTGATCTTTGGAAAGTCAAGTACAGCCCCACCCATTAAAGGCTCAGCCATGACAGCAAGGGGGAACCAATCTCATCCATCTCAAAGAGACAACAGTTCCAGATGACATGTTTGTTGGAGTTTTTGTAGGAGACCGAAGGATAATGAAGAGAAACAGTGATGGTGGCCAGGGGTCAGTGCGGCAACCGACGGTCGAAGGCGACAGTCGACGGCGACTGAGACAACAAAGCGGGATTAACCTGCTTTGATACCAACTTAATATTAAAAAGAGAAGTATATTTAGAGGGGTTAATCATACCACTCTCATGATCCTATATATATATATATATATATATATCAGATAGGTACAACTCATAAATTATATTTAAATTCAACTACTACCAATCTATATTAATTCTACCAGTCACCCGTAATACTTCTAATAACCACCTAACTACATAATTCTAACAACATGAAACTGAGGAAACTTATTTCATGATATCCCCATGATACATCATATAGGAAATACATTAATGCAACAGAATGTTGAAAGCTGAGAAAGATGGGAAGTTAATTACTCAATAACATGTACCTGAAATCTAGTATAGAAGACATTTGGTACATCAGCATATATGACATCCCACATTAGAAGCCCAAAAATGGTTAGCCATATCCCACTCTCTGCGTGAACACCTTGCCATCCACCTCCTTCCCCAGCATAGTAATGCAAAGCAAGCTCTTCCACTCCACATTGTTTCCCCTCTTCATTATAGTACCTATTCTTTCCTCCCAAATCAGAATTTAGTGGTCTCCCTTGAACAAAAACCTGAATCATTACATCCACTACAATGAGAAGACCATATTGTTAAAGAAAATCAGTACTGTCAATTTGACTAGAATAGGACACAAACAAATCAGGAGTGAAAACAAGGGATCAAAAAGAAACAAAGCACATTACCTGAGGGATCTTCTGCAGGGCAGACCTAGAAAAACTAGGAAGTTTCCAGCGCCGTGGTGGTTTCCCTAGGCGAAGAACCCTCCTTTGAAGCGCCATTCTTGAACCAGCACGTGTCCATGGATCCAGCAACCCATTTTCAGCTACTTGAAGGCTCTCATCAATGCGGCCCAGGTGCTCCAAATCAACTGATAACCTCATTGTCCAATATCCTCTTCTTAAGTCATAAGGGAAAACATTTAGCAGCCATTTGAGCAAATTAATTGCATCAGTGTACCTGAGAAACAACTATTAGTTCTTCAGAGTGCCCAGTTATGCAAATATATATGCTCCATCTATTTCTACAAGAATGGAAATCAAAGAACCATGAGATCAAGAGATGCTTCTGCATCAGGGCATTTAATGAATGAAGAAATTTACTACTCCTTCTAGAAGCTGGACCAATATAAGCAATGGCATATCCCACCTGTAAGAAGCATCTCCGATACATGCTTGCTTAACATAAAATATAGAATCATAAACATTATTGAGGTTCATTTCGTTAGTAGCAAGATCTAGAGCGCATCTTTTATATATGAAGCTATTTTACTCAGCAAACTTGGACAAATAAATCTACTCTTGAGGCTGTAGATGAAAATTGTACAGGGACATGAGATGTGCGGACCTGGAGTCAATAAATCAATGACAAAGTGGACAAGAGGCAAGCAAAGCAATAAGAGGTGGCCAAAGAGACCTGGAACTTGGTATGCAGAGTACTCATAAGTTGTCATAGCAGTTGTATGATCAACACACTTGACTAGGTTTTATAGTGCAAGTGGTTTGAGAAGATAGATCAGGCAACTTAAAACCAGTTTGTTTCAAGACTTGATTTGAATACTTTCAACATAAATTATAACAAAAGGGAGCATCAGTGAATCAACCAACATCACAATGTCTCCTCCTGCCTTGCCAGACATTTTCATTCTTCAAATTGGATCTAAAGGCAGCAATCACTAAATCAAAACCTTTATTGAAATCGTTACATAAAGAAGCATAAGATATTTGCACCACTAGTGCAGGACAAAGACCTGTGAGAAACATCCAATCACCATCCCACCATTTGTTCTAGCTTCTGTTTCTTCACATCTTTAGTAACCAGAAACAGGGCCCTGACATGACTCAGGATACTACAGCATCAAGGAAATACATGCAGCTGAAACCCACAAGATAGGACGCATTCAAATTGTTTCCACTAAAACAGTGTGCATTGGAGTTGCTGAGTGCTGACTCTATTTCACACATTCATATTGCTATTTTGACACTTTTCACATAGCAGTCTTAGACCCACAAAAACAGATTTGTCTTCTACAAATAGTACTTGTGGGTCCTAATGTCAAAGATTGACACTATTGTTCACGGCAAGCGCAAATAGCAGCGTCAACTTGCAGCAATGGGTTTCTTCTTCTACAGATGGGACTTTCAGTACTTTTGGGTCTTAAAAAGTACCACATCACTGTTCTACTATTCTCATAGGTTGCAGCACAACAATTCTGTTCTGGCCACTAGCTCACACAACAAGATACAGTTAGGGCTTGTACATTTGGGTTTGTATTGGTTCTATTCAATATAAATGACAAAAATCTTCCTCCCCTGTTTTTGCATTTTCACTGCAACTGTAGTAATAAGAGAAACTCACCCAGCTTTTGTGTTTACATTATCCACTTTATAGACACTATGGTGGGAGGAATCGACCTTACTATTTGCATTTTGCAGAAGCTGTTCATCAAGTAAATACAAAGAAAAATGGTTGATGGGGGAAGAAGTCTCTGGTGTTGGGTAAAATTTTGTACATATAATTTATTTGAATGTATCTAAGCCAATCATATATTGATTTTATAAGAATTTCCCACATACTCGAATATATTTGGATTTAACTTTCTGAGCTTCATTATAGTGCCAGCTACAGTCATCCATGGAAGGATCTTAGGAATTCTGAAATCAGAACCAGTTAAAAGTTATAATACCATCATCCAAGTTTCATAGGTAGTAGACTAGACTTGGGAAGTGAGTCATTGTGAAGTGGTTGGAACAGTGGAGAAGTAATTGAGGATAAAAATTTGCATTGATTTATTGTAAATCTATTGCCCCACTGATTTAATAGTTGTCTTTCCTAAAACTGGATTCTAATAATACCATACTACACAAGCTCCAAACATTTCATTTGCATTGGTTGATTGTATCTCTATTGCCCCACTGATTTAGGTTGTCTTTCCTAAAACTTGATTCTAGTAATACCATGTTACACAAGCTCCAAACGTTTTTTGCTATGAGTTTTAAAAACTCTACTCTTATACATATCTAGAACATGTCAGGTTATGATGTCATTATGTATTCATTCAATTAACACTAAAGAGTTTGCCGATAAACCACAAAGCTCCATACCTTCGCTCTTGCTCAAGGAAGGAAATCCCCACAGTGATCACTTTGGAGTATACCCATGATGCCGTAAATAAGTGATGAATTGAAGATACTGATTCAGAAGTTGAGTACTGGTCGAGAAAATCAGTAGATACACAGGATTCAGCTATCTTTATGCACCTTAATATCACTTCAATTTTGTTTGCATCAAGAACTTCGTCCATAATTTGCGCCACTTCAATGGCCTGAAAATCTAATGTCACACATGGAATGTGGAACGGAAGACCATTAACATCTCTGAACATAGACATGTACCTCTTCATAAGAGAGCAGATTTCTGCGATTTGAGAAAATTGGTTCTGATATTATGCAGTTGTAAGCTGGATACTTGATTTTTCCCATATCCACAAGTAAGAAGGATGAGATATCCTGTTCTCCATTTAAGAAGAAAAGTCTCTGCAAAAGGAATATCTTTTACAATAGATCTAAATATTATCCAATTTGGTTAAATCCTTTAATCAATATAAGTAGTAACTGTCAAAGAGGCACCTCACTACGCCACATAAGAGATTCAGCTTTAGAAGAAATCCTAATACAAGAGCTAGTTCTTTCCAAAATCATAGTTGATAATTTTGGCCTGCATGCAACAGTAACCAAGTAGTAAATAAAACATTAGTTCACTCCACAAATTATAAAAGCACAACTAAAAGTTTAATACCAAGGTACGCCAGCATCTCTAGAAATAATAGATGAAATCAAATGCTGCTTCTTCATCCCATGACAACCACCCTAGAACAATAAAAGAATACACTAAATTTAACAGCTACCTCATAAGAAAACTGACAAGGAGAGACAGAGCAAATGACACATATTGAATGCACTACCTGACTTACAATTACTTTATTAACATCCATGTTAGTATAGAGAAGAAAAAAATGTTCAAATGTTTGGCCCGTATCTGTCCACACAGCTCTCTTACTATGTAGTCATCGAAAGCCAATAGTCAATTTAGGAGCTTCTACTATGGATACAACCAAATTTAGAAGGATCCATCCAAAAATCTCCATTCACTTATGACAGGAGACACATACATGCTCAGGATGCTCCCTTATATAAGGATAACAAATTAATGAAAAAAAGCAAAGCAAAAAATAAAAAAGGGATGGGAATGTGTCAGGAAAATGTAAGATCTGAAATATTGACACAACATGCAAAATTGACCAAATAAGTAAAACTCATCCATTCGATAACATTTTGCAATACAAGATAAGCTGTGCAGCTGATCAAATCAAATCAACGCAAATCCTAATGAACTCCTTTTCTAAAACATAAAGGCAATGTATCAGCAATGATCTAATGCCTTCCATTTAATTTAGAAAAAAAAAACAAAAAAAAAGTATAATAACCTAACGGGTAGGCACTGAACATCAACTAACGTGATTGTCCAACTTCAGTTAATTCTTTGGAAGCAAAGTAACAAACAGTAAACTCGGTACCTTCAACAGACAATAAATTTGTCCATGACAGACTTCAAAAAGGCAAATTCACATCACTTCATTTTTGTCAAACGACACAAACCATTTTTTAATAACAAAGGTTACAAACTCATGGACATGCAACTTGTACACAAAGACCAACTGCATACTGTAAAACATAATAAAAAAAATCTAAGAGAAGCATTATCTGCACAACTGGTGCAATCTATTCATAATGAAGTTTTACATGAATATATATATATATATATATATATATAGATATATAGATATGTATTAGAAAGAATCTACTTACTCCAACAGTAAGAATTAGAAACTTATTCATTTTCTTAGATTACAAAAAAAATGATAAAGATAAAGAATAAGTAAAACTCTCCCCCTCCCTCTCTCGCTCTCTCTGTATATATATATAGAGAGAGATATAGATATGTATGAGAAAGAATGCACTTACCCAACAATAAGAATTAGAAACTTATTCATTTTCTTATAATCTAATGGTTAAAATAAGTTCTTATTTCAGATCCATCCAAAAATCTCCATTCACTTATGACAGGAGACACATACATGCTCAGGATGCTCCCTTATATAAGGATAACAAATTAATGAAAAAAAGCAAAGCAAAAAATAAAAAAGGGATGGGAATGTGTCAGGAAAATGTAAGATCTGAAATATTGACACAACATGCAAAATTGACCAAATAAGTAAAACTCATCCATTCGATAACATTTTGCAATACAAGATAAGCTGTGCAGCTGATCAAATCAAATCAACGCAAATCCTAATGAACTCCTTTTCTAAAACATAAAGGCAATGTATCAGCAATGATCTAATGCCTTCCATTTAATTTAGAAAAAAAAAACAAAAAAAAAGTATAATAACCTAACGGGTAGGCACTGAACATCAACTAACATGATTGTCCAACTTCAGTTAATTCTTTGGAAGCAAAGTAACAAACAGTAAACTCGGTACCTTCAACAGACAATAAATTTGTCCATGACAGACTTCAAAAAGGCAAATTCACATCACTTCATTTTTGTCAAACGACACAAACCATTTTTTAATAACAAAGGTTACAAACTCATGGACATGCAACTTGTACACAAAGACCAACTGCATACTGTAAAACATAATAAAAAAATATCTAAGAGAAGCATTATCTGCACAACTGGTGCAATCTATTCATAATGAAGTTTTACATGAATATATATATATATATATATATATATATATATATATATATAGAGAGAGAGAGAGAGAGAGAGAGAGAGAGATATGTATTAGAAAGAATCCACTTACTCCAACAGTAAGAATTAGAAACTTATTCATTTTCTTAGATTACAAAAAAAATGATAAAGATAAAGAATAAGTAAAACTCTCCCCCTCCCTCTCTCGCTCTCTCTCTCTGTATATATATAGAGAGAGATATAGATATGTATGAGAAAGAATGCACTTACCCCAACAATAAGAATTAGAAACTTATTCATTTTCTTATAATCTAATGGTTAAAATAAGTTCTTATTTCAGACTATTAGATTACAAAAAAAAAATGATAAAGATAAAGAATAAGTAAAACTCTCCCCCCCCCCTCTCTCTCTCTCTCTCTCTCTCTCTCTCTCTCTATATATATATATATATATATATATATATATATATATATAACAATTAATTCTTACCTTTTTTAGTAAAATGCACCAAATTTCACGCAACTCAGAGACATTGAGGATATTCAAGATATCATTCACATCACTCATACATAGTTGATTTGCATCCTCGATAGAATGCAGGTATTCTTTCTCTGCAATATGAATTAATAGCAAGAGATCAAATTATATTAGCATGGAAAGAAGAAATAAACCTTACTAATTATATTGAATTACCAGCAAGTTCCTTGACTGCCTTCTGTGTATCGACTATTTCAGGATATGATATGCTAGACATGCGAAACCAAGGTCCTTCATGAAAACACGACATGGAAAATATATCAACTCCCAATCAACTAAAAGATCACTGGCCAGTTCAGTAAATCACTTTAAACAATAGACATTTTCTTATAACAAAGAAGCATTTCATTCAGATATGAGTGGAACTGTGACAATATGAATAATCATGATATCGAGATGTGGGTAATCTAGCACTACACAAATTTTAGTGCCCCATGGAAGACAACTGGAATGAAAAAAAAGTTTGGCAAACAAGTTAAATTTCAAAATTCAAATAACCTTTTCTAGAGTATAGTCGGATAAAAAGCCGTTGACTGTCATTCGAGAGTAAAGTGAATGAATCTGTCCAATCATCCATATATGAGACGTTGCTGAAATATCTGATTATAAATTCTAAATAATCTGAAAGTAACAAGTATTAGTACCCATAAAGCTTTTTTCATCTCCTGTTAAAAGGTGAATATTATTTCTTAACACTTCTTGTAGCATAAGACAGAAATTCAGCTGATACTTTACAGATGAAGGAGGATTCTTGCTTGCAAATTCAACAACATGCTGAGCATTTTTCCATAAGCATATAAAAGTCTCATCATCATACTTGCTTTCACTGTCTGATGTTTCGTGGCACGTAATCTGAATTGGAACGGTATCAAAAGAATGTTTTGGAACAGAAGTAACATGCCCCTGGGACAAGTTCCAAAGAGACAAATGATGATGCTGAGAAATAAGTTGCTCAATCCACAATATTTTGAGTAATTAGTAGGAGCATCACGTGATCTTTAGTGTAAATGACTAGAATAAACAAGTAGGCCAATAATTTCAAAAGAATGCCAGCAATTATGTAATTAGACAATTATTCAGTATTTTGTAGAAGAATGTCCGTCTTTATTAATAGGTGATTTATTGGTTATGTTTCAACTTCTAGATTTTCCTCCATAAGCTTTAAAACCCAAAACGCTGAACGTACCCTGTTCACATAATAAAAATAATCACAAATTTAACATTGAAACCACATGGAAATTCCCTTTAATTCATATAAATCCAATGAAACTTCGGTCACCCATTTTCAATTACTGCTTACACATTATATTGAACCCCTCAGCGGTCTTTATTAAACTTCAGTAAAAATACATGTGACATCGTGTAAAAAACAGTGGTGTATACAAGTACGTCAAATAACTTGACTAAAACAATCAACAAAAACTGCTCCGACAATCTGACTCCAAGCATTAATAACCTTTAACAGTCAACTCACATATACTTACTTTAAAAAAAAAAGTTTATGAACTAGATCAATCACATAAATGAATGCATAACTCAACTCTTCAAGCACCTTGTATTTCAATAATCCAATTGACAAACGTAATAGCAAAAGAGAAGTGATAAAGGCACCTAAATACATAGACAACTCATTTATAGTCTAAACTTTTGAATACCTGAAATCCAAGACCATAGGTGTCAATAAGAGGAGATATGTATTGGGCTAGATCCCGGGGAAGAAAACCTAACGACTTACAGCACGCAGAATCCCCCGAAACAACCTGAACAAAGAGAAACTACGAGCTTCTTGAAACTACATACAGAAGATACCACGAGGCAAAAAGAAACAAACCTTGACGGCATTGGGGTCCTTATCATTTTGAGGGTCCCTCAAAAGAGAGATGGCGGTACCAACACATAGTTCTTCTGGATTATCAGCATGCCTCCGGCCAACGATGAAGGTTTCAAGCGTGGCACCAAGCACGTAGTCTGGTTTAGAATCATTACGCACCCCACTGTTCACGGGCGGGGAAGATGAGGAAGTGGCGCCAACTGTAGAATTAACCCCAGTCCCATGATTTTCTGGGAGTTCTTGTTCCTCGCATTTTTCTTCTTCAGAATCGTTGTTTGGAAGAGGTAGGAAGGGGTCATTGTCACAGTCGTGAGTGAGATTCTGGAATTTAGGTTTGGAATTGGATAGGGAAAAGTTTAACTGAAAGAGGGTGCGTTGGGAAAGCTTTCGTTTTGTTGCCGGCTTTGGTTGGGAGAGGGAGAGGCAAGCATCTGAAAGTGGAAATAAAAATCAGAGAGTTTAAAGAAACATTGATACAAGCGAGAATATAAACGCGAATAACGTCCATACATACCAAGATGAGAGTTTATACGGTTATAGTCATCAGCGGGAAGATTGCGGCCGCAAACAGGGCATTGTACGTCGTGGTTTTGATCTGGTTGCTGCGACGGTTGTTCCACTACCTGAAATGAAAATGAAGAGGATGTGTCACTCAAACATAAGCAAAAGGAAGAGATTGGAAGAAACGCGATGCAATACCGGGTTGGGGTGGGGATTAGGGTTAGGGATGGGATCGGAGAGGATAGAGTGGCGATTGGGGAGGAAGCGCCTCCGTTTGCCGATTAATCGAATCAAGCTTTCTCTGCCGCTGAGCACCATTCCTACTGCCACCACTTCACACTGTACAAAGGTTAAGAGAGGGAAATGGTGAAACCCTTAAATCTCCCGCCACTTTCACCGGTTTTATTTCACCATTTTCAAAACTTTATTTTAAATACATAAATGTATTACTTAATATATCTGGTATAGTGTTATAAAGTATATAATAATTAAATGACTATATATAATAAATATTCTTTGTTACAAAAAATAAAGCCAATAATTTCTAATATTTTTACCAGTAAATTCATTATAAATTTAACAATATATAATGAGTGACTAGTGAAGGACTTCACTATATAATTGAGCGTAATTGAGAGAGCTCATTAGCATAACCAAAGTCGTTTAATTGTATTTTTTTTTTTTCATTTATATGGAACCGAACCAGACGCATTAATTTGTCTACAGACCGGCTTGTTATTATGGAAGTGTCACATTTTACTCGCTATGGGAAGGGTTCTGCGGGGATAGGAAGGGTTTTGCCTCCTGATATATTTAATTATTTTCTTTTTTGTCTTTAATTTTATTTGAGTTAGAAATTAAGTTTTGTTTTTTTTTTTTTATGTTAGATTGTGGATTCTCCGTCTCTGTTACGATTTATATTATTTTTATAAAAATAATTATATTTATAATAAATTAATTTTATTATGTATTTTTTATATAAAAATTAATATTTATAATTTATAATTATTATTAATTAAATATATTTTTTAATTTATTGTATTTATATTAAAATATATATAAAATAAATATTTATTTATTATTTATATATATATATATATATATATATAATATTTATAATATTATTATTATATTGAAATATTTGAATACTTCTAACATTATTATTATTATTATAATACTGGTATTCAAATATTTGATTATATATAAGTTAATTTATTTTTAAATTGTCATTTAAAAATATAAAATATATAGTTTATAATAAAATATGTAATAAGTTAATTCTTATTTAATTAGTTCGAAGTAATAAAAGTTTAAATTATCAATTCCTTTTAATATTTTAAAATGTAATTATTTTATTAAGATAAAATTTAATATATGATAAATAAGAATAGGAAGATAAAAAATGATGACACAATAAAATCTAATAAATATAAATTATAAATAAAATGATATTAGTTATTATTAAGATTTTATATAAAATATTTAGAAAAATATAAAAAAAAACTAACTTTGTGTTCATCAAATTGGTTGAAAAGATTAAAAAAAATTGATGGGAGAAATTAAGAAAATGTGAAAAATAGAAAGGTAAGAGAGAAAATAATGTAATAAATTAAATGATATAAAAGATAAAAAAAATAAAAAGTTGGTAGAAGAAAAAAATGGTGAAATATAAAAAAATGACTTTATATATAATAGGAACATAAAAAAAATATTTTTAAAATATTAATATTTTAAAATTTAAATTTAAATATAAAGTCGGAGATAGAGTAGGGATTGCATTACCTATCCCCGCCTCCGACTTTTTAAAGTGTGGAAAACCAAACATGCCTTACCCCCTGGTCAACTAGGGTTTTTCCCTAAAACTCGAGACGAAGATGAGTCTGGTCCCCACTAATACAAGTTTAATTGTCATCCTTACCTTTCACAATAAATAAATAACTAGTTAACTCAAATAATTGATTTGAATAAAAATAATTGTAATTTTTTTCTTCATTTTTTCTAATAATCATTATATAAATTTAAAATATTTGAAATTTAATTTCTTCATAATTATGATATTAAAACATTGAATGAATATCAATAATTCAATCACTAATCCATTACAAAATGATTACTATTAATAATGTTTAAAATTTTTAGCAGGCACACTTTATTAAATTCATGCGTTCGACCATATATATAACTTAAGCTAATATTGGCACAAACTGTAAATATTTATCAAGTGGTACTTTCTCAGCAAGTATTTAAATTATATTATGCTAAAGCGCCAATATCAAAGTGCAGAACTCCTTACCCATAATAACATAAGGATGCTAACAAAATAAATTTACAACAGATTCTGATGGCGTCATGTTATTATTAAGGCTATGCTAAAAATGTCCATACAAGATTTAGTATAAAATTCTCAAAATAATACGGTGAACAATAGCCACTCTTTTTTCCCAGACGAATATCGAACAAATTCTTATTTTAATTTAATCCTAATGAAACTCGAGAGAAACAGCATCTCTGCAAAATTCAATGCCCAGTCGTTCATAATCTGGCTTGGGCATGCATACTATAATTTGGCTTGGGTAAGCCAACTGGTGAAGATTTCCACCCCCACCATAGGTCCAATAATCTTTAGTTGTTTGTTTACGGTGATCAAAAAGGGAAAAAGAGACATGCTACAACTGTTAACTAGTCGAACGAGTTTGTTGGACTACTGCATCTGTCGCACTGCGAGTTCTACTCAGAAATGGAGCATAGACGCCAGATAACCTACTCAGCCCAAACAAGCCAGAACTAGATCCATTAATTCTACTCTCCTGAAAAGACATGTCCATACTAACAAGGTCAATCAAACATATATATTTAAGAAAAATGAGGGTAACAGAATCAAATCAAGCAAATAAAAATTTAAATTACAACAAGAGACAATTCTAACCAAATGGAAAATATTTCTTTTATTGCTAAAATCACATCAATAAAAATATAACTGGTTTTTCTAAGGAAAATACATCATTTCACAAATACGAACACAAACATGTCCATAGTTAGCCACATCCCACAAATATATAAAATTATAAATCACTAAAAATTATCTTAAAATGCACATTTAATGAGATTGATCATATCTAAATGAGACTGAAATGTGAAAAATAATCATTCGCACTTCACACCTACCTCTCTAATAAATTAACCTGAATTAGCAAAACAGAAATATTGCAAACCTGGACAGGCCCACCAGAATTTGATGGAGTTGGTGGATCAGCTGATATTGGCGGTGGCGATCCAGTCTGTTATGGAAACAAAATGATATTTAGAACTAACAATTAGCGCAACTAGAGAAGCAGCAGTAAAAGCTTTCAATTAAAATTTCAGTACTTTTATAATGGATTTGGATGAGGCAAGGAAGGAAGAGAAAAAGGAATCCTTGTGTAGAAGAACTTTTAAGAGAGGAAGGCATGGGAAAGTCTTAACGAGTACAGAAGCATGAATAAACAAATGCATCAACGTCCACAACCTTAATTTGGACATATCTTTTTCTGATTATTTCCAAATACCAATCGCATTACTAGATTCAGGGTTTGCTTGGTTGAGCAAGTGACAAATGGAAGATTGAAAACAAGTTGGAATGAAGAAAAAATAAATTTAAGTCATGGCTAAAATTGAAAATAAGTATACTATGTTTTCTAGCTCCTCCCGTCTCCGTTAACCCGCATCTCAATTCCCCTATTATCCACCAACCAAACCATGCAGTACGACTATGCATGTCCAGGAAATATAATTTGTATATTATATAGCAGTTACCCTTGCTGATGGCGTGACAGATAGTGGCTCAAGAGATAGCATAGATGAAGCCAATTGCGAACCCTGTATGACACAGATTAAGGTGTAAACGTAAGAATAATTTTCAAAGTAAACAAGGGAAAATCTTTGGGTGTGGATGGGAGAACTACAAAACCAAACTTCATGACTGAATTCATTCTTTGACTCATAGTTTTTTTTTTTCCTAGGCCAACAATGAACAAAATTTACTGTTAAACAAACAGCAGGACATCCTATAAATTTACAATAAAATATACTATTATGTCTGATTGATAAGAACAGCTCGCGGAAGGCAATTTGCACTGATAAATGGGAGTGCGAAAAACTTCTTACCCTGGAAGAGGGTGAAGCTGGTGGTGGCTCAAGGGCTGGCCTGGAAGAACTGGATGAAGATGCCTATATAATAAAAATTAGTGTTAGTATATTATTTGGTACAAAAATAGAACGATAATGGAACCAAATCTGAAATTCAGACTGCAAAGTCAAGCCAGAGAAATAAATTCATTGTAACAAAAGTCTGGTTCATGCCTGAATATACTCAGTGGTTCTGCTGCTATTTTCCATAGTCTTAGTAAATTGACACAACATGGTTACTCCTTCAGTTGTGGCCACCTACACAGTTTAAAGCTAGTATAAAGTAAATCACACAATAACATTAAAAATTAAATTTCGCAGTGACTGAAATCAAATTAACTATACCTGCTTCTCTTCTATTTCTTTAATTCTAGATTCCTGAGAAGAAAAGTAATCAGGCTGATGTTAAACAAATTACAAAAAGTTAAAAGAATTAACTGAATTCTTGCTATTGATTTACCAGAACACGGACTGCAACATGAACAGACTTGAAATCTCCAGTTATCGTGTCTGCCTTCTGTTGAGTTACAGCTATCTGTAACAGCAAATGTTCTATTGTTAAACAAAGAGGAAGGCAAAACTAGAGATCATAAAATCTTTACTTACCTCCTCCCTGGTACTTTCAGTAAGGGCAGCACATTCATCTAAATTTTCATCTAAACGGTTCATTCTTGTAGATAGTTTCTTCTTTACATCCTGAAATCATTGCAGATAACTAACTATTCATTCACATGATTCCATGGTAAAACAACTGTTAGTGTTATTCTTAATGCCCAGAGAAAGTCTGAAAAGTAAACTGAGCAGAACACAAGCTTTAAAAGCTTTAGCTTTTATAGGGCAGGAAATGATTTTTTTTTTTATAATGGAATCAAACCAATTTAATGGCAGAGAAATCAAACTAAAAGATTATATGAAGGCAATCATAAAAGAGAGACTAAACTCAATTAAGTAGCAATTCTTATTTGTCAAATTAGAGTTCAACAGGTTTATTACCAAATCTACTCAAAAACATTATATTGTCATTGAAAAAAGTTCCATAAAGGACACATTTATGTTCCATAAGAATAGCACATGAGCTCAACTTAAAAAATGGACAAACTAAGATTGTCATCAAGTCCATATGTTTTTTACGTTTTCTAGTTCAAAAACATCGAAATAAATAATGCATAGTTATATTATTAAAAATATTTACTTTGCTATTTTGCCTAACAGAAAGTTATCATTCATTGTCATCTTCAACACAAATACCTGGTTATGACATAATTTAAGGAGAAAAAAATATACAATAGAGCAGAAAAATTACATCAATTGTTCCATACAGCTTCCCCATCTGATCACCAATAGATGTACAAGCATCAGACAAACTTCGTTTTGTTGCAAACATCAAATCAGGAAGCTTCCATCCCTGCAAACACACAAGAGTCATAAAACTCGATGATAAGAGAGTGGGAAATTGGAGATTTGAAGAAAGGAAGGTAATAAGATTATAATAAAAAGATAGAGAAAAAGTGAACGAGCATCTAACTACTCTGGTATAAAGTCTAGTATAGAAGAATTCATGCACAACTTCGGACATTTGAATAAGAGGGGACAAGCCATTAAGAATTTGTAGCAATAATACATGTAGATTTAGGTACTATTATCACCCAACAATTTTGCTCCCATAGTTTTCACAGTTTTCTTTTTGGGTACATAAATTTGTTTCTAGAAACTAATGTTCCTGGAGTTGGCACTCCATGCAAACCTGCCAACTAATAATCAAGTCATAGCAAGCAATGCATAATTGATTCTGCTACAAATTATGTGAAAAATATCAATGAAAAGATGAGTTCAGCTATAACTAAACCAGTGAAGCCATGTCTAAGAAAATAATGATAAATGCAATTTGGCATACAGAAATCAAATGCAACAACTCAAACAAACATTAATGCTTGTCATCTGAAAAAGTCATAATAAAATTTTTGGAAAATACCATCTCAAAAAAGGATTATATATTATACAAGATTGGCATACTTTCAATCACATGCTTGTCATTAATCAAGGGCGGAAGCCAAAATTCCATTTTATAAAGACACCATGGCAGCATATGGCACAGCCGCAATGGGCCTCCCTTCATAAATTGCCAACGGCAGTTTCAAAAAATTTGATAGAAAATCTGCCATGAAACCACCATTTAACAACGTTGTCATGTAGATATAAACAGATATTCAGATCCTTTGACGCCCCTCCAGCAAGGTTTCTTTCCATCCCAAATCTCAACCATCCATCACATTCTCTTCAGTTACTATGTCCAATTTCACAGTCGAGATCTTGGCTGGATCCTTGTTCATATACCAGATAACACTTCTTAAAAGCACCAATATTAAAATTCATTTTTTTGCCAAGAAAACTTCAAACTAGAATGGATCACTACAACATCAGGTTCCTTAAATCAACGATTGTGAGAATAAAAGACATTACCTTCCACCAAATGTATCCATATCCCACCGCAACAATAACAATCACAGTCACATATTTTCTTCCACCTGTGCATTTCTCAAATAAGTCAGAAAATAACATAGAAGTAAAAAATAAGGAAACATGGGTTAGCTTGTCCACAGTATGGAGACACCCCACAATTAAAGCCCGTGATCACAGGGTTTTCAAATTAACACATCAGCATTTATTAAATTGCTGAAGAAATAACAAAAGACCCCCACAAAGTGTAAAAGAAAATCCTTAACCAGTACCTGTTCCACTTGCATTTACAATAGTGATTGATCTATCTCTAGCAAGAAGTTGTAATTCTTGCCGAAGACTGTTTACCTGTAGATCAGCAGTTAATAAGCAATTTCAATTAGCCCACATTTCTATATATTTACAAATCTACCATTTGTTTTTGTAGCGAGCTCAACAGGGAAATAAAAATCCCACTTCAACTACTAATAGTTATATCTGTTATCATATAAAGTGACAAATGTGATCATGCTTTTATTGCGTTTACATTATATTCAAAATACTACTTAATTGGCTTGAATGAGACAATTACAAGTAAAAGAATATATGAATATGTCAGAACTCAAGTCATGTATAAGATTCACTAAATGATGCTCTGCATGATGCATGAGACTAAACTAACATGCAATATGCATACCTGAGCCATCAAAGCATCATTATGTGGCAGCTTTTTAACAGTTGGAGCAGGCTCATTGCTTTTAAGTTGCTTCAAAACAACCTGGCCACAAAGTCTACAATCAGTAAAAAGCCAGAACACTTAATCACCAAGAATAAATGCCAGTTGCCATATACTCACTATATTAATGGAAATTGGAACAAATCACTAGTATAAATAATAGCATCTAGAATAATGCCAAACTTGGGATTTTAGGATAAAACCCAAGTTGAGAGAATACAACTGAACTTCAGATATAAACGACAACAACCAACTGTATCCCAACAGATGGAATTAGCCAAATAGATAAAGCAGGGTTCTAATGAAAAACCAAACTTTTGGTAAAACTATTTAGATCAAGGTAATATTCTGAATATTTTCTTGGTCTTCATCTGCATCTGTTGGTCTACTCAAATGACTAAACAACCTTGGGGAAGTTTCCATCATCTTCTCCCTAATAGATGCTACCCCAACTGTCTCCCAAAAACTTTAATTTGCACTATTACCCCCCTCATCCACCTCAGTGCTCAAATCTCAGCTACTTTCTTTTTTCACCATGATAATTTTCCTATAATATATTTTTTTCACTAACAGACAAGAGCCTCTGTTGGTCTTCTCACATGACTAAACAACTTGGGAGACTTTCCATCATCGTCTCCTTAATGGATGCTAATCCAACTATCCTCCAAACTTTAATTTTTGTGATTAACTTACTCATCCCCCTCAGGGCTCTAAACTCAGCCACACTTGTTTCCTCCTTGATGACAGTATACATTAGCAGCGAAATTCACAACCATAGACCATTCATCGAGTAAAACATTTCTTTGAGTTTGATAGAGAGCTTACAATCACATATTATACCCAAAAACTACAGATGCAGTCCCCCAAACAGGAACCCCATATGTATGCCATTTTTATCAATCTAAATATCACTTTAAAGTGTAAATTGTAGAATAATGGATCCAAATTCTAATCATATGACTTGGAGCATTGTCTAATCCACAATTTTCACCAGCAAAACACTATTACCTCACATCTTACTAAATTTACATGTCAAATACTTTTTCTTACTCCTACTAAACCAAATACCTTCAGATCCCAAGTGATGTTCAGTCCAACTAAAAAAAAACACTGTAACAATTTAAGTCAAACCAAGCACAATTGATCATTTATTTAAATAACATGATCGTAAAGCCTAGCTTGGCCAGTTTAAATATATAAACCATGAGTTTGACTTGTTTAGTTTGTTTATGGTTTGACTTTTTTTTTTTGTATTAATTTAGTATCTTGTAGACATGTTTTTATAAGAATTAAACGATAAAAGAAGTAAAAATAGAAATAAAACGTTTTTCTGTATTTATAATTTATCATAAAATATTCAAAATTTCTGCCATTAAATAAATACATTCTAGAATAAAATTTACTACTCTTCTAAAAGTTTAATTTAGAGCCACAATGGATGTAGAATAACAAACTAGTGACATATCATGATTCAACTTATTATGCAAAATTTCTTAAAAATGCTATTTATTTGATTATAAAATAATAAAATCTTTGATAGTACACACACAAGCTATTTTGTAACCTCTTAAGGACAAGCATAGAAGCTTGAGTTTAGCTCATTTTATATGATCAAGCCTACGTACACGCTTTATCTTGTTTCTTAAGTCAAAAGGACAAGCTTGATCGATTGTTTAATGAGTTGAGCTCGAATAGCTCATGATACCTAAACTCTTTTATGTCCATTAGCTCATAATACCTAAGATCAAATTTAAGCAGAAAGAGAACAAGTGATCATTTTCTTTCCTAATTTATAACATTTTCTTACTAGATTAAACTTGATAATTTCTTAACATTTTCCTTACTTTGTGGAGAAGGTCCCTCACCAAAGACTGGATTCATTTTTGCTTACAAGAGTTAGAGCATTATAACATCATTTTAACACATGATTTTAATGTTTTATTAGAATTTTGAAATACAATTTCCATATCATAAACCAATTTTACTCTCCCCACCCATATCCACAGCTCCCGTAGCTACAGTACAGACTATATCTCCACGAGTGGACAGCGACAAGAGGAGAATTGCATCTTATACATAAAACAAAAAACGGGAAAATTAAGAAAATCGTAAGCATCATTCCTCGAGAGAGAGAAAAAAATGCATCTATCAATTTGTATCCATCAGCATAGCACATTAAACACACCCTTCACTAGAGCCTTAAAAAAAAAAACGTCACCCAGAGAAACATGTTGAGCTCTCAAAAACTAACCTTGAAAGCACCGGAGACGAGACCAGAAACGTCAGGCAGACTGCCTTCTTTAGCAATTACAGAACCAACAATACCTAAAAGACAAACGAATTTCAGCGAAGCATTGTATCTAATCCTAGCCAACAAAACACCATACATACACCTATGAGAACATCACCGTTCACTAGTCTCTGATATTCCAATACTCAATCAAACAAATGCACCACAATAACCTTACCAATAGACAACTTTTGTTCCGTCGAGATACAAAGGAACCTAAATTGCGATGGCATAAATTTTGGGAAAAAACAAATGAAATTGAACCAGAAAGAAGAGGGAGATTATTTCGAGAAAGTGGTGCGAGTGTGAACCTGCACCGAGGAGAATGGTGAGCTTGCCGAGTGAGAGAGCCATGGCGCGCCAGTGAGTCTCAGCAAGTAGCTAGTGCACTCTGTTGCGAAGCATTTAGCGGGAAACGCTGTGTTTAGGGTTGGGCGATGTGCGATTGTGCGTTTAGGGTTCTTCCTTGTATGTGTTTCCCGCTGGATTAAATTGATCGGCAAGCGAGAGGAGACAACGAAATCGAACAAACCCTTGATCTTTGGAGGCGTTCACTGTTCCTCCTTTTCCTTAGTGGACCCTAGTTTTGAACCTGTGGAAAAATATATATAATAATGGTATATAAATAGTATATTCCCTTTCTACTTGGGCACCAAACAACAATTATACTTATATATTAAGAGTTAATTATATATCTAATTAATTAATCATAATTATTTAGTAATTTTTATTTTATTACTACACCTTTTACCAATTAATTAAATGTATTAATGGCTATTGATAATTAAAAAAATTTGTTACATGTTATCATATTAAGTTATTATTAAAGAAATTAAGTTTATTAGTTAAAGTGATTATTACTTTACTTATATTTTGTCAATTTGTTAAGTAGATTTTCTTAACTACATACATAATTACTTCCACCTGATCTAAACTTATACGACTTATGATTGATATTTTTCTGAACTTCTTCATTACAAAATCTCATGTTGAGATAGGTCATTAACAATATTACTCTCGTTTCCTTCTCCTCAATAATATAGATTTTATCTACCTTTTGACATTCTTTCACATAATGTCCTTCTTTTCCACAATTAAAACATTTTTTCGAGGAGTAATCATTCACATAATTACCATACTTATCCCATTTGAAACACTTGACAATTAAGTGGTTCGTTGCTAACTTTCTCTCCGTCTATGTCATTTACCTCACGAGTTTTATTGAGTCCTAACTTTCTTCTCGTCACCTCAACTACCAAATTCAAATAATCCAGATCGACCACCTCAGGATCGATCATCACATCTTCTTCCTCTATTATTCTAAGAATAGAACGTTTTCTTCTCGAATTGGATAAGTTTCTCACGCATGTCCTCGTTCTCCATCTTTTTCTTCATTAAGTGTTCATAAGCTTTAATGGAACCAATTAACTATTTTATTGTAAAAACAAGTCATTTGATTACTCTATCGTATACACTATGTTCTCAAAGTCATTTATTAATGACTTCAAGATCTTTTCAACAATTTGTCAAGTTGAAAATACTTTTTCGTTCTGATTCGACTATATTTGCTATATTTTTAACATGCAAAATATATTTAAAATTTTTTTTCAACTATTTCATTCTCATACTTTTCATCTCACTTTGTATTGTTTGATGTCGAACTCGAATGACTTAGTTATTTTTTTTGTATTCCTTTTTTCAACTCGTCCCACGTATCGGATACTAACTTGATTCCTATGATCTTCTCAAAATCAAAATCTTCTATAACTCAAAACAATGAAAATAAAGTTGCATTATTCTTTAAACGCTTCTCTTGAAAAGTTTTAAGTGTGTTGGCCGACCATCCTTCCATAGTCTTTAATTTTTTCATAAGCGTCATTTACTACATCCTAATAATCTTAGACTATAAAGAGAGTTTTCTTCTAAATACTCCATCTATCATAATTAAGATCTTTCATTAAAAGAAACATAAATACAACAATAATTATCAAATTAACCATTTCACTTTTTTAAAACACTCGTTACTAAACCTTTAACTCTCACTTTTTTTAATAATCTTAATTCTTCTAAAAAAACAATCAAAAGTTTTCCTAATAGCTTTAATATCAATTTGATAACAAATTTTTTTTAAACTAAATTACATTTGTGTATTTAAATATTTTCAGCTTTTATTACTTCAAAATATTTATTCCATATAAACCATACCATAACAATGTTCCAAAATAATAATATGACTTTCTAAGTTTGAAAAAACGTTTTCACGCCAAAAAAAATTCAATAAAAACTAATTAATTATTATTAATTTGACGTAGGAACACCTAACAAACACCTGACAAAACGTAACCGAAGAATCACTGAGAGCATCACAGTGATGGCGAGAGTGGGTAGAATGAAGTTGGGTTCACAAGGATTAGAGGTGTCTGTGCAGGGACTTGGGTGCATGGGCATGTCTGCGTTCTATGGTCCTCCTAAGCCAGAAACTGATATGATCGTTCTTATTCACCACGCTGTTCAAAGTGGTGTCACATTTCTTGACACTTCTGACATGTATGGTCCTCACACCAACGAAGTCCTGCTAGGAAAGGTTGATTCTTTGTGCTGTTTGATATAATCATTGTAGGCCTGTGCTTTGACTTGAGCATGCGTATGATGTAATATATGTTATTTTATTGTTTTTTTGGATCTACCTAATCAGTGCTGATAAATAGAAATTTTAGGGTTTTCAGTCTTCATACCTTCAATCAGCTTGATTTTGGTTTCTGTTTTTTCATGAATTTAGTCGTATAACTTTTAAAACTAAGCTAACTCAGTTTCTCCTTAAGTTTAAACTTGATATTTAATTGGGTTTTTGACGACCAACAGAGTTAGAAGTACTGAATTCATATATTCTTTAAGTTGGAAGACTAAATTCTTGGATTTGAAAGTACAGGACCAAGATTAACCGAAAGTACACGATCAAAAACACAGTTTTCCTAATTTTTAATATTAGTGTAGCATGGGAAATAATTGGAATTTGGAAGAGTGTGTCATTACACTTTCAGATTTTATATTTTACTTTCTTACTTATGATTCCATGAAGAGCACTGTCTACAAATTTATCCTTTTTATTGTTGCTATGATATGATATGATGAAGTGTGCATATGTATTTGTATGTTGCAGGCTCTGAAGGGAGGGGTGAGAGATAAGGTTGAATTGGCTACCAAATTTGGAATCAACCTTGCTGAAGGGAAAAGGGAGATCCATGGTGATCCAGCATATGTGAGGGCTGCTTGTGAGGGCAGCTTGAAGAGACTTGACATCAATTGCATTGATCTCTATTACCAACATCGTATCGATACTCGTGTGCCTATTGAAATCACGGTTCCACCCTTTCTTTATGCTTTGCTTTGTTTCTCTTTTCTGTAGGTGATACATTTGGCTAGACTACTATTATGCTTGAAGGAAAATTTACTTGGCTTGCTATAAACTCTGTACTAATGATAATTAGTTGGATATATTTTCACCCCTGCATTTTGTGTGCATTCCACCTTCTTTGTACACTCTGGGGAATTATGGCCATCACCGGATACTTGATTTAAAAGCTATTCAGCAGATTTTGTCCATCATCGTTCTTCCTCGAATTTCGTCAGACTAGCTTACCATTGGGTCATATTATGCTGACAATCGAGTTCATGCATGCTATGACATTGTTCTCCAAGACAAATCGTTATAACAAGATCATGGAAACCATAGATGATCAATAAATATCTAATACCTGTATTGTGTTCATCCAAGTTTGTGAACCTCGTTCTTCTTGTAATTTTAGCTGTGTTACTTTGCCACTTCATGTCACACTCACGCACGTGCTTTACATGTAATTGACATATTATGAAATTTATGTTGACATGAGGAGTAACCATTTGTTCTCACATGTAAGAGGATAACCTATGATGACTTCAAGTTTTTCCCTTGTTTTTGAATTAATTGTAAGATTGGGGAGCTTAAAAAACTTGTTGAAGAGGGCCAAATAAAATATATTGGTCTGTCTGAGGCCTCGGCTTCAACAATCAGAAGAGCACATGCAGTTCATCCAATAACAGCTGTGCAGTTGGAGTGGTCACTATGGTCAAGAGATGTGGAGGAAGAAATAGTTCCAACTTGCAGGTGAGATTCAATATGCAAACATGTTTTATTATCTAGCAATTCTCTTTTTGAGATTCAATAAAACTGCAATGATGTGAGGTATAACTTTATCACTCAATTTTTACTTCTCAGGGAACTTGGTATTGGAATTGTTGCGTATAGTCCTCTTGGGAGAGGATTCCTTTCATCAGGAACAAAGCTGCTCGAGAATTTGACACAGGATGATTACCGGAAGGTTTGTGAAACTCATTCTATTACAGAAGTTTTGAAATTCATGTCAATTACTTGTGCATTTTCGCTGCCCAATCTTCTATACTGCTTTGGAATCTTGGATTATTTCAAATCTCTTGAATGTCACTCGGTGACATCCTCTTCTAACCTTAGCTCTATTGAGTTTTCAATTTTAGTTAGTCCTTACATTAATGATTCAAATGTCTCTGTTAACATTACTGTTAAATCATTCATACTTATTGTCTGTAGTGACCTCCATTAGTTGTAATATCTTTGTTATACAATAATTGTGTCACTAACTGAAAACATTTAAATGTTTATACTTTTTTTAATGCACCAAAGCCAGAATCAGCAAAGTCGCTTATTTTTTGTGTATGGATTTTGCATTGAGTTGCTTATTCTTTGTCATACCTCAAATAAAGAATACAATACTGTATTTATACACAGTCCCAGGATATTCCCAAAATCAAATAATAACTACCCAAGATATTCCCCAAAATCAAAATGTTCCAACTAACTCCTAATTATCTTCTTATAATTTTTTTATACCAACAAACTCTTAAAACTAATTATTTAATTTTATTCAATAAAGCCCAACAAAATTCTCCTGTAAAATTAAATTTCTTCAGCAAAACTAAGATTGGCTTGATACTGATCTCCCGACTCGTTCTCTTCAACACTTCTTTGAATTTAAAACCAAGAGATTGGCTTGACACCGATCGTCTACTTACTGTACTTCAAAACTTTTTGGCCTTCAAAACATCCCAGGCTCCAAACTTTCGAGTTTCCTACCAGCCGATTTGTCATCTTACCAAACATCTTGAGTTCCTTCCGTCCTTTATCCTGATCATCCACATCTCCGTACTAGTCACTGTCTATGGGAGTTGATATCTAATTGAAATCGGTCATCTTGAACTTATTTAGGATCACCTTTGCATACACCTCTTGAGACAAACATATTTCCAACTCATCCTTGCCTTTGTTCATGTTCCAAGTGGTTGCTCAACATACACCTCCTTGAACACACCATTAAAAAATGTCGACTTCACATCCACCTGCTTCACTCCAATAGCTCAATCATAGCTTGGCAATTTGGTCATCACCAACATGTCATTTTGTTATCGGATCTTCTCATCCATAGCAGCTCGGTTCATCTTTTCAACTATAGATCATACCTTCTTGTCCAAAACAGCTCGGATCTCAATTTCAAATCGGATCTTCTTTTCTTCAAGAATAACTCGGACTTTCTCGTCTACAAAATCTTGGACCTTCTCGTCTACAAGAGCTCAGATCATTTTGTCCACAACAACTTGAACATGGTTACCAATCACTCCTTCGCAAACTCTCCCCTCCATGCTTGACAATCTGAGCATCACACCTTCGCAAACTTTTCCCTCCATGCTTGACAATCCGAACACCATGTTTTTCTTCAACTTTACAGTTATTTCTTCCTTCTTGGTATCTGAACTGGCTACTGCTGGTGGTGTAACAGCTCAACCACCTTCCGATTTGACAATAACTACAGGTGCAACAGCTTTCCCTACTCGGTCTCCTTCGATTGTTCCCACTTTCATTCACTTGCACCACCAACTCAGAAAATATCATGATTGTTATCATGAATCAACTCGGTTAAACCACAAGAATGCATGTGATCAGATTGGTAATTTTCCTTCAACGTGTCCTCTACATTTGATTTCAAACTCCTCTCTCCTGAATGCTTATCAATTGCAACTTGTACATTCTATTTTTTCTCATCTCTATTCGTGCAACCAACCTTCCAAGCTTGTCCTTCAATTCTAGTATTCGGTCTTTCATGAAAATTGAGTATCCTCTCAAAACTTAAAGTTTGTCTCATACTTAAAAGATTACTCTTGAGATCTGGAATTTAAAGCACATCTTGAATTGACCTGACTCGGTCATCCTTCTGCCGATTATGCCTCGAAGTTTTACCGAGACCCTCGAATCATCTCCAAACGAAACATGATCGCCCTTAAATTTCTCTAATTTGTTGAATAGATGTTTTTCCCCACACATATGGTTACTTGCATCAGTATCCAAATACCATACCTACATGTGATCGGTATCTTTCTGAACTCCTTCACTAAAAAATTCCTGTGTTGAGCTCGGCCATCAACAATGTTACTCCAGTTTTCTTCTCCTCTACAAGATAGGTCTCACCTATCTTTTGACATTCTTTCGCATAATGTCCCTCTTTTTCACAGTCAAAGCATTTTCCCGAGTAGTAGTCATTCGTATAATGACCATATTTGTCACACTTGAAACACGCGACATTTGAGTGGTTCGTTGATCAACTCAGTTTTGTTGATCTCCTCCTTCATTTTCATCACCTCGGCTACCAGATCTGCCCTGACCTCCTCGCCAGATCGTGCACCTTGGGACCGACCACTACATTCCCTTCCTCTATTATTTTGAGAATAAAACGCCTTTTTCTCGGTTTGGAGCCCTTTCGCACTCGTGTCCTCATCCTCCTTATCTTTCTCCATTCGCTTTAAGTGATCCGATCAACTCTTTTATTGATAGGTCGGACAAATGCTTTGCTTGTTCTCTTGGCATGGCAGAATTATAAACTCTCTTTGATTCTCTTCTTTCTCATCTCTCGTCCATCTCTTAATTATATGTCTTAATATTTGAGGACTTATTTGTGATGATAAATTTATATGATTTTGACCATCCAAATAAGGCCAAAATCTAGCCCACATGTGATGATAATAATATATGATTTCAAAACATACGATGGACCATTTCTGCTTCCCTAGTATCTAAATCATTGAAATTATTTTGTTATCTTTTTTAATTCTGTTGAATATAGAGGAAATAGGGTTTGAGATTAATCTCCCTTGTGTATAAACCATACATAGGGTAATTTATTTATAATAGAGAGAGGTACAACTAAAATAGTAACCGAAAGTAAACAGAATAAACAAAAAATATTGTTTGATATTGTGGTTAACAATATCTAACACTCCCCCTCAAGCTGGAGCATATAAATCGTAAGTGTCAAGCTTGTTACAAATATAATCAATTTTAGGCCCCCGTAAAGACTTATTAAAAATATCTGCTAACTGATCACTTGAGTTAACAAACTCAGTCTTGATGTCTCCAGACATAATCTTTTCTCGAATGAAATGACAGTCAATCTCAATATGTTTGGTCCTCTCATGAAAGACAGGATTAGAACTAATATGAAGAGCAACCTGATTGTTACATACAAGTGTCATTTGAGTGACATCTTCAAATTGTAACTCTATGCAATTGCTTGAACCAAACAAGTTTACAGGCAGTTGAGGCCATAACTATATATTTTGCTTCTGCACTGGATCTTGCCACAACACTTTGTTTCTTACTTTTTTATAAGATCAAGTTACCACCAATTGAGACACAATATCCAGATATAGATCTTCTATCCGAAGGAAATCCTGCCTAATCAGCATCTGAGTAGCAAACAATTCTTGTATGATTATTAGAACCATATAACAATCCTTTTCCAGGAGATCTTTTAATATACTTCAAGATACGAATGATTGCATTCCAATGATCTTCACATGGGGAATTAAGAAATTGACTTACTACATTGACTACAAAGGAAATGCCAGGACGAGTAATTGTAAGATAATTCAATTTTCCAGTCAATCTTCTATACTGCTTAGGATCATATATAGACTCCCCCTGATTTAGTAGAAATTTAGTATTGGGATCCATGGCTATATCAACAGACTTAAAACTCATCAACCCAGTTTCCTTCAAAATATCCATGACATACTTCCTCTGAGATATAACAATACCATCATTAGACTGTGCCACCTCAATATCCAAGAAATATCTCTAAGTTTGCCAAGATCTTTGGTCTGAAAATGGTGACGAAAATGTTGTTTAAATTGAGAGATGTCATGGTTGTCACTACTTGTAAGAACGATGTCATCAACATATACTATCAAGTAAACACATCCAACACTTGAATGTCGATAAAAGACAGAATGATCTGCTTCACACCGAGTCATATCAAATTGTTGAACAACCTTGCTAAACTTTCCAAAACAGGTCCTAGGAGACTGTTTTAGGCCATATAGGGATTTGTGAAGACGACATACCATCCCAGAAGACTTTCCCTGAGCAATAAACCCAGGAGGTTGCTCCATATAGATTTCTTCTTGCAAATCACCATTGAAGAAAACATTTTTAACATCTAGTTGATAAAGAGGTCATTGTTGAAGAGCGACCATGACGATAAATAAATGAACAAAAGCCATATTTGTCACAAGAGAAAAGGTATCTCCATAATCCAACCTAAAAATTTGAGTATAACCTTTGGCCACAAGACGAGCTTTGAGGCGATCAATAGTACCATCAGGTCCAACTTTGATAGCAAACACCTATCTGCAACCAGCAACAAATTTCCTAGACGGTAACGAGACCAATTCTCAAGTTCCACTATTATGAAGAACACTTAGTTCATCTAACATGGTCTGACGCCAATCAGGATGGGCTAAAGCTTCACGGACAATTTTTGGAATGGTCACAAAAGAAATAAAGGAAAGACATGTATAAAAAGGTAATGACAGTCGATGATAACTCAAAACAATAAAATGGGGAAAGAGATTATGTGTAAAACAGATACCTTTTCGGAGGGGACAATGGGAAGATCAAACTCAGGTGTCAGATCCGGAGGAGACAGAGTAGTTGACACTTGAGTGGAGTCACATGGTGGTGGTTGTGATTGGTTTCGACAACTATAAACCTAAAGAAGCAGTGGAGAAGAAGTTGACTGCAGAGCAGGAACTAATGGTGAAGAAGACACAGTTAGAGGGTTACAAACAACAGGAACATTAAATGTACTAGGAGTGTTAATAGGATTGGATGGAGACAGAGGGGAAGATTGACTTTTAAAATAAAGAGAGAACTCATCAAAGGTGGCATCTGCAAACACAAAATAATGGTTAAGAGAAGGAGAAAAATATTTGTATCCTTTTTGTGATCTTGTAAACCTAAGAAAACACATTTATGTGATATAGGAGAAAGTTTGTCAAGACTAGAACTGAAATTATGAACAAAACATGTATACCCGAAAACTCTTAGAGGTAAGGGATGAAGTGGTTCATGAGAAAATAAAATAGAATGAGATATTTTATTATCTAAAACTGAAGAAGGCATGCGATTAACGAAATAACATGCAGTAAGAAGAGCATTACCCAAAAAATGTTGAGGAACTTCTCCATGAATTAAAAGAGTGCAAGTTGTTTCAATAAGATGTCTATTTTTACGTTCAGGTACACCATTTTGTTGAGGTGTATAAGCACAAAAAGTGTGATGCAAAATACCGTGAGAAGCCATGAATTGTTTAAAAGAATGAGAAGATATTCACAGCTATTATCACTGTGCAAAACTCTAATAGAAACACCGAACTGAGTTTGAATTTCATTAAAAAAAGTTTGTAAGATATGAAATAATTCAGAACGATTTTTCATTAAAAATAATCAAGTGCATTTGGAATAATCATCAATGAAAGTAACAAAGTATTCAAAACCTAAAATAGACTTAACGCGGTTAGGTCCCCAAATGTCAGAGTGAACCACGACAAAAAGGGACAAAGCATCACGTGTGACACTACGAGAAAAGGAAGTACGACTATGTTTGTCTAATTGACACGATTCATATGTCAAACTAGACAAGTTGGACAAAACAGGGACAAACTTTTGTAACTTGGCAAGACTTGGATGACCTAACTGAGCATGAAGAAGATGTTGAACATTCAAGGACTTAATGTTAGACTTGATGGACATGAAGCTTGTTGATTTTGATGATGATTCAAGAACTCAAGAACGTAGAGAGTTGAAGACTTGTTTTTTAGTGTAATAACTCTGTTTTGATTAGATTGAGTCTGTAATATTAGAGTTTGAGATAGCGGGTACATGGTCTGCACCTTAGAAGCTTCAAAAAGCTCAAATTTATCAAAGAGGCTCGGCTTTAATCGATTAATTGGTGAAATAATCGATTAAAACAGTGAGAAAAACCATTTTCTGTATCTGCTCACTGGTTTAATCGATTAACACCCCTGTTAATCGATTAACCGGTCTTTTAATCGATTAAAACAGAGAGTTTTGGGGATCTGTTGATTTTGGCTCTGTAATATTCGATTAACACTTCAATGAATCGATTATTTCAGTCAGATTTTGATTTTTAACTTCAAATCAACCCTATTTTCGAAAACCCTATTTCCAAGAACCCTAGTTTCGAAAATCCCAATTCCCAAACCCTAATTTCTCTACTTAAGCTTCTCTATGGCACTCAGAAAAAAAGAACAACCTTTTTCATACAAAAGTTAAGTGCTGTGAGTGCCAGAGAACTGTTTGTTGCAAGAAAAAGGGGCTTTTGGAACCTGGTGTGGGCTAGAAGCGATAAGAATCACTAAGTGGAGTTCTTAGTGGATTGTGTGTTGTGTTGTCTCTAGGGAAAGCTGTTCTTCATCTCTTGTGGATTTCAAGAGAGGTGTTTTCTTATCTTTATCTTTTCAATTGTAATTTCTTTGTAACAACTTGATTATAGTGACAACGTTAATCCTTTGTTTGAGTGATTAGCAACTGGACGTAGGGTCTTTTGATCCGAACCAGTATAAATTTTCTGTGTAAGATTCTATCTCTTCTCTATTTACATTTACACAGTTTTTAATCGGTAAAATTTGGGGAAAATTTTGAAAACCTAATTTTATTTAAGAAACCAATTCACCCCCCCTCTTGGTTTTTGTCCGACCACGCGAACATTCTGCTGCGCGATTCTAACAGAAGAGAGGGAGAGTCCATAACTGCACCAACATTTGTAGAGGGACGGAGATAATAAAGACCATGAGACTCACGTCCTGTGCCAATCACCTGTTTCAAACTCTGGTCTTATAAACACACAAAATTATTGGTAAAAGAAACAACACAATCAAGAGAGCGAGTTAGACAACTGATGGACAACAGGTTAAAAAGAGACTCAGGGTCATAAAAAACATTATCAATGGTTAAAGAAGAGAAAAATTTAACAGTTCCAACACCATGAGATGATACTCTAGAGTCATCAGCCAGTGTAACAGAAGGTAAAGGATTAAGAGAGGATAAAGGGGAGAACAAATATTTGTTACCAGTAATATGATCAGTTACTCCTGAATAAAAAATCCAATGACCAAGAGAAGAGGATTGGGTCAAACTAGCAAAATATGTACCTGTGTGTGCAACAAACGTAGTGAATCTAGAAGACTGTTGATCCTTATACCATTTGAGAAATTTGTTGAACATAGTAGGTGTGTCAGATGCAACAGAAGAAGGAGGATCCCTAGCAGACAAAGGTGGGGAAAGATCAATATGAACAATTGCAGCAAATTGAGGAGGACGACCATGTAATTCATAATACTTGTTAATCTTGTGACCTAGCTTGCCACAATGTTCACATTTAGGACGTCATTTTCTCTGTTTATGAGGGCGAGTCCAGTCATCACGGTGAGATGCCAACGCAGAAGAATCATTAACAAAATTGAAAGTAGTAGAAGGAGTGGAAGAAGTCATGAAGGAGTTTCATTTTTGACCGGCGACATACAGTTTTATTCGTCTTGGTCAGGCGACCATCATGCCATTAAGATCACCACTATCGGAGTTGGTCGTCTGTTATCTTCTGAGCTGTTTAGTCTCGACGGAATTGTTTTGTTTTTTTTGTTTTGGATTTGTGCTTCTCGTTTTGGAACTTATCACAATTGAGAACTCTTTTTAGGGTAAGTTCCCAAGAAATAAAGGTGAGTCACTAATGGACATGTTTAAATACCAAGTGTTTTCTTGTCAGAACCTTCCTAGACATGCACTTTGACACTACCAAATAATATCTAGTAACAAAAATAACTTTTTTCTGATATGGAAGATCAGTTTAACCGGCAGCGGCAGCGGTGGCGGTGGCGGCTCCAGCAGTGGACAAAGGCGAAAAAATTTCAAAATAACCTTAAACTCTAGATACCATGTTGAATATAGAGGAAATAGGATTTGAGATTAATCTCTCTTTTGTATAAACCACACATAGGGTAATCTATTTATAATAGAGAGAGGTACAACTAAAAAAGTAATCGAAAGTAACAGAATAAACAGAAGATATTATTTGATATTATGGTTAATAATATCTAACAATATCTTAACAATATCAAACAATATCTAACCAATTCCATAATTGATAGCTAATATAATCTGTGTGTTTAATTCTAATGCAGTTTCTGCCCAGATTCAAACCTGAAAATGCGGAACAGAATAATACTATATTTGAGAGGGTTAATGAACTGGCTACAAGAAAGGGATGTACTCCATCTCAACTGGCATTGGCCTGGGTTCATCACCAAGGAAAAGACGTGTGCCCAATTCCTGGAACAACCAAAATTGAGAACTTTAATCAAAACATTGGAGCTTTGTCTGTCAAACTAACACCAGAAGAAATGGCAGAACTTGAGTCCTTTGCTGCTGCACATGTTAAGGGTGATAGGTACGGGGATGCGGCATCTACATGGAAGACATCTGATACTCCACCCCTTTCTTCTTGGAAAGCTGTATAATCAAGTGCATTGCTTAATGCTTATACTATTGTATGCTTCTGCTAGTGTTCCTTAGGCATTTGTTATATTAAAGGAATTTAACTTGTTTGAACTCTTCCAGTTTCTAGCAGCAATTATGTTTTGAACTTTTCAAGTGGTTTGAACTCTGGCAGATGATTCCAGAGTCGTGTTTATGCATTTGTGAACTGTGGTGCTCCATATATGTGTGCATCCACTTATGTCTGTCCAAGTTGAAGCACATGGAAAAAGGCTATGACATGTCTTGTAGTGTGATGTGTTGACTAAACAATTCAGACTAAGTAATCTGCTGTGTATTTTTAATAAAATAGTGTATTAAATTGTTAATTACATTTCAATTGACCAATATATATAAAATAGAAGTATGAAATAATTTATTAAAGAAATTAAAATAAAAAGTTTCGAGTTAAATAATATTTTAATTATAAAATACCTTTCTTAAACATATTTAAGGATAAAATTTCTAATTGTAATATATTTAAGAGCATAATATATTTTCGGAAAACAAAACCGTTTACCTCACATGACTAATCAGATTCTGATAGATTTTTATTCTTCTTTGATTAAAAATCCGTTGCTATAATTTGATATTTACAAAATATATGTTAAGATTTTCTTCTCTAATTTTATTCCAAACCTAAATGCCCTGTTTCATAGCTTCAGAATTCTTCATTTCTAACCTCAACCCTGTTAGATAGGTTCAAAGATTTTCTTCCACAAATAAATGAACCCACTACGAATTAGATATCAAGAACCAGAAGCACACTATAATATAGAAATGAACATGTGTAAAATAGATTTCAATCTTAATACTTTTCGCTTCATGAGTTTCACATGCATTGTAAGTTTGTAACTGATAACTAACCAGATTTAGCTCAAATGTAAAATCTATATTTTGATCAAACATATATGTCCCTAGTAGTAGCTAGGACATGACCATACCAGCGTTTGCATTAAAAATGAATGAATAGAAATGAAATATTTTCACATGTTGAGGGGGAAAATACAAAGACGAAATATCTATTCTCAAAATCAAACTGAAACGAAAATGAGACTAACTAGCAACATCTTCTGCCTGTAATTCCTTCCCATGTTCTGATTCAAAATAGTGCTCTAGAATCCATCAGGAAGAATGCTATAATTTCTGAAATTTTTGTTGATTTAATGTATAGTTTCACCTGAGTAGAAAATTGATGAGACAAAAAGAAACATAGCATCCTTGTCTGCCACACGCTAGGAACTGGAATCATTGACAGTGGTAATGTTCCTTTTTATAGCTTCTATTCTCCCAATAATTCCCTTAACTGCTACATCAAATGCATCTTCAACAGTCTCTAATCTAGAACTTGGATAACGATATATTATTCTTGGAATCAGTCTTATAATCTCCTTTTGCATAGCCAAAACTTCACTTTTTGGAACTTTAGACAATGTGTTGTTGATTATTACCCTCTTCTGTGTGACATCTGTTTCTGGTATGTATACAGAGTAGCTAGAACCATTTTTGGGAAAATGCCACAAATATTGGTCATATGCTGATTCTGGATGAAAGAAAACAGGAATGCAACCAGCCAGTATTGAGTCAAAAGTTGATCTCCTAGTGAATGAATCCCCTGGAGGCTGGATACAGAAAACTGAGCTTTGAAAAACCTTTGTAACATGCACAGGATCATTGCAGTAGTTATGATGAAGACTATCATGACAATTTAGAAGTTTGCAACTCCTGGAGGATTGACATTGTTTGATTATCTCGTTTCTGATGGAGGTTGATGAATTAGAACCAGGCCTTGGAGCACCTGCAAATGAAAACAAGTAAGGCCTTTTCACATTTCTCATTTTCTTCTGCCACTGAAAAATCTCCCTATCCTTAGAGGGGTGAAAGTAAGTTGGATATGGGATAGGAAACTCATTTTCCTTTGAATCAACAGCTTCTATTAGCAAAATTGACATGTTTCTTGCTTCTGGCAAAAGCATTAGTTTGGTGCCCCAATCATCATCCATATCTGTTACTCTCCTGAAGTCCCAACCAATTCTCCCTCCAACAATGAAATGATCCCTACCCCACATTCTTTTCCATTCGGGTTGTTGTGCCAGCCATTTCACTAGTTCTTTTGGTGAAGCATCTCTTGTTGAAACATTGAAGCCCCCCCAAAGGTACTGACCCACGTCAAGGCCAGCATAGTAGGGTACATATATAGCAGAAGCCAGTGAGGAATCTTTGGTTAAGCACTTGTAGTGTTTCATTATGTTATGGAAAATAACTTCAAGTGAAAATTGGTTAGTGGCATACCAGTTTTCCTTCAACAGAACCGTCTCCTTTGATTTCTCAATAACCTTAGGTCCGAGGCCTAAGTTGGACACGTACGGGCACATATCAAACCACCTCATGAGAGAGTGACAACCCTTCAGCAAATCCTCATTGAACCTGCTAGCAAGATCATGAACATAGATATACTGGCCTGAACAAGAATCCAAATTTCTTGAGGAAAGATTTGCAACAACTCCAACATTGTCTCTATTCAAATGAGGGGGACTAATGTCTCTCTCATGCACTTCACCTTGTGCTGCAGGAACTGTGATCTCTGAGTGATTCTCTACAATGCAACTTGGTAAATTTGAGGCCCCAGTTGATACATTATTTTGATTCGTATACTTTATTTTTCCAGGAGAATCAGCAGTTTCATTAAAAATGAAAAAAGAGGGTTTAGGAATCTGTGCATGGTTTGCATCATTCATGTGGAAAAGTAAAAAGGTGATGCCACGATCACTGACAGCCATATAATAATCCAAGAGGAGCAATGAGAAACAAAAAGTTAAGGATATCAGAAACACAAACCGGAGTTTATCATAGTACTTCCTCAACGGAGGTTTGTCCATTTTCAGTGTTTTGCCTTTCAACATTCAGTAAAAGAACATTTGTTTCTCTCTGATGGTATGATAAGAGGGTGACACAGATTGTGAAATGCAAAGTTTGTGTGACACTATTATTGGTAATGTGGAAAGAAAATAAGAAAATATCTTCGAAAATTTATTAATGAATATTTCCCTTCTGCATTAAAGGAAAAACTAAATACCAATGGAATGTAATTAATGTGTTCATTAAAATTTAATGGAAGAAGCCGTTAAAGGAATCAAATCATTCAACGGATCAAAAACCACAAAGTTGAATATTTCACACACAAATAATCAAAAGTGTTGCTGAGTCATTGAAGTACAAGATCAAGATCAACCCTTTATATGGTAATCAAAGAACAAGAGATGTGCTGCACATCATGCATTCATTGCATTATGATTGAGATTGTTTTATCATTCATTTGATACACGTTATATTAATGGTATTATACCATTGGGTTCAAATTTTCTGCATTGCTTGGAATTTCCATTCGTAGGAATCATGATTTAGCATCTAAATGGTGTTCATCCTTTTTTAGTCCTCCCTACAGATTGAAATGACCAAGTTGTTCCCAGCTAGCAACTCAATTCTTAGTTTTATAAGCAAAAGTTAATCACTTCATTGGTTAATATTAATTTACATATGTTTAATGTATAGAAGTTATTTCTATTTTTTCAAGATTGAATTTTTAATTTGTGTATAAACTAATTTTATTTTATTTTATTTTTCTCTAATAATTTATTTATAAAAACTATATTCTTTGCTGTGAATTTCCTAATCCATATTCTAAATTATATAGTTTTTATTTACTATTTTTCTCATGTGCCTTGTATGTTTCCTATCAAATCAATATTTTTACTTGTTTAGGTAATGTTTTAATGTTATTGACAAATATCTTATATGCTTTCATATCATATCATATCAATATTTTCACTTTTTTTAGGTAATTATTTAATGTAATTGACATTTAGTTTATATGGTTTTATATCAAAATCACATTTTATTACTTTTTAGGTAATTATTTAATGTTCTTGATGTAAATACTTTATATGTTTTAATGTCAAATCAATGTTTTTCTTCTACTTTTCTAGATAATTATATATATATATATATATATATATATATATATTTTACATAATTATTTAATGTTATTGACATAATACTTAATATGTTTTTATATCAAATCAATAATTTTTACTTTAATTAATTATTTAATGTTAAATTAATCAATAGCTAACGCAATACATTAAGGGAGTTGATTAACATTTTTAAAAAAGGTGATTACAAATCAGATTTCAAAATTAAATAGAAAAAGTTGTTTGTTTCTGATACAAGATAAGATAATTTATTTCATTTAATAGAATTATTATTACTATTATTTAGATTATAATTTGTAAACGTCTATTATTAAATGTTTTTTGAAGCATTTAAGGTTTTTAGGTATATTTTTATTTTTTACAAATATTCGTGCAATGTACTTAATAATTTTTATTTATATTATTATAGGTGATATGAATATTGAGCACAATATTCCAATATATAGCTGCTGAGAGCTTAGTATTTATGTATACATTTCTAATTTTTTATATAATTCCTGACCTTATATTTCTTCGGTATTTTATAATTATAAAAATTTTCAAATGGATATAAATAAATATTAGCATTTCAAGCATAAATTTCGATTGTTTTGTTTTGATGAAATAATTTGAAAAATCTTATATAATAATGTCTTAGTAATTATTTTCTTTTCTCATGTGCATTTTTTAAATATTAATATGTAGATAAAAACTTATTTAATTGGTATATAATTATATAATATTCGATTATATGATATCATGTGGAACTTGTAATAAGTCTTTTGTAATCGTGCCTTTGACTTTACTCCTAGGTCCTAAATTTTATTTTATTTTATTTTTTTATCTTAAATAATTCATTAATATTTTTTTTAGTAAATTTCTTATTGACAATATTAATTTTATTTTTGTTTGGGTATCGAACAAAACATTTTTTTCTTAATTATTTTAGTTAATATTAAAACGTATTCAAACAAGATTAATTATAATGAAATATTCACATGTCACCATTAAAATAATATTTAAAATTATATATTTTATCATAACACGTAATTGTAATTCATGAGAGGGTTCGAATTATAATGCTGAAATTTATTAAAGTATATCACTAGTTCCTTATAAGTTTTTCTGCAAATTTTAAAAGGTTTTAAATAAGATTTTAAAAAATTTAAACGAAGAAAATAAAATTAAAAGCTGAAAATTAAAATTATGTCTCCCTATATTTATGTACCATTTATCCCAATATTGGTCGAATGTTGCAAATATTTAAATAACTTCGATAAAATTATGAATTTAAACATTATAATCATTATCATAAAAATATTAATATGAAATTATAGTTTTTTTTTATCAGTGATACGCAACTTAATTATTGAATAAAAGATCACCACTAGTATATTGAAAAATAAAAAGGATCTCATCTCCTTCCTTCAAATCGATTTTTCTGCCTTGTGGTGATGGTAATTTTCTTGTAAGTTATTTATCTTACCTTCCAATGCACCCATAAGTGAAAATTTTGTTTTCTAGTTAAGATTCCCTATATAAATGATTCACTTCACAAAAACATATCAAAATTCCAAAGATCTTTTATCATACTCTCACATAAAACATATATAAAACTGCTGAAACTTTCATCCATATCCACCCTCACAAGAACCAGTAGTCAAAACTCATCACCCAAAAATTGTCTTTGACCACACCACCCAACTAATCAACTTCAAACAAAAAAAGTGAGTTATATTTTAGCAAATCATGAAATAAGAAGAGAAAATAAATAGAAGGGGCACGTGCTGAAATATTACTTGCAGAGTTCCCTTGTGATTCACTCTATGATGTTGATAAACACAAGTTAAGTAAGCTTAATGATAGATTCAGATTAAGTTACCTAATGATTTCAAAATGACACACTTATAAAGGAAATAAAGTGAAAGGAACAAAAACTTGATGATGCAAAGATGTGAAAAATCTGCAAAAGAATGCCTTAGTACACAAGTGATGCTAGTTAGGAGGAGCCCACTTTGGAATATGGTGATTATTATCATTATTTGGGAGCTTGTAGATGAACAAAAGTTAGTTTTAGAACCCAGTACTAATCCTACTTATTATCATTAGCCTAGCAAACTTATAAGTATTTTCAATTTTGGTACAAGTTCCTAAAGCAGGTTGAGTTGCACAGTTTAACCAACTACCCACTCTATTACTCTAACACACCCACTCCATTATCATTTATATATACACTATACATCTTTATCCCACATACCAAACTTGGATTGAAAATAATTTCTTTCCCCACGTAAATCATTCTAACTTGCTCATAAAGACAAACAGGAACCTAAATAAAACCACATTCTAGCCACCCTGTTGATAGATAGCTATCTAGGCTAAGCTTTGGAGCATTGCAAGTTGGTATAAACACACACATAAAGTTTTGGTTTTGGGAGAGATGAGAAAACGTATGGAAAGAATAGTTGTTCCATGCTCTTTCAGCTGTGCTTCCCATTCAAGTGTGGAATTAGGTGCACCCAAAGGACCAAAACAAGATTCAAAAGCCACTATTGTTGCAAGTAGTCTCTTCTCTCTATGTCTCACCATCTCTCTCTCTTCATTTTTTGTTGTTGTTGTTGTTCTCATGTGATATGTAATTTGAGATATTCCTTATGCAAGAAGGACAAGATAGATCGATCATCAGAGCCAACATGAAGAGAAGCAAGCCTTCTGGGTTTCTGGTTCTGCCAAAGCCTAATGTAGCTGCTGGCATACAGAGAATAATCAAGGGCATCAAGAATTTGTCTCAATTATTTTGTGAGTATAACAATCTTATAATCATTGCTATCTGTAATGTTGGTCTTAACTACATTAAATTTCGATCTCCATTACCCTACAGAAATCAATATGTAGTTTATGTTAGGTGCATTATTCTTTTTTCCTTCTGATATATAATTCTTTTATATCGGATCTTTAGTTGTTTTTTCTCTATCTGTTTATATGTAACATGATTATTTTGGACTTTGTGTTTCAAATTGTACAATTGAAAATACTAGATGCCAAAATGATGGACCCATAACATTGTATACGCTGAAATTTGAAGGCTGATTATGATTTTTGGTGCTAATATTCATTAGTTAACTGTACATCATGATTGTAGTTAACTGTCCTTGAATTGTTGAAATGATTTTCTGCAGCTATGGAGTATGGGGACACTAAATTCTGATGAAATATGTACATCATGATTGTAGTTAACTGTACTTGTTTATATTGGCTTTACTGCATCATTTTAATGCATCATTGCAATGTATGAATTGTTGAATAATTTATTCACTTGAATCTAGTTTACAAAGAGGAAGTGGAGGAAATGGAACCTGAGATGGAAATTGGGTATCCAACAGATGTGAAGCATGTGACACACATTGGAATTGATGGGTCAACCATTACAAATAATGTCAAGGGTTGGGACAATCTGAAGGCACCAGAACTGTTGTCTCTCTCTCCAATTTCATTCAAGCAATTTGAATTGGCCATGGCTACACAAGCTCAATGTTCTCTCATGGATGATCCTAATTCCTCAAAATGTGGTTAAAGAATTTGTGGGAATGTTGGCACTCCCAAGCCCCTTTCTAATTGTAGATTAATGGTGATGATTGATGACTGTGTACCTAGGAGTTTATATACAAGTGCACAAATTGAAAGTTCATGAATGCTTGTAATCTCTTTCACTATTTGTTTTGTTCAGTTCTTGAGATTGCCTAAGCTTCATTACATTTTTTTAACATGGATGTCTTCCATTTCAAAATTGAGTTTTTTTTCTTCTCTAATATACACACCAAAAACACGATCCATATATGTTTGTATTAACTTACAATTTAAACAAAATTATGTATTTAAAATAAAATGATAAATTTATAATTAAAAAAAAAAAACCCTAATTTTCACTCCTAATAATGAAGAAAAAATGTATAATAATGTCAAGATGTTCTAGAAGAGTGTATTGTTTATGGTTTGGTGTACGTGCTATTGAGTATAATTATGAGAATATAATTTTGCTCGTAAGGTTGTGTCGGTAGTCATTACTTATGTCCTTTTACACCTTACACTCTCCGACACCTCTGTTTATTTTTAATAATGTTTATTTCTTTCATTAATTATTGATTTTAGTGTGGCTTGAACGAACAATGACATGTTATTCTTGTTTTTATTTTAACAGAGTTAGCATAGTTACAATTTATAATTATATTATTTGATGATTATTTTTTCATAAAAGATATTATACATTTTAAAATATGTTTATGTCAAAAAATAATTTTATCTAACTTTTTCATAATCCATTTCTTTCACAACAAGGACTCACAACATAGAATTGAAAAGAAAGGGCAATAAGGACATTTCACGTGTCCACCTTGGTGTCGGTGAGTAATGAGGTTCTTTGCCTCAAAGCCAGTCTGTTCTTACTTAAACATCGAATACTTAGTGTCCCACCAACGCCTTCTAGACCGTCGATTTCCCTAAACCGTTCGATCTATAATCTTACGCATAACGCCATTGGAGAAGGACCTTCTACCAAAACAACTCGTAGTGTTATTATTTGATCGATTCTCCCTCTTCTCTTTGCGTGTGAGAAAGAGAGAGAGATGGAGAGGGCGAAGCGAAACGCTGTTGCGGCAATCACGTTGGTGATACTCGCGGTGGCGGCGGCGCGTGTGGAGGGGCAGCAGGCGTCGGACGTGAAGACACTGGTGAAGTACAAGCATGGGAAGAAGTACTGCGACAAAGGATGGGAATGCAGGGGTTGGTCAATTTACTGTTGTAACCTCACTATCTCCGAATACTTCCAGACCTACCAGTTCGAGAATCTGTTCTCCAAGCGCAACTCTCCGGTGGCGCACGCCGTTGGATTCTGGGACTACCACTCCTTCATCACCGCTGCCGCGCTTTTTGAGCCGCTGGGGTTCGGCACCACCGGCAACAAGACCATGCAGATGATGGAGGTGGCTGCCTTCCTCGGACACGTCGGCAGCAAAACCTCTTGTGAGTTCTCTCCCATCCACATTTTGTGAATTTTTTCATGGATTGTGTGTTTGGTTTAGAGTGTGAAAATTTGTTTAGATTGAGCTCGCGGTTTTGAGATTTGAGATCTGTGTGTTTGTGCTGTTTGATACTTTGGATGATTTGGATTTGTTGTTGTTTTATCTGGTTTGATTCTGCTGTAAACCTCGGTTTGTTTAGAACAAAGTCAGTGCAGTCAATTTTTCACTCATTCACGTCGTTGTCGCTTTTGAAACTGTTCGATGACGATTGGACTTCTCTGATTTTCAATGTGTGTCTTAAGTATGATTTGTCGAAACGAACATGCGTGATCTGATCTTCATTTGACTCTTTGGAGTTGGAGAATGCAAACATGAGTGAAATCAGAATAAAACATTAGCCGTCTGTCTGATCTTTGTTTCACGATTGAGTTGTTGAATGTGTGTGAATGCGTGAAAAATTAATTAGGTTGAGGAATCGATTATGAGATTATGCGATGTATGTGGTGTTTGAAACTTTCAATGATTTGGATTTGTTATTGTGTCTGATTCTGTCACTATGCTGTAAACCTTGATTTGTTTGGAACTGGACTCGGTGCTGACAATTTTTTCATGCATTCACACCGTTATCACATTTTGTAATTCTTGGATGAAGTTTGGACAAATCAGATTTTGAATGTGAGTTTTGAATCTGGTTTATTGAATTAAGACATGTGTTGTCCAATCTGTCTGACGACGGTTCTGAGTTGTTGAACGTGTGAATCTGTGGAAAATTGAATACAGGGAAGGGAATTTGGATCTGTAGTGGTTTGGCATGAATTGTCTTCGATGTCTTGATTTGTGATTGACATATGGTGTCTTATGTGTTCAACAACATTTTGAGGTAGAAAGATGTTGTGTGAGAGATGATTAGTTTGAGGCATCTGATTTGGATTTAGTGTTTATGTTTTGAGAGTTGCGGTGTTTGATTTAGTTGTGCTTTAATTTGGACAAGTGTGTGGTGTTGATTGCTCTTATAATGCTGTTGCTAGGTGGTTATGGAGTGGCTACTGGAGGACCCTTGGCTTGGGGTCTTTGCTACAATCATGAAATGAGTCCCATGCAGTCATACTGTGATGAGTATTTCAAACTCACATACCCCTGTACTCCAGGTGCTGAGTACTATGGACGTGGAGCTATTCCCATTTTCTGGTATGTGTATATGTTTGTTTGGCTGTACGGTTAACTGAAGCATATTTTCCTGGTTTTGGAATTGCCGGTTTGTTTTTCAATGTGTGACTAAATTGTTCTTCTAAATTGAACCTCTATTTTTTTAATGTTTCTGCAAACTTCCGGAGTAATCTGTATCAAATCAATCGGACTTGTTGAAGGGTTAACCCACACCACACCATTAGGTTATTTTTTCTTGATTCATAGCTTTGTCTCTTGTCTGGAAATATGAAGTTCATGGATAGCAGTTAGTTTGTGGTGCTATCACCGATTAATTCATCCAGAGGCACAACAATGACCACGACCATCAAAGTCACTTTAGCAAAGAAACTAGTGGTTTTAGCTATCTATGGAATCTAAATGACACATTTCATGAACGGATAACTACTAAAATATCATTTGGTTGCCCATTGTGGCAATTATAGCTCCTTCAAATCATAAAAAAGAAAAGATAGGAGTTAAATGGGCATTTTTGAAGATTATAGAAATAATAAAGAACCTTTTGCGATAAGAGATAAAGTAGGATAAGAGTGAATAGAAAGAAAAAGCAGTAATTAATCAGTTATTGGGAGATACAGAGCTGAATTTCTGGGTTTGTGGAGATGATTTATGAAATTATCAGTGATACCAATGCAAATTGTAAACAATTATGTGAATGTGCAGATTTTCTGTAACACCGATCAAATCTTGAACCTGTTTCCCAACTTTCTATTATCCTGATATACTAGTTCTGTTTGGTCTCAGTGGGTAGATATATTTTGCCAGATCAGCATAATGTCCATCTTGTCAAATTAAGTAAGCATCTAAGACTGTCAACTGTAGATTTTGTCAAGAAGAAATTGTTTTTAAGTTTTAAACTAGTATTTTATGCATATTGTCATGAAAGGCAGTTCTAGTTGTATTTCCATTGGAGCCATTTTTATTTTAAGGTTGAGACATATAAGAAAACGATTCACTAGGTTTTATCAACATCATTGTGCTTGTTGAATGTGGAGGTTATACTTAATGGCATACTCATGAATATAGGAACTACAACTATGGTGCTGTCGGAGAAGCTTTGAAGGAGGATCTTCTCAGCCATCCAGAATACATAGAGCAGAATGCAACCCTTGCTTTCCAGGCTGCAATTTGGAGATGGATGACACCAATAAAGAAGTCACAGCCCTCTGCTCATGATGCCTTCGTTGGAAACTGGAAGCCTACCAAGAATGACACTATGGAGAATCGCGTTCCTGGTTTTGGCACTACAATGAACATTCTCTATGGGGATGGTGTTTGTGGTCAAGGTGATGTGGACTCAATGAACAATATCGTTTCCCATTTCCTATACTATCTTGATCTTCTTGGTGTTGGTAGAGAACAGGCTGGGCCCCATGAATTCCTTACATGCGCTGAGCAGGTTCCTTTCAACCCATCTTCCAAAGCTGCTTCATCAACTTAGATCATATTTATTAGCATATCATGATATTGTTGTGCCGATCCCTTTGAAAGTGTAAGTTAATAAGGGTTCTTGAAATTATTCGTATGCAATAATTTTGAACTCTGGCAGTGTGCGAATTCATTATAGCTTTTCTTCGTTGTTGCGTAGAAGTCAAGTCATTTGTAATATCATACGTTGTGAAAAATTTGTATCTGGTATATATGTACGTCATGGGCCATTTTGTCATTATCATTATTATTATATATGCATTTCTTGGTTGCAATGTAATTTGAATATCTGCATTTCAAACAAATTCTAATTCTTCGGGTTCATCTTGGCCTTCATTAGTGGCTAACGTTACATTATTTATGCCACGCATTCAAAATTACAATTGCAATTAAATAGCAAGGGCAGGAACGAATTTTTTTGTATGGTATTTAATTTTTGGGTTTAATTACTTTTAGTTATTTTTTTTAATTGATTCTCAGATAAAATACTTTAACAATTAATGAATGAGTGAAGTAAATATAATGCATATTTTAGTAAAACTCTTTTTAATATATATATATATAGTGAAAGTTTTTGTCGTTTATGGAAGTAATTAGTTAAACAAATAATCCAAATACAAGGACTTGGTCATTCACACCATTGCTATTTAAACTCCCCAAAAGTTGGCATTTTGCAAATTTACGAAGATGTCCCTCACAAGGTTTCATAATAAAGTTGCGTGTACAAAAATAAGTTATAATTACGTAGAAGGGGTGAGAATGTTTTAAGAAAAAATACTTTATTATTTTGGTATTTATTTTCCTAAATTATCTTTTACAGATAACTTGATAAATATAGATGAATGCGAAATTGTAAACCAAATCATTCGAAAAAAACATATATTATATACATAAATGTGATGTTCAATAACAACTATCAAAAGGGAACAAAATGTGAATTTTAAAAAATAATTAAATACGAAATCTTTATACTTTATTTGTATCTTTCTAAAATTGTTTCTTTCGTTCATTCTATATTTTTACATACTTTATTCTACAGTCGACCACAAAGAATGGGATGATATACGAGGATAGATAAAGACAAAAAACTATGGAATAAATGTAATTGAGAAGAAAGTGACATGATGATAAAAAATATATATTCTAATTTCAAAATATATTTTATTTTACTTATTTTTTTATCTAATCACTTCACGTTTTATACACTCACCTCGAATAAACATACCTTGATGTGCAGGGTACTTTGTTCGTATCGATATGGTTTGAAGATGTTGAGGTATGCTAAAAAAAGTAAGTAAAAAAAAGAAGAAAAAGATTATATGAATTGATTAATCAATAACAAATTACCTTTTACAAAGCAATTCCCATAGTATTATAATAAATCAATTTATTTTTTAAAAATTAACTTTATGATTTTTCATTTTTATATTAATATATATATATATATATATATATATATATATATTTTAAAAAATAAAATTAAATGAATTAGAATTGATGAGATAATATCTCAAATCATATATACGAAAAATAGTCTAATCTAAATTTTATGATTTAAAACTTAATTTTATAGAATATTATATCATTTTTTTATAATTTTTTTATTTAGTTGTAATTTTGCCGAATTGTTAGGACTTGAATTTATTGAATATATGGGGCAAGAGAGGCGAATTATAAGAAACATGAAAAGCACAAGTCTTTATCCATTTTTTATTCTCCCATGAAATCATTTGTAGACTTTTCCAAAGTCCCACGTGAAACCTCCTTAGACAAACATGTTTCAACATCACATAAACTTCTCTCCACCTCATCCCATGCATAAACTCTTTCCCTTTAATTTTATCATAATGAATATGTTGGTGTATGATTTTAAAAAAATAATATTTATCGCTGTTTTAGTTTTTAGAAAATAAACATGAATAATATTGCTTTAAATTTATATAATTAATTATGTTGTGATTATAATTTTTTTATTCAATCGAAAGTCTATTTCATTGTTTTAATTGATTATTTTATTTTGTTTTCGTTAATAGTAATACAATTAATAATTTTTTTCTTACGCTATTTTTTTTTGGTCAAACAATTTTCATAGTTATTCTATTTATTGGTCACGTATTTTTTTAAAGCAATGTCAATTCCATCTCATTCACGTATTAATTAATTAATTAATAGTAGGTCGAAAAAGACCAATCTTTCAGACAAGAAATAAAACTTAAAAATGATACTCTATAGACTATATATATAGTTTTTCCAATAAGGTCACTGTTCTCTTCATGTTCAATAATTGAGCACCAACTATCATATTCAAAAGACTCTGTATTTTAAAACAATTAGGTCATAATTAATACTATAATTTTTTCTTAACGTTGTTTTATTATAATTTGAAAGTTGTTTCAAACATAAAAACTCTAGAAATAAAATTAAATATTACTTTATTTTCTCTTACTTAAAAGTCTTTTTAAAACTAAAAAAAGGGTGCTGTTTTTATTTTTATTTTTCAATCCAATTAGTTCAATATGAAAAACAATAAATTAAGATGTACAACTTATTTTTAAAGTGAGTTTTTTTTTCCTCCAATTATAACGAGCCTAACTTTTTATAAGAAAATTTAATTTGTTTATTTAATAAAACACTACTTTAATTTCTCTTGGAACGAACAAACATCTCCATGAAAAAAAGGATTTTTTTAGATAACATGTGTTTAATATTTATTTTTCTTCACATAGGCAATTAAAAATCAAACTCATATCAACATGCTTTTTCAGGGTAAAATCAATGTACTTTTTTTTAGAGTAAAATCAATGTACTTTCTAGTTGGACAGGAAATGAATGTACTTTATCATCGTTATTTTTCGTATTTAATATATTTGATGTTTTGGAGTCTAGCAAAAAGAAATCTACAATTATGAATTTAGTCAATTGAATTAGGTTTTACGTAATTTAGGTATTTACCAAATTCAACACCATCTTTGAACCGATACTAAGACAACTACACCATCTTCATCTTTTGTACTACATATAATTTTTATTATATAATTTTAAAATCCAAATCCAATTAACGAATAAAACTATTCCATTTTTTTGTTCTTTAATTTGGTTAAACATAATTAAATCATTGATCAATCCTTATTCGTGTCCAACCTTAAATGTATTAATAAAGTGTGGAAAATAAAAATAAAAATTATTTACCCTTTATGGTTAACGAGCATGGGTTATTATAATATAAGATAGTGATATATAAGTTTTCTCCTTCCATAATCCTATCCATCCAGATCGGAGCAATCCAATCATCTACACCGTCCAAGCCACGTGTCACTGCTTTTTATCACAACCTTGTTTTTTATTTTGGGTTTTTAATTTGTGACTCTGCCATTACGTTGTCGTTCTGATCCACTCTCTTATTTTCCCCGAGCCAATATATTCCTTATTTTGCGTGGCGGAGAAACGAAACTTGTTTTTGTAGTCACATCCATTGGTCTAAAGCCATCACCTGCCGGTGACGCACCCGTTCGTGACGGTAGCACTGCCTGCAACATTTTCCTCAACAACACCAACATCAACGCATCTTTCATTTCTCCTTCAACACATATTTTTGTTTCCTTCTTCGATTCGCTTTTCGGTCTTCGCGAGGGATTCTCAGGGAATCCAAGGAGAAAGTGAGAGTGCGCTGGATCGAGAATCTCGATTCCTTTTTTCTGATTTCACGGTTTCATTTTACTTTATTTGATATACGTGTTTTGAGTTCTGATTCACGCGCTTTTCGACAAGGTTACTGTCGCATAAAGTTGATACGCTGTTGGATTTGCGTTGATTCATCGAATCGGATTTCATTGCAATCATGACTCAGGTTCCATTTCTAATTGTTTTCTTTCTTCTTCTTTTCTTCGCGCTTGATTGTGTTAGTTTCTGAATCTGAACATCTGGTGCCGTGATTTGTGTTTTTCTGAAATGATTATGATTATGATTTTGATGATGTTTGATAATGATGATGGTGATGATCGCAGGCGGTGGAGGTGCTGAATCGGTATGGGACGGATATGGTGGGAGAGCCGAGGGGTTCCGAGTCTGAGTGTTTGGCGGGTTTCGAGTGTTTTCTGAACATTGTGAGGGCGCTGGGAATGGGATCGTGCATATCGGAGGTTGGGGGTGGTGGTAGTTCCCCTCCTCTTCTTTCTTATTCGCCTGAATCCAATACGGATGGTGGGAAGAGGAGGAGGTTGAGGAGTTCCTCATCCTTTGATTTCAAAGTGCCTGGTAGGATGTTCTTGAATGGGTCAAGCGAGGTTGCTTCCATGTTTTGTAAGCAAGGAAAAAAAGGGATCAACCAAGATGCTATGCTTGTTTGGGAGGTTAGCGTCTTCTCTCAGCATCTATTAGTGTTGTTTTGGGATATTATGCCTTTAACATGCATTTGTAGAGTAGTATACTTTCGGTTTGCAGCAATAGTCTTTAGTTATATGTTTTTAAAAAAAATCTATGAACGGATTAGTAATGCCTTCAGTCTTAATTTTTTGGGTTATTGAGTATATCTATCAGCTTCACCAAGTGTTTAAAAAAAATAATAATTTTTTTGTGTGATTTGGAATAAATATGAGCTGTGGAGCCTTGTAAAGAAATGACTATGCTATTATCTTTGTCTGACCTTTACCTATGTTTATTTCTTTTCCAAGCATTCATGAATCTTCTTACATAGTTGGTAGTTCCATGTCATGTTGCCAATTCGTCCATCTGTTTCGAAAAGTCTGATGGATAATCGTGTTCTCCACCTCATACCACTTCAGCATAGTTTCATACATAAATTCTACCAAACGATAGTTTTTTGTAAAGACGTCCTACATCTGGAATACCCCTTTAAAAATTTGAGAAATCCTCTCTCCTTGAGTTAAATTTTGGGTTTGATATAGACCTAACCTGTCTTTTATACTTCGAGTCTTCAGATACTCAGTTTTGTTGTTGCAGTCTGCACTAAGACTAATAATATAGATGTTAATAGCGTGCACGAAACTTTCTCTATTTTCCTAGTGCAGAACTTTTGCTCAAAGGAAGACGCCATTTTTTGTGGTGTTTTTGATGGTCATGGACCTTATGGCCACAGAGTTGCAAAGAAAGTTAGGGATTCTTTTCCTTTAAAGCTTAATGCCCAGTGGGATTTGCATAATAAGAACAGAGATGGACTCAATGATCATAGCAGTGCCACAGGATGTTATAAATCTGAAGGGAATGGATTTAGGCAGGTTGACGAGAAAAGTAGCCCCACTGATCATGAACCTGACGAGAAAAGTAGCCCCACTGATCATGAACTTGGTGGATCAGATACCTTTTTGACATTAAGAGAATCTTTTCTGAAAGCTTGTAAACTTATGGACAAAGAACTGAAAATGCATTCTGATATTGACTGCTTTTGTAGTGGGACTACAGCAGTTACCGTGGTCAAGCAAGTAAGAAATATAAATTACAATGTAGTGTACTCTTGATTATTTTCTTGTTTGTTTTTGACACTTGGTTTATTTCTTATGATCTTCTAGGGGCTGAACCTTGTTATTGGAAATATTGGAGACTCGAGAGCTATACTGGGTACCAGAAATCAAGCTGATTCACTTGTTGCTGTTCAGTTGACCATTGACCTTAAGCCAAATCTTCCAAGTACCTCTCATTCTCTCTCCTCTCCCTCCCCCTGTGTGTATGTTTGGAATGGACATGATTACTTGAAGAATTGCATCTTATAATATTTCCCTTGAAATATTGAATAAATAAATGCCAACTTCATGATTATGGTGTTTGTGACAGTGCCTCTGTGATTTAGAAAAATGGATGTCTCTATGTAAAATTTTGAAAAGTATGCAATGAATGTATGGTAGTAATTGCATTGAAAACCTTGGGTGAAAATGTTTTCCAAGGTTTTTGTTTATCAGTTTTTTAAACTACTTAATAAACAATTTTCGAAATCTAATTTCATAGAGCAGAAGCGAGGAGAAGATGCTAGAAGAAATGTTATAATTTTTTATTTATTTTAGTAGTCTGAATAGAGATATATGTTTTGAAAACAGTTTAAAAAAACTACTGTTATCAAACATAGTGTTTTGCCTTTTGTTTATAAAAATAGTTTTTAAAAAAGGAAACAAACAGACCCATCAGTTTTTAGCATAACTTGTGTACTAAAAAATTGATAACCTGTTATACAGCACTTTTCAGCACATAAAGCCACCTGAGTATATTAAAATCAAACATTTTGTTTAGTTGGTTTTTTTGGTCCTATTTTTTGACGCTTTATCATTTACATCCTTTTCGGGAAGGAAAATTATACATTGTCTTTACTATTTATTATTTGGTTCTTCTTTCTTTTCTTTTTTGTTTTCATTTTAACCGTGCCTTTTTAATATTAAAGAGATTTACCTCTGCTTTGTGGGATTTTTCTTTTTCTATGGGTATTCCCTCCAGTTGAAAATCTTACTTTTTCTGTTTCTTTAATTTATCATGTATAACTTCAATGCTTTTGTTTCTTTTGTTTTATCCCATACATTCCTTGGTTCCCGTTTAGAACAACTCAATTTTGTGAAAAAAGGATGTATTCAGAATTGGTGAAAGATATTTTCATCGAATGATTAATAAATGAGTTGCCATTTGTTTTGACTTCTGTTACATCAGTCAGTGTGGCATATCTATATGGGTGTGGATGTGTGATGTGAGCTTGTTTTGACGTAGGGGAAGAAGAGAGAATCAGGCTTCGTAGAGGAAGGGTTTTTTCCCTTCAGAATGAACCTGAGGTGGCTCGAGTGTGGCTGCCGAACTCTGATTTCCCTGGTCTTGCTATGGCTCGGGCATTTGGAGATTTTTGCCTGAAGGACTTTGGATTGATTGCTGTTCCAGAGATCTCATTTCACCGCCTTACGGAGAAGGATGAATTTCTTGTATTAGCAACAGATGGGGTAAGGCCTTAAGGGGCTCTTTTCTTATGATATTCTCTCTTTTATGATCTACATGTGTTGAAATGGATTCATTTCAATATTGTATTTGTAGTTAGCCAATTCAAGAATAAAAATGTGAATGTAAGACCCTTTCAACTAATTCACGCCCTAAGAAAAATTGGTCAGTAATTTGTATTGTTGTTCCAAAATTACCCTTATTATATTTAAAGCAACAATAGCTGAGTATGACTTTGATATTCCTAAATACTTATATTCTCACATCATATTAGGATAGAAATAGTTTATGCCATTCATTTCAAATATTCATTAATTATTTTAGTTTGAGCAGATTAGTTAATTAAGGGTATTTTAGGAAAAAATAATGCATCATTCAACCAAAGGGAAGGGATCTCGTAAAAAAGGACAACAAATTTTCTGAAAAGGGTCTTATACATAAGGATAGAGGTAATAATTATTATGAGTTAACTACTAATGTAAAATAATGAACCCCAAACTTTCTCAATATCAAACGTTGTACCAATACATATTTTTAATCCAGTGGTATCTCAATCCCATGTTTATTATACACGGACATGCACGTTACTTTTACGTCTTTCAAACTAGAATTTTTAAATAGTTGAGCATTTGGAAAAGCTTGTTCTTTATTTCAATATAGTGGTTTACCTTTTTCTTCTCCTTTCCTTTGACGTTGTAGCTAATTTTTCTCTCATGGTTCTTATTATGCTGTAACATGAAATTTTATATTTTCCAAATTGTCTTGCACCGATATATCTTTCAGACTTATTTTCTAGCAGTTGATCTCTTTGTATCTTTTGTGCACCTAACTGGGTTGTATGGAATATAATTCTCTTTGGTTCAAGATGGTTTAATTTCCGTTGCATCAATATTGTTCTTAAACTTTGTTAGATGGATGAAAAATACTCTAGCATTTTATAAAAGCAAAAAAGATTCATATTATAAAGATGATTTTCCTCTGAAACTTCTGAGAGCTTTCTTCCTTAACCAAATATATAACAAATGTTGCATCCTGCCATTGAACTTGTGATTTTTTATTGCGAATAAGAGTTCAGTTCCCTGTTGGATTTGTTTCACAGCTGGAAATATTTGAATTGTTTTAACCTGTTTGATTCCTTTGGGCAGATTTGGGATGTTTTATCAAATGAAGAAGTCGTGGACATTGTAGCATCTAATCCACGGTCTACTGCTGCTAGAGCACTGGTTGAGTCAGCTGTTCAGGCATGGAGGACAAAATTTCCCTTTTGCAAGGTTGATGATTGTGCCGCGGTTTGCCTCTTCTTTGATCCAGATACTGATTTCAAGTCAAATGATACCAAAGGGAAGTTGGTACCGGAGGCATCTGTTGACCAATCTGAGCAGTTATCATGATAAAAAGGGAAGAGGAATGGAAGCTGAAAAACAGCTCCAATAGCACAAGTTTTGTACCATGTCCCTCCCAAGCCTTGCTGGTTTTATTGAGTAGTTTGGGAAAATTGTGCTGCAAAAGTCAATAGAGAAAGGATCATTATTTTGATAATTTTACGGTAGTTTTCTGCCAATATTCTTTTCATTATTTATCTTTCATTTCCTTCGAACAGCATTTGAGGGGCGAAAGAGGGGGGGAGGGGTTTATATATAAATATGTTTCACATCTGGAGGAAAAGGGTTACCGGGCTTTTTTTTTCCTGGAGGTCATTTTCCTTCTCTGTATATTTGGTAGATTTGGAGTTTTTGTAAATCCAAGTCTCTAGATTCATATTATATAGTCTGTTCAATCTGCCGTTTTTTCATTTGCATCGTTCTTATATTTTCCAATTTAAGTCAGTGAAAACAAGAGAACTGCAAACAATTGGATTTATTGATTATGGACCTTTGAGTCAGGTTTCTATACCTCCATGTTGTGTTGCTGTCAGAGATAAATGATATTTGTTGTGTGATCCTATTGTGTGGAAAAATATATTCTGAAGAAAATTTGTCTTTTAAGGAATGCAAATTGTATTTACCTTCTGATTTGATTTATCTTTTTGCACGATTATAACTAAGTTTGAGGAGGAAGGTTATTCTGTTTTTTCCTTTAACGAGGCAAACTGGATTTGTTTTCCGTGCGCATTTATTACGCAAGATCAAAATAGTTATGTTTAATTGATATTTTTGGTCATCTGTTAACACTGCTATTAACGCGACACTCATTCATTTTGTTTTATTTACACAAAATATTACATCAAAGTTCAAATGACACGAAGAAAACCCCTGCCTGGTCCACATGCACTATTTAACTAAGGATGATGATATATGGTGGAATATAAGACTCAGTTCATGACCATTTTTATTAATATAACGGATGTTAATTCAAACAAAATGCTTTTTCCCTTTAAAAAGAACTAGTCAGCTACACCCCTACTAATAACGTATAATTCTTCATCATTACCTCATTGTTACTAAGTAGACCTTGCGTTTACTTCACTGCAGTTTGTGATATTAATTCATTGTTTCCCAGACATGGCAATTGTTGTTGTTGAGTTTCTGCTACAGAACTTGTCACGGCTTCTTGAAGATGAATTCACGCTGCTTTCTGGCGTGGAGGAAAAAATCAAATCCCTTTGCAATGAGCTCAAGTTCATAGACATCTTTCTCAAGAGGTCTGAGGGCAAGTGCAACGACGAAGTTCTGAAAGAAGTCGTATGCCAAATAAGAGATGCGGCCTACAAAGCTGAAACCCGCTGAGCAAGTTATTCCACTTCAAGGAACGATTCATCGTGCTTCACAAATTCAACGCTGAAATAGAGTCGATCAGGAGTCGTATTGAAGAGATTTACGAGAACAGGGAGAGGTATGGCATCAGAGAAGGAGAATTCCAAAGTGATGAAGCCGCTGCAGCAGAATCACTCCGCAGGAGAAGAAGGGATGTGGAGGAAGAAGATGTGGTGGGCTTAGTGTGTGCTTCAGCGTTGTAATTCAGCAACTCATCATGGAAAGTGATTCACGTCGGAAAGTTATTCCCATAATCGGAATGGGAGTGTTGGGCAAGACCACTCTTGCCAGAAAGATCTATAACAACAATCAGGTGAATGAATTGTTTACTAGTCGTGCATGGGGCTATGTGTCTAACGTCAGAGTATAATGATTTATTCAAGAAAACATCGGATGGAGGTGAAGAATTAGGTGAGGAAGAACTGAAGAAGAAGGTAGCAGAAGGGTTGAAGGGGAAGAAGTACCTGGTAGTGCTTGATGACATATGGAAAACCAAAGTATGGGACGAGGTCAAAAGTGCTTTTCCAGATGACCGAACAGGTAGCAGAATACTGATAACAAGTCGTGAGAAGGAGGTGGCAACTATGTAGGAACCACTTCCCCTTACTACCTTCCCTTTCTCAAAGAAGATGAAAGTTGGGAACTCTTCTCTAAGAAGGTGTTTCAAGGTGAAGAATGCCCTTTTAATCTAGAGCCTCTGGGTAGATCCATTGTTGAGATTTGTGGGGGTTTACCACTTGCAATAGTTGTTTTGGCAGGACTTGTTGCCAGGAAGTAGAAGTCAGAAAGAGAGTGGAAGAGAATGAAGGAAGTGAGTTGGCATCTTACACCAGACAAGACTGAAGTGATGAATATACTGAAGCTTAGCTATGACAGCTTGCCTCCAGGATTAAAGCCATGCTTTCTGTATTTTGGAATCTATCCTGAAGTCTATGAGATCAGTGCAAGGCAATTGATCCAACTATGGACAGCTGAAGGGTTCATTCATCCACAAGAAACTGGAGCTCCGAGTACAGCAGAGCTGGAAGATATCGGTGACTACTACTTGGATGAGCTGGTGGATCGCAGCCTGGTGCAAGTGGCAAGTAGGAGGAGTGATGGCGGTGTCAGGACATGCCGGATTCATGATCTTCTCCGTGACCTCTGCTATCTGAGAGCAAATCCAGTAAGTTTTTGGAGGTTTACACAGACGCAAACATTGATACTCTATCCTTAAGCAATCCTCGTAGATTGTCCTTGCAATGCAAAGCACGGTCTAATATCTGTACAAATTTTTTTTATCAATCATACACTCGTTCTTTGTTCTTCTTTTCTGAAGTTATGAATACACGTGACGTTACAAAGAGTAGCAAAAATGCTCGTGTGGTATATTCAAAGTCCAAAGGAGCAATGAATTATTCACTACATGGTACTTTTAAGACGATGATTCATCTAGGGTATTTGAGAATAGACACTGGTGTCAGCCACATTCCAGCTTCTATAAGCAACCTTAGGAATTTAGAAACGCTAGATATAAAATAGAAAGAGTGTTAGGAATGCTGTCCAAAATCAACCAGAGGCCCAATTGTTGTCAAAGCCCAATGAAGATGTTGCTGAGATAGAGAAAACCAAGGATGAGTCCAAATCCAAACGTATCAACAAAAGACCGAAAGACTGGGATAATTATGTGCATTAGCTTATCTGTTAATTTGTTAGGATTCATTCTAGAAGGAGTTTGTTAGGGGAAGATTTTATTTTGTGTTTTTGTTTTTACCATTAGCACTTTTCTGATATTGCTTTTAGTATTTATATGAGGGGAAAGAATGGAACGAGAGAGGAATTTTATGTCAATCTTTTCTCTCTCTTGGTCCTTGCTTAGGAGGTTTTCTCTACGTCTAAACAGAGATATCCTTTTTATTAATTGGTGCTTTCATATGGCAGACAACACATGTTCCAAAACTTTGGAGCGCTTGGAGGCGATGATGGAGAAATTGCTTCAGAATGACAAGTTCTTCACGTCTTGCTTGGATGGAATGTTTCTTCGTGTCACTGCCATTGAAGCAGTTCAACCCGTTATTCAACACGCTGGGTCTCTGGGAGGAGGTGCTTCGGGGGGCTCGGATCCAACAGCCAATTCCGGAATTGACAACACTCTTTCTCAACACCATTTTCATAAGCTTGATGTATCGCGTTTCAATGGAACAAATCCAGTAGGATGGATTTTTAAAATCTCTCAATTTTTCTCTTACCATAAAACACCGGAACACGAACAACTCATTGTTGCTTCCTTTTATTTGGATGATCAAGCGCTAGCCTGGTACCAATGGATGTTCAACAACCATCAATTAATTTCATGGTCTTAGTTCCTGTGTGCCCTTGAGCACCGATTTTCTCCTACAGCCTACGACGATCCTCGAGTAAACTTTTCAAACTCACACAAACTTCGTCAGATGCCGATTACTTGTCGGAGTTTGAAAGTATTGCAAATCGAATTGAAGGCCTTCCATCTCCTTTTATATTGAGCTGTTTTGTTTTTGGATTGAAACCGGCGATCCAGCGGGAAGTTCTTGCTCATCAACCTGTTTCTTTAACCCAAGCCATTGGTTTGGCTCGTTTGCACAAATATAAGGTTCAATCTCTTCCGCGAGTATTCAATCCACGTCCAATTTTATAATGGTCCCCATTAGTGGTTTCTCGCACCAATACTCAATTTACACCAAAGCAACCAATACTTCCCAAAACGTTTCCGCCATTATTACCCGCTCCTCCGACAAAAGTCTGTTATAAGCAATTAACAGAAACTGAAATGGCTTAGAAAAGAGAAAAGGGTTTTTGTTTTAATTGTGACCAGCGATACTCCTGAAATCATTGTTGCCCAACGAAGTATTTTCTTTTGGTTACTTCTAAGGAGAAACCTGATGAACCTTCTGGTGACCTTATCAGTGCCCAAGATGACCTTTCATTCCATGACCTTGGACCTTCTGATTCTGTTTTATTAGAGACACCCCAGGTCCAACTGAGCTTTAATGCCTTGTCCGGATTAGGCCATCCGGAAACATTCCGAATTAAGGGACAAATTGGCACCCAGACGGTGGGGGTGTTATTAGATGATGGAAACACCCATAACTTCATCCAGAGTGGGGTGGTACACAGCTTGGGCATCCTTCCCAACCCTATTGCCCCTCTGAAGGTGCTAGTGCGGAAGGTGCTAGTGCGGAGTGGCGAAGAGTTATTATGTTCCTTTATTTGCCAACTAGTTAACGTAATGATATAAGGACACTCATTCTCTCTGGATCTCCATGTTTTGGACATGGGTGGTTCCGAAGTAGTATTGGGAGCCCAATGGCTTAAGAAACTGGGCCGAGTCTTGATGGATTATGAGAAGATGATTATGAAGTTTGTGCACAATGCCAAGTTAGTGAATTACGTGGAGATCTAAGGACCAACTCTTATTTCCTTACACCATCTCTCTCAATTGGCTTCTTCCAGCACCGAAGCCCAATTTTTCTCCCTTACGTTGTTAGGGCCTTTTCAGTCATCCACCCAAGTTTCTACTCAATTACTTGACCCGAGGCTCCATTCTCTTCTTGAGGAATTTCCTGCACTTTTCATCGAACCTTCTAAGTTGCCACCAATGCGGCCAACTGACCATGCCATTCCCCTCATCTCAGGTGCTGCTCTGGTGAATGTGCGACCTTATCGTTATGCGCACTCTTAAAAGCACGAAATCGAACGCCAAGTTCAAAAGTTGTTGTCCAATGGATGGATTCGGCCAAGCACGTCCCCGTTCTCCTCTCCTGTGCTCTTGCTTAGAAAGAAAAGCGGCACTTGGTGTATGTGCGTTGATTATCGCGCTTTGAACGCGATCACAATGAAGGACAAATTTCCTTTACCCACTATTGAGGAGCTTCTCGACGAATTGGGATCTGCCAATTGTTTTTCGAAGCTAGATTTGGCTTTTGGGTTTCACCAGATCAAATTGCAAGCGAAGGATGTAGCCAAAACTGCATTTCGCACACATGATGCACATTATGAGTATCTTGTAATGTCGTTTGGCTTGTGTAATGCTCCAGCGACGTTCCAAGCGACGATGAATGATGTCTTTCGCCCTTTATTGCGGAGATCTGTTATCGTCTTCTTCGACGATATACTGGTTTTCAACTCTTCCATATAATAACACCTCCAACACTTGTGTGAGGTATTTTCGCTCCTTTCTTAACATCATTTTCACTTACAACCCTCGAAATGTTGTTTTTGTCAGGATACTATAGAATACTTTTGGGCATATTGTGAGTGCTGGTCGTGTCTCTCCAGACCCATCTAAGGTTTCTGCTATTTTGGCTTGGCCTCTACCCAAAAAATCAAGGAATTGCGTGGATTTCTTGGTCTTACAGGCTTCTATCGTAAATTTGTCCGTGGTTACGCCACCATAGCTCAACCAATGACTAAATTACTCCGGAAAGACAATTTCCATTGGAATTCTAGTGCTACTGTTGCATTTGAAGCTCTCAAAACCATAATGGTCTCTGCACCAGTACTCTCCCTTCCAGATTTTTCTCTGCCTTTCGTGGTTTAGATAGACGCTTTCGGAGTAGCAATGGGAGCGATTCTGTTACAATCTGATCATCTAGTGGCATATTTTAGCAAAACTTTTTGCCCGCGAATGATACAAGCTTCAGCTTACATCCGGGAATTACACGCCATTACTAGTGTCGTAAAAAGATGGCGGCAATACTTATTGGGAACTTTTTTCACAATCCAAATAGATCAGCGAAGTTTGAAGGAGATATTGATACAAACGCCAGAGCATCAATTCTATTTGGCTAAATTACTCGAATATCATTACGATATTCAGTACAAACCTGGAAAAACCAATATAGTTGTTGATGCCCTTTCAAGGTCTATTGTGCCTACCACACCCTCTCATTTTGTCCTCACCATACCACAATTCAATTTTCTTGAGGCGTTGAAGTTGGAATGCCAATTAGATCCCCAATTTGCAACTCTTCAACATTCATTGGCTACAGACCCAACATCTCTTCTTGGGTTTAGCACACTAAATGGATTTTTCGTTTTTCAAGACCGCATTTGGATCCCTACTACTTCTAAATTTAAGTCCCTACTCCTCAAGGAATTTCATGAAACTCCAATGGGTGGACATGCTAGTGTTTGTTTCAAAGGGAGTCCATTTAGGAGAACTTCCATCACAATTTACCACCTACAAAGTTGCTGAGTTGTTTGTTTCAATCTATTGTCATCATCATGACCTTCATAAGAGTATTGTTTCGGATAGAGATCCCATTTTCATCCATCAATTTTGGTTGGGAACTGTTCAAGTTTAGTGGTACCTTGCTTTGCATGAGTTTTTCTTATCACCCACAAAAGAACTATTCTTAGGAAGGCTAGTTCTTATCACCCATGTAAGAATTAATGGTTGAGTTCAAGAGGGGGGGTGAATTGAACTTTTGAAATCTTTTTCGAAAAACACTCTTTCTTTTGGAAGAATGGTTAATCTTTATCCAATCTTTTATTAGACAGATTTGGTTTTAAACAAAGCAAGAATATAAGCAAGAATTGAAAAGATATGAAAGCAGAAATTCAATACAAGAGTTTATACTGGTTCACTTTTTCCCAGAGCTACATCCAGTTCTTGACAAATCTGCCAAGTTCCACTAATTCCAAGTGAAAAATACAAACCAGTAAATATACACCAATCTACCCCAAGAACTATCTTACAACACCACAAGATAGACTCTTAAATTAACCACCCAGTAACCAAACCCAGTTACTGTAACCAGTGCAGATTCAAACCCAATCTACACAATTAACCTTTGTACAAGTGTATGAAAAGAATAAACCCGGACTGCAGACTTTAACAATATAGAAGTCCGGAAGCAATTTTTCTAACTCAGAACTTTCTCTCTTGATGATCTTTCAACAATCTTGATCTAAACGCCTTATGATATGAAAAGTTTATGAATGCTCAGAGAAAGGAACGAATATGAGAGCTCTAAGATTGCTTTCAATCGTTTTCCAAATTCTGTATTCTCAAAAGAGAAATCAAAACTGTATTTATAGAGTAAAAGAGAGAAATTGATAGATTCAATCGATTAAAATGACTTGGAGTAGCAGATGACCGATCAGAATGGCTTTATGACCGATCAGAACCGGATATGATCGATCAGAATTGAGTTGTTATCGATCAGAATATTTTTCAATCGATTAAAATGTCGTTTCAATCGATTGATTTCATTTAAAACTCATTCAATCGGTTAATTCGAGTTTTCAATGGATTGAAATAGTTTAGAAAAAATGGTAGCTCTCTGTTTCAATTGATTAAAAGATATTTCAATAGATTGAAATCCTGTGATACCTTAGAATGAAAAAAATGATCTCTCTGTTTCAACAGATTAAAACTCACTTCAACAGATTGAAATTCTGAGATACTTCAAAGTGAAAAATAACATCTCTCTGTTCCAACAGATTGAACTTGATTTCAACAGATTAAAATTACGAAACCTTTAATATGAAAAAATCATTCA